ATTTAAACTACAATTATGGGCAGTTATTCATTAAAAAAAAATGTTCATTGGTTTTAAGTATAATAGACAAAAACCATTGTGTATTTTAAATTATTAATAACTACTTAAATAATAAATGAATATTGTGAGAAATTGCAGATATGAATTTAGCATTTAGTGAGCAATTATGAGTACTTATTCATTATTCTGAGTGGTTTAGGAAAAAAGAATTTTGTATTTTAAATTATTAATAAATAATTAAATAATTAATTAATAGTGTGAGCAATTGCGGATTTAAATTAAGCATTTTGTGAGCAATTATGAGCAGTTATTCAATTAAAAAAAAGTTTATTGTTTTTAAGTATAATAGACAAAAACAATTCTGTATTTTAAATTATTAATTACTAATTAAATAATAAAGTAATAACGTGAGCAATTGCATATTTGAATTGAGCTTTTACTGAGCAATTATGAGCACTTATTTATTAATCTGAGTGGTTTAGGAAAAAACAATTTTGTATTTTAAATTATTAATAAGTTATTAATTAAGTGTGAATAATTGCGGATTTCAATTAAGCATTTTGTGAGCAATTTTTAAATTAATGAGCACTTATTAATTTAAAAATTGGTTTATTGGAATTAAGTATAATAGACAAAAACTATTCTATATTTTAAAATATTAATAACTATTTAAATAATAAATTAATAACGTGAGCAATTGCAGATTTGAATTGAGCATTTACTGAGCAATTATGAGCACTTATTCATAAATCTGAGTAGTTTAGGAAAAAACAATTTTGTATTTTAAATTATTAATAAGTAATTAAATATTTAATTAATAGTGTAAACAATTGCGGATTTCAATTAAGCATTTTGTGAGCAATTATGAGCAGTTATTCAATTTAAAAAAAAGTTTATTGGTTTTAAGTAGAATAGACAAAAACTATTCTGTATTTTAAATTATTAATTACTAATTAAATAATAAAGTAATAACGTGAGCAATTGCAGTTTTGAATTGAGCATTTAGTGAGCAATTATGAGCGCATATTCATTAATCTGATCGGTGTAGGAAAAAACAATTTTGTATTTTAAATTATTAATTAATAATTAAATAATTAATTAATAGTGTAAGCATTTGCGGATTTAAATTAAGCATTTTGTGAGCAATTATGGGCAGTTATTCATTAAAAAAATGTTTATTGGTTTTAAGTATAATAGACAAAAACAATTCTGTATTTTAAATTATTAATAACTAATTAAATAATAAATTAATAATGTGAGCAATTGCAGATTTGAATTGAGCATTTAGTGAGCAATTATGTGCACCTATTCTTAAATTTGACCAGTCCTACTTCCAAGCCAACTTCTTTGTGCTCATATTTCCGCACCAATTTGGATGAAACAAAAACTTATTATTTTTATTTATTAAATTATTTTTATATATTAATTAGTTATTTTCAAAAACATAGCTTTAAAGCTATATAGGTTTTATTGTCAAATTAGCAGTTGTTGGTGTGACCGATTTCAAGAAATCTATACAAATAAATAAAATTGAAGTGTCTGTTTGTAATGTCAAAATTACAGTTTTTTACTAAATGCATATGAAAGTAAATACGATACCTATAACTAAAATACAATTTTTAAAATTTTTGTCTGTCTGTCTGTTTGTTCCGGGTAATCTCCGAAACGGCTGGACCGATTTTGACGGGTCTTTCACTGGCAGATAGCTGATTTCATAAGGAGTAACTTAGGCTACTTTTATTTTAGAAAAAAAATCAGGGTTCCGCGCAGAAACATAAAAACCCTAACACGCGAACGAAGTCGCGGGGAACAGCTAGTTTTGAATAAAATTGATCACGAATGTGAAGCCTATAAAGTCTGGAAAGTTCTGTGGATTCATTCAAATGAAAAATACTTATTAATGTTACACTCCTGCGTTAAACATCCTTGGGCTGAGCACAGGCCTCATTTCTAGAAACGGTTAAGGATCAATGAGGGCTAATAATTTTCTTCTCACCAGATGTCGCTAGTTGACACTGAGGTAAAGTTTATTACACAGTGTAATGTAATTTAATTGAGAAGTTGGTTTTTAATAAAAGTTTATCAGTTTCTAGAGTATTATATGAATACAGAAAACAATGCATCAGTGGTTTGCTCTTTAATTTTTTACACATTTTTAACTTTTTTTAAATTTTTCTACTTTTATATCTGTGGTTGGGTTTATTTATTTTTAATGTTTTTAATATAAAATATAGATAATAGTACAAAAATAAACAATAACTTTTACGTTTTCCGAACAAATTAACTTCCCCGCTATGAAATCTGTCAAATACCTCACTTTCTAGTGGCGCCGCCCTGGTGGCAGAAAAAGCCGTGGATGTCGGTCATTAGACCGACGCGCTGCTCTACTCTAGTGCATGTTGGCAGACCTCACATGTCTTCGAAATATTTTAATTTCAAACATGCATGATAAGGAATCCTTACTATATTAATCTCCTTTACCGCCGATCACCCGATCACATGGTAAATCAACACTTAAAACTGCAATTAACAATTTCATTCGTGCCTGCAGGCAAGCCTCACCTACTATGAACACACTATGGTACCACAGCTTCACTCAAAGAAATAAGGAAATGAAATTTAACATCATTGTTCTTTATTATGATAAGCAATATACATTGTCTTGATAACACTAGAAGTAAAAATATCACAATCCATTATATTTAACATTTTATGCATTTATTGTAATATTATAGGTAAAGAATATGATATTGGATCTATTCTGATTTCTGGATTACAATCTTTTATTAATAGCAGTAAATCAATTAGGATAGGATGACAACTGACTAATTGCCATAACCCATTCAGAAAATGGGTATGTACACCTAAAGTTATGAATAGTAACAGATTTTCATTGTATGCCTAAACAGCATAATAAAGCGCTAATTGAAATGTGGATGCGAGGCACTATCTCCATAAATTATAAGGCCTACTACCTTATATACTATCACTATTTAATCTGCAATCATATGATATACAGTATTTCAAGTAATTATTTCTATTGCACTATTAATTTCTGAATATTTGACTGGTAATAACAATATCTATTTTATAAAATGTTATAAAAGAATTACAGACAAGAGAATTACCTACTTGCAATGAAATTATCAACAGATACACAAATTATATATATTCATATAATATATTATATCATACCAAAGAGTAAATATACATTTACTACACAATATTTTATAAATATGTAAAACCTATTCATGACTGTATAAATGACTAGAATAAATTGTAGTTAATTTTTATAAATTAATACAGTACATTATACTGACAAATAAAAACAAAAAAACATTAAAAATGTTTAAATAAAGCTCCAAAATATTATTTAAAGTATAAATTAAGATTCACTAGATGGTAGAACTTGTTTCATATCTAGGACTCTGTCTAGGTGGGTACAACCCTATTACCTATATCTGCCGCCAAATGGCAGTGTGTACACTAACTGCAGTGTTAGTGTGAGAGCCAGTATAATTAATAACTGGCTGTGAGGCATTATATCTTAGTTTTAGTTAGTTGGTTGCAGGTTTGCATGGGCTACTGTAGCCACTTGGCATCAGGTAAATGTAAATGCATTGTAATTTCTATTTTATATATAAAAAAAAACTTTATATATTTATAATAGCTGTTATGCCTACTAATCCTAAATTAAAATTAATAAATATATACTGCCCATAGTCTTACTCATTCGAAGCTGCAAGGTATTTTGTAGTTAATTAATAAAAAAGTTATTCTTGAGCAAACTTGTGCAATCAATTTTAAATAATAATAATTTAATAGTGTTTTATAAAATGGCCCATAAAATATTAAGACACAAGAACATCAAGAACTAGCAATATCTAATGTCCTAATTTTTTCAACTAACCCTAATAACAAGAATAATTTAGAATTATTAAATGGACAACAAAATAAGAATTAAAGCCTTAAAATAAGGAACAAGATATGCAGGCTTGTGATAAAGGCGAAAATACACAACACAATGTTAAAGAGTGGACTTAATTAACAGTCTTTTAGGGTTAAATATTATTATATAAGTACTATATTAATTATTGTATTGATTAGTCCTAAATCATAATACATACAGATTTTTATTTTCAATTCTTTCCCCTTTCCGTAATTTTGCTATTAGCGTTTTATAAACAAGTGGTAAAATTAAAAACTTTGTACAATCAACTTCATTATAAATTGTTAAGGATAACTCAAAAACTACTGGTCAGACCTTGAATATGGGACCACATGGAAAGTACCAACTTTCAAATAAAAATAAAAAAAAGAATCATCGAAATCGGTTCAGGGGTCAAATTCAAATTTATTTATTGCCAGAATGTAGTACATAATATTATGATGTTATTTATTAATCAGACCTTACATTCTACCATGATAATGGCGTGCAATATCTTTACAATATACAAAAAAAAAAAAACTATTTCCACAATTTAATGAGGTAAAATATTTAAGAAAAATAATTATGTACTTGTAGTTATTTAAAAATATTTTAGCGTCAAGTTTTTAAATTACAATAAATACATGTCAAAAATTTAATTAATTAGGTAATTGATTATATATAAATGTCGAGTATCTAAAAAAATATTAATAAATGTCCAAAAAGTAAAATAAAATAATTATTAAATAAATTAATAAGTTTCATATATTTCACCATTATTTCTTCGAATAATCAGTGAACATACATTAAAATAAAAGATTCCAACGACTTGCGAACCTCCTCCTTTTTGAAGTTGGTTGATGAAGTTGTATTTTAAGTATAATGCTGTCATATAATTATAAAAGTAATTTTTTTTTGCTTTGGAAAATGACTAGAAATTAGAATATGACTAGAATAGAATAGTCTTTGCTTAATCAAGGTGCTTTCTTGTTAAAATTCAGTGATATTTTACACAATTTTTAAATTATTGGTGTAATGAGATTCAATAAATGTGTAATGACAATTTCATTAATTACTGTGCCAACACACCAAGCTTTTTCCTCAACTGTGAATCTGTGGGTAAGCCTAGGGCCCATTTACGAAGGCCTACAAGCATGACGGAACTTAACACAAGAATAGCTCCAAAAACAGAATATTTACTCGGCATCTCGTTGAAAAACATTATTTGCCACAAGAATGCAAATACAATGTCAGCAGAACGAGCTATAGCAACAGGACCAGCCTGTTCCATTTGTAAAGACATTGTTAGAAGAATTTGTCCTAAATAACTAAATAAAGCAAGGCATACAACAAGAAATCTCTCTGTTCCACAATTGGGCATACATAATATACCAAACATGACAGAGTAAAAAAGAGTTTGCAAGATAGCAATAGCGCCAAAATTTGTCATGATAACAGAGAAATGTAATCCTTTCAGAACTCTTAAAAGAACATATGCATTAGCTCCAAATATTGTTGAAACAAATGCAGCCACAGCTCCTACAAGACTGCTGTAATTAGTATTCTTTTCCGCCTTATCACTTCCAAAAAATATTGGTGGATGGGTGATTAGTATAACACCAACCAAGGTCAATATTATTGATATAGTGTTCCAAATACCGCATGGTTCTTTCAAAAACACACGAGCAAATAATGCCACAAAAACGGGCACAGAGAATACTATAACTGATGCATCAGCTAATGGCATATGTCGGAATGCATAAAAACTTAACATTAGACCAACTGTACCTACTACTGAACGTAAAGCAAGTAACATTCGTTTCCCTTTAGGGAATACAGGTTGTTCCGTGTAAATAACTATTGGTATTGTTGGTAATAGCACACCTATGAAACGAAACATTGCAAGTTGTGTTGGATCTATATTTACCAGGCTTTTAACAATAACGGAGCACAGGGAAAAAAATAACGATGACAACGTCGCGAGTATTAAACCCAGGTAAGGACATCTCTTAATAAGCGGGCGTTTGTTTTCTAATAAATTTGGTAGAGTTTCATCACCACTGCCTGCAGACAAGTCGACCAAGTGTTGAAGTTCCAAATGTTCAGGCATAGCGAATGGGCCCCACCTGAAACCGCACCCAACATTTTTCGTGACCAAAGAATATTTTATACAAATATTTCGTGGATGATTCATTATAATATTTGACTTGATATTTACAAGCTTAATAAGTTTATACAATTCAATTTCAGTAGTTGGTTACACTTTTATAAACTTAATATCGAATGGTCATAACTATTAAAGCATATTTATTAAAGGTATAATACCTAATAAAAACCAAATACAAAATTTTGCATGAAAATTGAAAATGTCTAGTGTCTACTTCGTTTGTCACAGACTGAGACCGAGATAAATTACTAAACCACAGACAATTATTTAAAATTTAAGTTACTATTATTCTTCAAACCCTAAAATGAATTAAATTATTAGGAAACGATTATTAAGAAACGTTCTTGGAAAATAAAGCATTTATTATGTAACATATATTTTTTTTTTAAAAAGCTAAGCTAAGTGTGAATATCGCTGTCGCACTTCGATAAAGCTTTTGTGCAATCTATAACCTATCTCATTTTAGCCAATCAAAAGACAGGTTAAAAAAAAGAGATAGAGCAGTATGAACTTTCTTCGTATGATAAATATGTAACTATATTATATTATTATTTTATATGTATTTGTTATGATGTAGATTACTTTAAAAAAGGTTTTATTAAAACAAATTAGTCTTGCTATACTTTTATAATGATTCAAAATTTGATTTTAGAAACTTGTGATAATAGAAAAATAATACGGATCATGTGCATCTATCTCCTTTACATAACAGTATTTATGATGCTAAAAGAAAGAGAAGAACGTAGTCTCTGTTGACAAGTAAAAATAAGCAAATATGTAACCAAAGTTATATTTACTTTGTGTGTAATTAGACCATCATAATATTTCATTTCTATTTCACTTCGAAGAGAATAATAAAGTTTTATTTTTAAGTATCTTATTACTATGATAAGTAATAACTCGTATTGCGGCAAACCCTGAATATCCCCACCTACGTTTGTTACTCAATATTATTTCTGTGTACTGTGTAGTTATCTATGTCTATCTCACTTAGTCTTTCACTTTAAGTCATTTTTACGTTCGTGCGCTTTAAGACATTTTGTGTGTTTTGTTTATCATTTTAGCGTGATATTGTAGTGACTTAATTAATAATACGTCAAATATTGTTGTGGCAAAAAGTGCTTTATTTTTTAACATAAATAGTGATACTTACGAAATATCAATTGTATAACAAGGACGCAAACAACTCGGTAGCTGCACCTCAAAATGGCTGCTGTTAATAAATCCTTACCTCTTAATCTAGATAAAGTATGCCGTGCATGTCTACAAATAAAAAAGGACATGCGACCTTTATTCGAACAACTTACTGCGACAATGTTGATGGGGATATCCAAAGTACAGGTGAGATGACTGACAAAATTTTGATATTTTGGGAAATTTATTGTTGTCCTTCTCGCACTCGTTGAATAGCACAACCTATGCGTCAACGACGGACATACTCCTATCGGGCCATCTTTGTTTAAAAGTCATCGGATGACCAATTTCAGCATTCTAGGGCCTTGCGTATGTATTCTCGGAATTTTATTGAGAAATGTGTGGCTATCCTTTTCTGTTTATATAAGCCAGTAGCACATAGGTAATTATTATAAATACAACGACTATTTATGAGAATATATCAAACCTTTGTATAATTACTTGTCTTTAATATGATTGAAATCACATCACATCAATAATATAATTGAAATGGATGCAAATGATTAAACTTTTGATATTTTACTATGTACATTATCTATCACATTTTTGATGGGTGAAAAGGCGGGGGACTGGTGGAAAATCCATTGTGGAATACGTTTTTTAAAGTAGTTTGCTCTATGATTAAAATCTTAAACAATTTTTAAACGCTTAAAGTTTATTTTAGTCTGACATTTTCGGACCTTGGCCGTGATTGAAACTTGATACTCTTATTGGGACCTACAGCTAGTAGGTATTATATCTGCCGTAGTTGCCTCACTTGGTTTTATTATTATTTGAGTTATTTGTCCTGTTTCATTTCCCGCTGTCGTCTCTTACGACAGTCACGGTAGAATATGGGGTTATGGGGTGTGGATATATTCCTACACCGCCACTACCACCATTAATGTAATATTATACTCAATACTACATGACTGTTAGGCTGATAAAAAAGGAAGGAAAGAATGAAAAAGTACTTAGGTACACTTTACGTCAAAAAATGATAAGTTAAAAACAATTTTTTTATTAAATAAAACCAAAAAAAAATATTGACGTATGTATTTCATTTTGCGCAAACTTCTGCACGCGTGTCCGCCCGTTTTTAACTCATGTGGGAATAATAAACAGAAATGGCTCCATGTTAATGTTTCCCTCAGTAACTTTTACTTGCTCGTTGTAAAAGGCCCTGTAACGCAGCGGCTAAGCGTTAGGTTGTGGTCCTACGGGCCATGGGCTTGAATCCCGCACGTTAAAAATATTTCTGGGTAAATATAAAGCTCAGGGGGCTCGCTGTAAATTGCAGAGTACGCGAGCAACCCGGGTTCGATCCCCGCCGGCGCTTGTAAAATTGTTAATTACAGTTTTAAGTGCTGATTTACCACGAGCTCAACGGTGTAAGAAAGCATCGTGAGGAAATCTGGCGAATTTCGAAGACGAAGTTCGCCAACACGCATTGAGACAGCGCGCCGGACATTTCCTTGCCCTTAGAAATGAGAGGAGGCCAGTGCACAGCAATGAGACGTATCTATACAAATAAATAAAATTGAAGTGTTTGTTTGTAATGTCAAAATAACAGCTTTTTACTAAATGCATATGTAAGTATATACGGTTCTAATAACAAAAATTAAATTTTTAAAGTTTTTGTCTGTGGTCTGTCTGTCTGTTTGTTCCGGCTAATCTCCGAAACGGCTGGACCGATTTTGATGGGATTTTCACTGGCAGATAGCGGATGTCACAAGGAGTGACTTAGGCTACTTTTATTTTAGAAAAATAATTAGGGTTCCGCGCGTTTAAAAAAAAATAAAACTCCAAATAACACGCGGGCGAAGTCGCGCGGGACAGCTAGTCTTTAAATAATTGTTCCGGATGTGAATGTTTGTCTTGTGAAATTTATGTATGAAAAACGTCTCCACGACTTTTTAACCTTAAAAAGTCAAATTAGGAACTTTTTAAATTAACAAAATTCAATAAATTAATCCAGGTCTATTTGTGTACCTACTAAATTATATCCAAATCTGTTTGTGTGATTGTGTAACCAACATACAATCATCTTCACAATCTTTCATATAATACTTAGTAGGTACTTTAGTGATTAAGTAGGAGATGGAATAAATAAAATGTTTTATGATCATATTATGATTTAAGTAAATTCCATTTTAATTATTTTATAAATAATGTTTTAATGTAATAATAAAATTATTTATTTATAATATTGACTTGTTCATCATCATCATCATTACAACCTACACAAGTTCACTGCTGAACATAGGTCTCCCTTAAACAACGCCGCAAGGCACGGTGCTGAGCCACCTGCAACCAATGACTTACTGCATTTTTTTTATAGGATAGGGTGACAATCGAGCACACAGTCAACCTGATGGTAAGTGGTTACTGTGACCAGTAAACATCTACATCTAACCTCAAAAAAATCAGAATGCAGATGCGTTGTCACCCGTGAGGACTAAGTGCCTCTTTTCCAAAAAAAAAAAAAACAGAATCTCCGGTTCTCTACACTCACCATACGAAACACAGCTGTGTTAAGCTGCTATCTTACGCTGGTATTCTGTGACAGCGTGGTCCTTCCCGGTCGAGCCGACCCATTCGTGCTACAACTATACTACTAAAATAGCTGCAGCATGGCTCTATCACGTGTGTATACCAAGTCGTCACTCCATCTAGTGGGGAGACGCCCTACACTTCGCCTACCGGTACGAGGCTGTCACTCGAGAGGCTTTCTACCTATTCCTGGCTATTCCATTGTCTTGTTAAGAAGCATTGTTTATGATTACCTCCTAATGTACACAACAAGAATAGCAACCGAACTGAATGGAATAGTGTAATGTTAGTATAGATATAGTTAATAACGAATCATTCAACTCTGCAGGTCGCAATAGGCGATGGTCTTCCAGCGCAACTGTGCTTGCAGTGCGTTCATCAGATATCAAGATGTCACGCCTTCAAGGAGATGGTGGAACGAAATGACATCACACTACGTGAACAGGTTAAGACAGTTGAAAACGCTCTCAAGGCTGAGGTAAGACAAGTAGGGATTTTTTTTTAAATATAAACGTGAAAACAACATACCTACTATAATCAATGTCAAAGTCAAATATTTTTATTGAAAATTGATTTTATAAAACACTTTTTGAAAGTCAAATGCTTCAACTATCACTTCAACAACTTACTGCGGGGAAACCTTGTGAGCAGTGACGTCGCTACCGCAGGGCTAGGCGGGGCAGTGCCCCGTGTCCCCCAAGCTCAAATGGCCCTTTATTTTTTACAAGCTTCCGCCCGCAACTTCATTCGCCTGATATGGACCAACATTGAAAATTATCCCACTGAATACTTTTATCGGGATAAAAGTATCCTATGTCTTACCCAGGTCAAGCTGTATCCGTGTGCAAAATTTCATCTAAATCCATCCAGTAACTTTCGTGACAGCGTAACAAACAACGAACATTCACATTTATAACAATACTTAGTAGTTATACTTAGTAGTAAGTAGCTTTGCTTTATGTCTTGCAGCTAAGGAACTGAAGTTGAAGTAGTTTTCCACCTTTAAAGTATTTATTTTATTTTAAATAGGGCCCCAATCTCATTTTTGCCCCAGGGCCCTTTGTTACATAGCTACTCCACTGCTTGTGAGAGAAGAAGCGGCAATAAACTCAAACTTTTTATAAAACTTTTTATACGTGGTAGAGCCATGCTGCAGCTATGTTAGTAGTATAGTTGTAGCACGAATGTGTCGGCTCGACCGGAGGAGGACCACGCTCTCACAGAATACCAATCTCACACTAATAGTATGGTGAGTGTAGAGAACAGGAGACCCATTTTACTGGAAAAGAGGCATTCCACCTTAGTCCTCATGGGTGGCGACGTTAAAAATTTTGTACAACCGACTTCAATATAAGTTATTAAGAATAACTCAAAAACTATTGGTCTGACCTTGATCAAATTTATATGGGACCACATGAGAAGCACCAGCTTTCAAATAAAAAAAAGAATCATCGAAATCGGTTCAGGTAGAACAACGTTATGAAGTAACACATTTTAACAGTGGTAGAGCCAGGCGGCAGCTCTTGCTGTCGCATGGATGGGCCGGCTCGAACCGGGGTGGTACCACGACCTCACAGAATACCAGCGTGAAATAGAGGTTTACCTCTGCGTTTCGCATGGTGAGTGCAGGTGGCCGGAGGCCCTTTTTACTGGAAATGAGGCATTCCATCTTAGTCCTCACGGGTGAAAACGCATCTGCATTTTGATTTGTAATAGAGGATAGATGTAGATGTCTATGGGCCGCAGCAACCACTTACCATCAGGTGGACTGTGTGGTCGTTTTTCACCCTTATCCTATAAAAAAACATAAAAAAACATACACTGGAATTGAGTACCTCCTCTTGTTCGAAGTCGGTAGAAAAGAAATGAATGCATGTGGTTAGCGGACGTATATGGGCTGTAACTTTATTTTATCTACTGACTTCAAAAAGGAGCCGGTACTCAATTCGACTGTATGTTTTTTTATGTGTGTTACCTCATAACTTTTTACTGTGTGAACCGATTTCGATGATTCTTTTTTTATTTGAAAGCTCGCACTTCACATGTAGTCCCGTATGAATTTGATCAAGGTTAGACCAATAGTTTTTGAGCTATTCTTAATAATTTATATTGAGGTCGGCTGTACAAAATTTTTAATTTTAAATTATTTTTACTTTAAAACAACATAACGTTGTAAAAATAAGTTCATCATGATTTGAATGTTATACTATTGCTTCATCTTTCGTAGTGCGTGTAATAATTTTCCAGTGCAGCGTCTGTTTTTCAATCCGATAAGAATCAATACGTGCTCTCAAGGCTAGAGTGAATAGGTTTTGATACGCTAATTCAATGTGCTATTTACGGTCTATAAGTTAGCCAAGCACTAGCTTATAATTATTATTTTTATTTAATTTCTCTACTCTGGTGAGAGTGGTAGAGCCATGCTGCAGCTATATTAGTAGTATAGTTGTAGCACGAATGGGTCGGCTCGACCACACCACAGAATACCAGCGTAAAATGGCACCTTGACACTGCTGTGTTTCGTATGGTGAGTGTAGAGATCCGGAGACTCTTTTTACTGGCAAAGAGGCATTCCATCTTAGTCCTCACGGGTGACAACGCATCTGCATCTTGAGTCTTTAGTGAAGATAGATGTAGATGTCTATGGGTCACAGTAACCACTTACCATCAGGTGGACTGTGTGCTCGTTTGTCACCCTATCCTATAAAAACAAAAACTCTGTAAATTGCCTAACCTTATTTGGTGCAAAGACATCTAAATAAATACGTTAAGATGCGTTGTCAACTCTAAGATGGAATGCCTCACAACCTGTAATTATACTGGCTCTCTATACTCTTCAGACTAGACCACGGGTACTGTTGCCAGGTCCAGTGTGTTAAATTTCGGTACGGAAGGTAAAAATAAGGAACGTATTCAATGGCTACAAAAAACAGATTGAGATATTCTCAAACGCCCAGACAAAAATCCTTCCATCGTACGTATAATGTAATTTTATTTATTAACACGACAACACCACCGCTTGAAGAAATTAGCTAGTGGTAGAAGTTCTACCGTATAACCCGCAAGACGTTTGAATTTCAATTAATTTACTCAGCATAAGTTAGAGATGTATTCATTTTTGTCGCCAAAATTGTTTAAAACATTTGGCGTCCCGATCAAGGTTGAATTGGGACTTGTCACGAAACTTCTGAATATCGGGATACCCCGCATAAATCGGGATACTTGTCAACACTATCCACAGCATTGCAAGTAAATGACAAGCGACTGACGAACTTCCTGAACTTTAGTAATAAATCTCAGGATATAGCATACTATGCTTTCACTTTTACCATAATTATAATCATTATAACCCATTACAAGTCTACAGCTAAATCTATATTCAGTCCTATGTCGAGACCTATGTGTCAGGTTGTTAAGGTCTAGGTCTCCCCCAAGGAAAGCCACAAAAACCTTTTTAACTTTACCATATCAATGTGTAATCTTACACACCACTATAAATTTTTACTATTAATATGTAAAGGCAATTGTCCCCAGGATGTTAAACTAAATATGAACTGCGAAGACCAGTCCTCATTCATCCAGTACATAGAGGTGCCGATATTGAACAATGGTAATCCAGTGCCGATCCTGAATAACGGCGATCCGGTGCTGGGTGGATTCTTCACGGGCAACAATGAGCAGACGCAAGCTAAGACGCAAGATACTGTGCAGAAAGAGGGCTTTGAAATTGAGAAGGTAAACCATTTTACTTTTTTATATAACATACTAGATGATACCCGCTCGCTTCGCTGGGCGCACGATAATATTTTATTGCGGAACCTACATTTAAAATATCAAGAAAATTATTTTCTGATGGGACTATCGTAAAATTCGAAATTCTTAGTGAGTGTCTACGTTGCGAAATGAGTAACTACAGGAGAATCCGTTTATTATGACTCCGCTTATATTGACCAACTGCTTATTTAACTACGTAATTACCAGCGAAGTTTGGTTTTCATACAAAATTCTTTATAATAAAGTCGGATATAATGACTTCTCTTATAGTGACATGTCGCTTATTGTGATCCATTTTTACTAAATTGTGTCCGGTTATGGTGACCGACATAAATCCCAACACCTTCGACAGTGTTCAGGAGAGTCAATTGATACCCGACGACGTTCGGCGCGTGGATGGTCTTTTTTTTTGTTTTGCGTCTCAGTGGGTAGTTGATTAGTTGTGAAGATCACGGGATTGTTTGTTAGTGATTTGTGAAAAAAATTAAATCTCAACGTCAGTGCAGTTTAGAAAATGGAGAATCCAACTCATCTCTCGCAAGGGAATTTGGTCACTCGACAATCTCAATGATTTTTAAAAACAATAATTTATTATTAAGAATTTAAGTTACTTTAATTAAAGATTTTTCTCTGTTAAAATAAATACATACTAACAAAAACTGGAGATTGTTTATTTTCTACAAAATGCTTTATATGAACGTCCGCTTAGTATGACGTGTTTGTTATTTCCCTTCGATGTCATTATAAACGGATTCCACTGTATACTAAATTTCAAGCCAATCGGGTGTATAGTTTTAAAGATCTTGTGATGAGTCAGTCAGTCAGTGGTATTTCGCTTATATATATTTAAGATTACGAGTGAATAAGTTAGTTGGTAGGAGGGGTAATTCTTTTTTTTATAGGATCGAGTGACATACGAGCACACAGTCCACCTGATGGTAAGTGGTTGCTGTGGCCCATAGACATCTACATTTATCCTCGTTTGCGAATCAAAACGCAGATGCGTTGTCACCCGTGAGGATTAAGATGGAATGCCTCTTTTCCAGTAAAAAGGGTCTCCGGTTCTCTACACTCACCATACGAAACACAGCAGTGTTAAACTGCTATTTGACGCTGGTATTCTGTGAGAGTCGCTATTTTATATCTGCACTGATAATTAGGTCCCGCGTCGGGTCGACAAACACCGTTATTGAATTTTTCTGGCAAGAAATTCTCAGTAGCCAGCTCGGAGATAGGAAGTTGGCTTTGTTTCACCCCCGTGCCTCGGAGAGCATGTAGCCGTTGGTCCTGCACTTGATCTCTCTCTGGTAGTGTCGGATGGCCGTCCCATTGGACTATGAGAGTGAGGGAATAAAGAGTGCGCCTGTGCTTGCGCGGATGGCTAGTCTCCATTTAGAATGGTCGCCGTGTCCGAAATTCGGTCTGACAGACATTATTATTATTATTGATGAAGAAAATATCTTGGGGAAACCTGCATATCTTAAAAAAATATGCATAAAGTAAGAAATGTATTTCTAAGGCACATGAAGTCCGCCAATACAACAGGTAGCATAGGCGGACTATTGCTGTCCCAAAAAAATCACTCTCAGTATTGGAAGCAGGAGAAGAGGAGGCCAGTGCAAAGCAGTATAACTTAAATAGGCAGTAACTTTTCTTTTCAACGGAATCGGATTTCGGAAGTCGTTGTATGAACTAAAGAAGTATTTTATAATGTAACAGGTACCACAAGATCAACAGGCGGCGAAGGAAGACGACCCACTGAATATGGACGAAGACAACTACATGCAGCTGGTGGTGTTCCAAGTGACGTCCTCAGTGTCGCCTGGACGCCACGTGTGCAATCTCTGCCATAAGGAGTTCAAACATGGCCGCTGGCTAAAGCTGCACATGAGGTCTCACGCCAACTGGATCAAGGCTAACTGCAAGAAGCCCCCAATGTGTACTGTGTGCAAGAGGACTTTTAAGGTGAGTTGTTTTGTAGAGGATTTTTTTCACGATTTTGGGTTGGTCTTACATATGTGTACATGCATATTTTTTTAGTGTGCGTAAGATCGAATGTAAAAAAAATATTATAGTTTTTTTTTTAAATATAATAAGAGTGACAAACGAGCGTACAGTTCTCCACACCCAGTAAGTGAATGCTGTGGCCCATATACATCTACATCTATCGTCGGTTCAGAATCAAAATGCACATACATTGTCACCCCTGAAGACGGAATGCCTCGTTTCCAGTGAAAAGATACTACGGATCTTGTGATATAGACTCTACGGTGGCTAACCGCTAAGTGAGCGGCGAGCCAAAACAAGTACTTTTTATATAGACCGATGACGCAACCGCTCTCTACTTAAGGAGCCAGCGAGTGTGTGTAGCACACTATAAGAAACAGAAGCATTAAGCTGCTTTTGTACGCTGGTATTCTGTGAGAGCGTGATTCTTCCCCGGGTGGAGCGATCCATTCATGAGGATAGACGTAAATGGGCCACATTATCCACTTACAATCAGGTGAACTTTGTGCTCGTTTGTCACCCTTACCTATACCGACATCATTCAGAAGCCGTGAGATCTTGACATTTACCATAGCTAGTCTCTTACGACACCCACAGGACGAAATGGGATGATAGATTCTGGGACCTGTTACAATTTAAAAATAAAAAACAAGAAGAAGTGATATTAAAAATAATCGAAATAAAATAAAATAATTTAAAATTAAAAATGTTGTACAACCGACTTCAATATAAATTATTAAGAATTATTCAATAACTATTGGTCAGACCTTGATCAATTTTCAAATTTATATGGGACCACATTAGAAGCACCAGCTTTCAAATAAAAAAATAATTATTAAAATCGGTTCACGTAGAACAAAGTTATGAGGTAACACACATTAAAAAAAATACAGTCGAATTGAGTACCGTCTCCTTTTTGGAAGTCGACAGACAAAGGGCGCTGGGGCAAAAATGAGATTGGGGCCCTATTTAAACTAAAATAAATACTTTATAGGTGCAAAACTACTTCAACTTCCTTCCTCCCGTTCGAAGTCGGTAGAAAAGAAATGAATGCCTGTGGTTAGCGGACGTATATGGGTTGTAACTTTATTTTTTTTTACTTTAAAACAACATAACGTTGTAAAAATAAGTTCATCATGATTTGAACGTGTTATATTATTGCTTCATCTTTCGTAATGCGTGAAATAATTCCTTTTTGAAGTCGGTAGAAAACAATATTTTATTCTAGGGTCCCGGTATGCTGAGAATGCACATGCGTACCCACGAGCAACGTCCGCCGAAGCAGCCGACCTGTTCGGTCTGCCAGAGAACCTTTCAAACGAAAACCCTACTCTACCGTCACCGACAGACCCATTTTGAGCAGAAAACGCATCAGTGCACAGTTTGCGAGAAACGCTTCTTTAATGGCTACGCATTAAGGTCGCATTTGGCTCGGCACAGAGGCGAGCGACCGTACATCTGCTCTATTTGCTCGAAAAGCTTCTATAACCCCACTGATTTGAAGGTGAGTGATTTAATACACTACTTAAGTTTTGCCATAATAGTACAGCTTTGTAGGATGATTGTTACACTCACTTGTTTTTTAATTAGCGAATACATTCGAGGAACACATTATCTTAGTTGGATTGCACACAAAACATGCTAAAATATCTAATAAATATACATATATTTTTTTATAGAATAAGGGTGACAAATAAGCACACAGGCCACCTGATGGTTAGTGGACGCTGTTGATGAGTTGATGATGCGTTGTCACCCCTGAGGACTAAGATGGAATGCCTTGTTTCCATTAAAAAGAGTCTCCGGTTCTCTACACTCACCATACGAAACCCATCTGCATTAAACTGCTATTTTATGCAGGTATTCTGTGAGAGCGTAGTCCTACTCCGGTTGATTCGTGTTCGTGCAACAACGAAGAATGTTTGGTGATGCGTGCCCTCTCATCGGAAAGTCTTGGGTTATTGCCCAACGAGCGCAGTTAAGCTGTCTGTCTGTCTGTGTCAGTACGCCGTATGTCATGTGTCATGTGAAGTCGTACAAAGTTTTCTCAACTGAGTGCTGTGTTTTTTTTGGGACATTGTTTATTTCCATACTATAGCTGCAGCGTGGCTCTACCACGTTTTATTTGTTTCTAATTCTAAGTTCATACATTCAATCACAATCTGCCGAACTGTAACACAGATTGTTGGTAGCAGCTCTCGGGGATACAACACACACACATATATATATATATATATATTACTAGTTCGCCAGGCAGACGTTCTGCCCTTTCCAACGACTCTGCCTATAAAATAGTTAAATTCGCAATAAAAAATTTTGAGGGTCATTTATCGGGATAAAAACTATCCTATCTCTCAAGTTGGACCAAAATGCACACATCGTGCAAAATTTCATTGAAATCAGTTCAGTAGTTTAGTAGTCCATCTCGGACAGACAACGTGACACGTAATTTTTCTATATTAAGATATACTCGTATATATATATATATATATATATATATATATATATATATATATATATATATATATATATATATATATAATGTATTTGTGTGTCTTTTCTAGATTAATTAACAGCGAATCAAGCACTATTTTCGTTAGGAAGTTTTTAAATAATTTGGGTTATTATCAGGAACATTAACCGTGTAGTGGCGGTCTAAAAATGTCCAATACTCGTACCCCATGTCGTCCCGTGGGCGTCGTAACAGGCGACAGAGGGCATTCCAATAAGGCATATGGGGGAGGCTTATGTTCAGCAGTGGAATTTTATGGACTGTAACGGATGGATGAAATGGATCAGGAAGATGCCCATTCCTGTTTTAGTTTCCCCTTTGACGTCTCATAAGATACCCACATTACGGCATGACTACTATCTGTGTTGGATGTGTACACGATACATTTGCTCATTATGATTTATTTCGGCCGCAAGTTCTTGACAACTCTTCTTGCCCCACGATTTCATATAGTTTCTGTTACCCGAGTAAATAAGACTTGTAAATAGATTATGATTTGTCATTTTAATTAAAATGTTACCCTCATATTACTATCAAAATATTACCCAGTAAATGCTTCAAATTTTAACGTTCTTTTTATTGAATAAAATTACGATTACGCGTTTTTAATATTATTTTGCCCGTTTTTAAGTATATTATAGAATAGTTATGGCAAACTTATGACGAGCGGGGCAAACATAGATTCACGCAGGATTTGAGTGACTTACATGTTTTTTATAAACTTAGGATAACTATTTTAAACATGAAATAAAACTAAACGAAACCAGTTTTATTACACGTGTAGTATTTGCATAAATATAAGAAATCATAACTTATTTTTATTGTGTATACAATAAATACTACACAATAAAAATAAGTTCATTAAAATACTCAGTGCAGACTGCAGAGGTGATTGCCGGCTGGGCATGGTGTCACCTGGTGCGGTAATTCATTGCATCAATCATATAAAATTTTTTACGTCTTTGCTCTTCACATGCAAAAGTAAATTAAAGTAAAAGTTGTTAAACAAAAAGGAAACTTTTTGTTTCAGTTTTAAATGTGAGAACCATAAAAAGTGTGCCACTGTCGTAGTGACACAACTGACTTCCTGACACACGAGCTATTACTAAAAAAATAATGAACAAAATTTGACCCACTTCTCAAAAAAAATTTGCCATCACTGTCATAGAACATGCTTCTGTTATCGATGGGTCTATTATTTTTTATTCTGTAAATATACCTACTATGCTTTAATATAAATTATAAACCTTAAAAGGACAACAAAAGAATATACCTGCAGAATTTCGTTCGCGTTCTTTCTCCGGCTAGAGTAATCTTATGTCGAAATGGAGTACATTTGGAATTAAATTGCATTTGTGCAAACGAAACAAAATTTATAAACGAAATTTCTTTCGTCGAAGGAATAAATATATTTCATTTCAATGTACATATTAGTCGCGGTACGTAAGTCTAGCGCTGAACGAAACGCGGAGGCAGTAGAGTCCAAGGGGGAGGCGTTGGCCGTTAGTCTGGACATTGCGAAGGCCTTCGATCGGGTTTGGCACAAAGCGCTTCTTTCGAAGCTGCCTTCCTATGGGCTTCCCGAGAAATTATGCAATTGGATCACCAGCTTCCTTGCAGATCGGAGCATCAAGGTCGTTGTAGACGGTGCATGCTCTGACTACAAGCCTATTAACGCTGGTGTTCCACAAGGCTGTGTGCTATCACCAACGCTGTTTCTTCTGCATATCAATGATATGTTGCTAACTGGTAACATTCATTGCTATGCGGATGACAGCACTGGTGATGCTCTATACACCGGCCGTGCCAATATTTCTCGGGAAAACGTCGCTGAGTACCGGAACAAACTTGTGTCTGAAGTCGAGTCTTTGCTGAACAAAGTCTCGGATTGGGGGCGACTAAACCTAGTCCAGTTTAATCCTCAGAAGACACAAGTTTGCGCGTTTACCGCTAAAAAGAACCCCTTTGTCGTATCTCCTCAGTTTGAAGGCACTCCCCTTCTTGCCTCAGCCAGTATCGGTATCCTCGGAGTCGACATATCGAGTGACGTGCAGTTTCGTGGTCACTTGGAAGGGAAGGCCAAATTGGCCTCTAAAAAGCTTGGCGTGCTCAGCAGAGCGGGACAGTATTTCATGCCGGCACACCGCCTGCAACTTTACAAGGCGCAAGTTCGGCCTCACATGGAATACTGTTCCCATCTCTGGGCAGGGGCTCCCCAGTGCCAGCTCCTTCCACTTGACCGCATCCAACGCAGAGCGGCTCGAATCGTCGACGACCGAGACCTTTCCGATCGGCTCGATTCATTGGCACTGCGAAGAGATGTTGCATCCCTTTGCATTTTCTTTCGCATCTACCATGGGGAGTGCTCTGAGGAATTGTTCGGATTAATCCCAGCCGCCAAATTTCACGAACGCACATCGCGGCAGAACTCCCGATACCATCCACACCATCTGGATGATTGGCGGTCCACCACTGTGCGATTTAGAAGATGTTTTCTTCCTCGCACGACCTCCTTGTGGAATCGATTACCATCAGCGATTTTTCCGGACCGATACGACTTAGGGACCTTCAAGAAAAGAGCGTACTCCTTTTTAAAAGGCCGGCAACGCATCTGCGATTCCCCTGGTGTTGCAGTTGTTCATGGGCGGCGGTAGTCACTTACCATCAGGTGAGCCGCATTCTCGTTTGCCCCCTCTCCCATAAAAAAAAAACGCGCACGAATTAAATTGCACGAACGCGACATGGAGAGCCAATTAACGCGTGCGAACGATACGCACGAGCCAATCAGCGTGGCTTATGCGTAATAATGGTCAATGACTGTATTTGAAAATATATATTTGTATTTAAATGTATACACGATTCATTCATCCGTAGACGCTCCCAGAGTCCCACAGTCCATTTTCTGAAATCTTTCCTCGTCATCCTGCATAACTTTAAAAGCATCGCCGAAAGCCTTTTTACTTTTCTTCGACAAATATTCTGGGAACACTATAAGGAATCTTATTATAAGATTCCCCTTCGCTTTGTTTGGGCAGGCCGGTATTGGCAGACCTTCGTCTTCGACAATCTTCTCATACGTCGGTGTGATCACATCGGTTATTTTGATTCGCAAAGTACGCGCGTCTAATGTCGTTAATGTGATGGTAACTCCACATAGTGCCTCTTGTAATGTTATAGTTCGAACTGTTAGCAGATCGCTTAAACCTGACCTTATGAATGTGTCGTGTGGACGGTCTTCCGTGATGAACACAACGTCTGCTGGGATTCTTGTAGGGCCTTGATCGCCCTCTCCTTTGAACCTTACTTGCGTATTGGGGTACATACCTGGTTTGATTGGTATCGACAGTACTTTTTCCCTTAATTTCAATTCAGAACATGTCTCATTTGTGAATACCAATCGCTGGATTTTCATCTTCTTTAAACCGCCTTTGTATACTTCCTCTAGAGACAGCGCGAGTGGTCGGACTATAGTAGGGTCTTTTTCTTTGTATCCCTTGCCAAGCGGGGATTCGAACATAGGAAGAGGATTCTCATAGTAATCTAGTAAGTCAGCGTAAGGGTTGGACGTGCCGAAGAACTCGTGGAATGTTCTTAAAGGGTCGCCGTGGTACGTGTAAGGTTGAATGAACACTGCCGGGCCCGGGACGCCCCTTTTCAACCCTTCTTCCCCGTATTGGTCGTACACAGCTCGTCTCTTGTGATCCACTAACACTTCATACGCCTCGGCTATCAGAGCGAAGATCTTTTTCATATTCTCATCGTTGTCGTATTTTTCTGGGTTATATTTTAGTGCGAGGCGTCGATACGCCGCTTTGATTTCGTGTTGCTTACATGAATATTTAACACCTAATATGCTATAATAATCGAAACCCATTTCATGCGAATATTGTCAACAAACTACAAAAATAATAATAAATATTAATATCTGTCAAAATGAAGTTGCATTATTTTTGGTCATTTTGACGTTGTCAGTTTGTTTTTAATTTTATTTTTTCCGTTCGTTATTACGTTCATATTTAATAGTTTAGGAATTTATACCAAAAGCAATATTTAACAAGAAATGTAGGAAATTATTGACTCTTTCCTTCGGCTTTGGTTCAACAAAATATCGTATTTTATACACGATTTTGATGCGTGCGAATTGATACTTCTTGAAATAGTATATGCTCGGAAATAATATGCACATACATGAAATACTCAATTAAATTCTAATTCGAATAAGTTTTAAAATATTTTATATTAATCGAGATAAAAAAAAAAACAATCATAATGTAGTTGCCGCGAAGAAACTTAGGCTGACTTTTGAGTTCTCGTCTTTTTAAGCGATAATCATATAACATTTTTATATAATGCCTTTCGTATTATCAAATTCATTTTTTAACAGTGGTAGAGCCACGCGGCAGCTTTTGCTGTCGCACGGATGGGCCGGCTCGAACCAGGGTGGTACCACGACCTCACAGAAAACCAGCGTAAAGTAGAGGTTTACCTCTGCGTTTCGCTTGGTGAGTGCAGGTGGGCGGAGGCCCTTTTTACTGGAAATGAGGTATTCCATCTTAGTCCTCACGGGTGACAACGCATCTACATTTTGATTTGTAATAGAGGATAGATGTAGATGTCTATTGGCCGCAGCAACCACTTACCATCAGGTGGACTGTGTGCTCGTTTGTCACCTATATCCTATAAAAAAAAAGTACCGTGTTTAGGGGGAGACTTATTTCAGACGTGAACTTGTGACAGTCTTTAATAATAACAACGAGGATGATGAATTGTAATCACGGTATCCTTTTGATTAATGACGGTATTCTACTAATATTTACGTCCCGGATTTTCGTATCTTTTTATGCCTCCTATATCCCTTTCGTTATTAGAAATAGCTACCCTACTATGCCTGGGATTGCACAGTGAGTACACAGTCCGTCTGATGGTAAGTGAAAACTGTGGCCCATAGACATCTGCATCTATACTCTGTTAGGAATCAAAATATAGATCGTGTTAATCTTGTATTATAATACATAATACTATTAAATATTCTTTTAGGTTCATTTTCGGTTGCACACCGGCGAAAAGCCTCTCAAATGCTCCGAATGCAACAAAACCTTCCGTCGCCACTCCACACTGTGCCAACATATGAAGAAGCACCGCGGCATACGAAACCACGTCTGTTCAGTTTGTAACAAAGGATTTTATGAAGTGTCGAAGCTTAACGCCCACATGAGAGTGCACACAGGTAAGTGTTAGTAAGTCATAAATGCTTCCGAAGATAGTATTATATTTAAAAAATATGTACGAATATTAACTTAGTTCTATAAAATTATAGCTGGTAAGAGAGTTTGAGACCGTTGTTAGAGACGGCAATTGGTCAGAAATACCTCATGGTTCCTGGTGGCGAAAAGTACCATCAAAGGTGCGAAACGTTTTGTACCACTTTTTTTTCTAATACAAAACCAATCCGTTCCTTTCAACCAATTTCTTAGCTTTCGTATCTCTCGCAGTACGTGCAATAGTGTAGGGCATCACCCCACTAGATGAAGTGACGACTTGGTAAGACATGCAGGAAGTCGATGGATGCAGGTGGCTTAGGACCGTGCTTTGTGGCATTCCTTGGGGGAGGCCTATGTTCAGCAGTGGACTTGTGAAGGTCTGTAATGATAATGACGATAATCGCTATTAAGGATGTGTGTAATATAATGGCTCTTTTACCTTACAAATTGGAACACAGAAGTGAGTGTACTGCTAGTTGCTACAAATAGTAAGCGGTTGATACCAACTCGGACAAACTCCTTGTCATAACGTGAGCCACATTACATAGAAAGTTATTTAAAACAATTTCAATGTAGGTATACTTTAATCGTGTAGTGGCGGTGTTAAAATATCCACTACCCCGGATGTATCGTAAGAAGCAACAGAGGTAAACCAAAATAGGAGTTAGGAGGATAGAGATAATAACTTAATAACCAAACCGCCCGTGAGACAATATTTTTATATTTATTTATTTTATTTTATAGTATAAGGGTGACAAACGAACACAGTCTACCGGACGGTAATTAAAGTGCTGTGGCCCATAGACATATACAGCTTTTTTATAGGATAAGGGTGACAAACGAGCACACAGTCCACCTGATGGTAAGTGGTTACTGCGGCCCATAGACATCTACATCTATCCTCTATTACAACTGAAAATGTAGATGCGTTGTCACCCGTGAGGACTAAGATGGAATGCCTCATTTCCAGTAAAAAGGGCCTCCGGCCACCTACACTCACCAAAGGAAACCCAGAGGTAAATCTCTACTTCACGCTGGTTTTCTGTGAGGTCGTGGTACCACCCCGGTTCGAGCCGGCCCATCCGTGCGGCAGCAAAAGCTGTCGCGTGGCTCTACCACTGTTAAAATCTGCTGTCTTCGATTAAGAATCAAAATGCAGATGCGTTGTCACCCCTGAGGACTAAGTTGGGATGCCTCGTTTCCAGTAAAAGGATCTTTACGGGAGAGATCTAAATTATAATTGATTCTTGATCTGATTGTTATTTTCGTGGGTTTTATCATCTTGACGCGGCTTAAGCAGCCTTTAGCTGGGAACACAATAAGTACGAAGGCGTATCCGGTTGTGTTCTGGACGAACGGGGGGACCCCTTGTATACGCTAACGGTAACCACTGTGGACTTTTAGCCGGTAGAAGTCCGGCATAACTATTTCGTTGCCCTCGCATCCAAAGGTGTTCACTCCAAAGGTGTTCACGATAAAAAAAGTACGATGGCGTAGTGTAGTGGGTAAGTATGGGCTTTCAGAACTGTCAATTCAGAACAAAAACTGCGTCACAGTTGTGGATTGCGCAGGCGCGGTTGCGGGTGGTGGGATTTACGCCAGTTACTGTTTTTAAATAAATACGAAAGAAAGTTACTTACTTTGACAAAGTGCGCACATAAATAATGATAGCGGTTTTAGTCACATTAAACAAAATCAGTATTAGAATGTCGGAAACGTTTACGGTTTACAAAACAAAGAACTAGTCTCGCTTGCTCGCAGTAGACTAAAGGAGTAACGGAGAATCAGTTTTTTTTTAATGGGATAAGGGTGACAAGCGAGCACGCAGTCCACCTGATGGTAAGTGGTTGCTGTGACCCATAGACATCTGCATACATCTATCCTCGTTTGCGAATCGAAATTTAGTTGCGTTGTTAGCCGTGAGGACTAAGATGGAATGCCTCTTTTCCAGTAAAAAGGGTCTCCGGCTCTCTACACTCACCATACGAAACACAGCAGCATTAAGCTGCTATTTTACGCTGGTATTCTGTGAGAACGTGATCCTTCCCCGATATAGCCGACCCATTTGTGGTACAACTATACAGTTAAGATAACGTATAGAAGAAGGCCTATTTTTTTGTATATCACCCTTATCCTACAAGTATAAAAAAGTACGTGCAATAAGTCCGTGGCGTAGTGCAAGTGAGTACGTCGCATTGAGGCCATGCAGTAAGTAGTAGGTACATAGAAGTGTTTGCGTGCAGGCGAGCGTCCGTTCGAGTGCCAGTTCTGCTCGCGCAAGTTCGCGCAGCAGTCGGCGCTGATCTACCACCGGCGCACGCACACGGGCGAGAAGCCGTACGCCTGCAAGCTGTGCGCCGCGCGCTTCACCACCACCTCCGCCCGCAACAACCACATGGTCACGCACACCGGACACAAGAGGTGCCACTGCCACTGCCACATCACGCTTAAACACCATTCACACTATCGATACATGTCGCGGCAAGTTCGATCTCGCTCAAACGAAATTTCTTTTTTTTTATAGGATAGGGTGACAAACGACCACACAGGCTACCTGATGGTAAGAGGTTGCTGTGACCCATAAACATCTACATTCATGCTCAATAAAGAATCAAAATGCAGATGCGTTGTCACCCGTGAGGACTAAGATGGAATGCCTCTTTGCCAGTAAAAAGGGTCTCCGGTTCTCTACAGTCACCATACGAAACACAGCAGTGTTAAGCTGCTATTTTACGCTGGTATTCTGTGAGAGCGTGGTCCTTCCCCGGTCGAGCCGACCCATTCGTGCTACAACTATACTCCTAATATAGCTGCAGCATAGCTCTTCCACGTAAACCGTACCTACACAGTATAGTTTGGTACAGAGAAATGTCCACCACGTTTAGCCAATCGTGTATCTTCACATGCCATAAAAAATTACCTATCTTATGTCTTATAATAATGATGATATTTCATAAAATGTTATCGAAATATTTTAAGTTTCTCATGCATGTTCCTTCACGATGTTTTTCTTCTCCGCAGAGCACACAGTAAATCTATCGAATTATGTTGACGTACTTACATAAAATTTTAATTTTCCTTGCCCTAAAAACTCTTAGAAATAAGAGGAGGCCTGTGCCCAGCAGTGGGACTAGGGTTGCCACATCGGAAGGCCAAAATATCTGGACAAAATTTGAAAATGTCGGGATTTTGGGGTTGTTGTCGGGAGAAATAAATATGAAAAATAAAAACGTAAAATAAAAAAAAATTAAATTAATAGGCTACAAAAAGGCTTAACATTGTTGACATATAACCAATTGAAACCAGTTGACATATACACATTGAATAAAACTACTTTTACGGATTTTATCGCTTTTAATTATCTTGTTTTTTATTCATTCCCGACGTTTCGGGTACTTTACAGCACCCATAGTCCCCCGTGACCATGTCTTTGTTTTTTGGAAGATATTCAAGTGTTTCTTGAAACCAAAAGTAATCGGTATATAAAGTCAATATCGATTGAAATATTAAGTTGTACGTCAGGCATTACGGATAACTCTTCCCACGTAAATAAATTTGTACCTTTTAAAGACAATACAGCGAATTTTTATATAGAGTTCTCAGAAAAATAGCGTTCTTGTAAGTATTGTATAGCTCGTTTTAAAAACATTACAGCTTTGACGCAAAAAAAGGGTTTTCTCATTATCGGAAACATTCCATAATAAGGTTATTTTTCTACTACCTAAAAATTTGTCATCCAATCTGTTTTTGAGATGATTCATTAGTTCTTTCAAGTTCTAGGACAGTGCATGCAGCACTTTCCAATGCTAAAATTGCTACTTGGAACTCCAACATTACGTTACAAAGTATAAATACGCTTCTGAAATCCCATTCCTGTTTGCATTCGTCAACCCGTTGACTATTATTATCAATATGGCTTATACTTTTTGTTACAAACTCCCATATTAATATCTCTTTTCGACATTCGTCTTCCCTTTTCAACAAAAAATACTGATTTACAGGAGACTAATACAGTAAATGATCTAAAGTGGGCAAAAGATATAGCCATCGTGTCGGGGCATGACGAAGAAGAACGTGAACTCGCATGGCAATTTTAAATCATTATTTTGTATAGAACTTTCCGAGAGTTTGTCTGGAGATTTTGAGTTTTGTCGGGAGTCTGGAGATCATTTAAAATGTCGGGAGAATCCAGACGAATCCCCACCATCTGGCAACCCTAAGTGACGTATATAAGCTGTAACTTTAACATGAAATTTTAAGGTAAATTAACCCTAGAATTACCATAGATCTAAGAGCCGGGTGAAAACACTCGAAGTGTTCTCATAAGAGCACTGTTGAGGGTACTATTAACCGATTTGGTGCGGACGGCACGCCAGGCGTGCCATTATTTTTATGTGGCGTATGATACGCGAGTCGCGTCTTTTTTTTTTAAATCGGTATAACTCTCTCAAATTGCGTTTTTGTAAGATTTATCCAGAACAAAATATTCACTATTTTGTAAATAGTTCATGCCTACAGCTTCATTGTGGATATGTTGAGAATTTGAAAGTTTTAAGGGTTGACAACTTTTTTTAACTTGTTCATGCTACTCTTTTTACTGTGTGGGTTTTTAAATCATGTTGTGGAAAAATAGTCTAATAAGTAACAAATAATAGCACTCACTGCGATCGCTCACAAACTCAAGTTGTAAATAAGTTTCTGGTATAGATTAATTTTGCTTAAAATGGTTGAACTATCTATTATTACTATCATATGACTGAATGAACTTACGAAGTACCATGTGCTTAGGGTTACCATATCTCAGGATTTGTCCTGAGATTTCAGGATTTTTAGACTCTTCTCAGGATTGCGGCTGGATTTTGCATATCTCATGAAATCTCAGGATTTTTAGAACTTTCAATATAATACAGCTTACATTTTAAAGATCTGTTTAATAAAAAGTTAAACAAACTAAAAATAATTTACCTTTGGTAATAATTCCACAATTAAAGTCAGAACTTATTTATCCAAGTAGGTACTTAAACAGTTTTATCATACTTAATATGTGAAGATACCTTTTTAAGTAAGGTTTTCTTCTCAAACTGTAAAAAAATCTCTGAAATTTTAAATCGAAATCAGACCTCTTCTCCGGCACTTTTTATTTTTTCATCTGGTAACCCTACATGTACTCATGTGCATATCACAATATGGTATAAGATTTATTTTTGCTTGAAAAAGTTCGAACGCGTTCATGCATAAAAAAGTTCATGGTCAAAATGTTAATAGTCTTTTTTTCATCCGCCGCCGTACGCGCCGGTGCATCTGACTATTGTTTTTTTTTTACCTTTTGAAAACACTTTTGTATTGCTATTCTTACTACGTTACTACTTAGACGTTTTCAGATCGACTTTACTTTTACATTTGTTTAACATTAAACAATATATAAAATCTGTAAATATCAATCATCAACCTAAACCTCATTTTTTTCCAAATTAAAGTTCTTGATTGTTTGGTATTTACAAACGTTATTATCAGGAGAAAATTTAATTTAATAAAATCGAAGGTTTTTCATTGTGATTTATATGTACCTACTTATATAAATGTTAATTTTATAAAACAGAAAATAGTACCAAAGGTTTATAGGTAATCTCCGCATAAAAAAGTCAATTAGTCTCCATTTCAAGGCAAACACGTAGAAAAACACGTAGTTAGCCAGTAAAAACAAGTATCATTCCGTTTGCAACTGATGTTTGATGTCAACTAAACTTAATCAGGTCTAAACAAGTGAAAAAAGCATAAAAAAGAACATTATTTTTACACATGGCTGATGGCGCAATAGGCGTGTCATCTACTTCTATAGTGCTCGATACGACAGGCGTGTCACGAAATATTTGTTCGCCGCCACAGCTAAAAGTTGTCGAAAATTGGTGTCGCAACGAATCGGTTAAATAACTTAACGAAGTAGAAGTCACTTTTTGATATAAAAAAAATCGATGAACATAATACTATTACCAAATAGCCTTTAAGATCCCTTGAATCTCCTGATCTGCTACTTCCACATACTGTCCAAGTTAAAATAATCACACTTTATATGGAAAGGAATAGCAGATGTTTTTGTTTTGTCAGGTTCGTATGCCCGGTATGCTTCAAGGGCTGCACATCTCGCACGGAACTCCGCGTGCATTCAAGCAAGCACACGGGTGAGAAGCTGTTCGGCTGTGAGTTTTGTTCGCAGCGCTTCAGTTCCGCTTCGTACCTGGCCGTGCACCGACGATTTCACACTGGCGAAAAAAAATACCAGTGCAACATTTGCGGGAAAGGTGAGTGCTGCCAAATAATATCTCATATCTACTTATTTGTTTATTTAAAAAAGTAACCCTTGAATTTTCAAACAAACATAAATTGCACAAGGACAATCATCCAGACTCGGAAAGGAGATGTTCTTCATTCCATACAAGCTTTGGGCCTGGCGTGAACAAAGTTAAAATATGTCTTATTTCGAAGATATAAACATTTGCTACTTATGTTAAAAAATAATATTTTTGCAGGACCTAGGGTTTTGTTTTTATTTTATGTTTTATGATTTGTAGGTTATGTAGTAAAATCACTCGTTATTGTGATAAGTTGCTTGAATAAATTGAAAAGGACACAGAATAATGCAGTTTTGTAGTTATTATTAAATAGTGTACAATAAAACTCAACCTATTTTAATGGTTAATTTTAAATAATATAATTTTAAATTTTCCAATAAAATCTCTAATACACATCATCATAATCACTGCATTTACACACCAATGAACCATAAAAAATATAATATAAAAAATCGTAATCGATAATAACGATAATCGAGTATTTACGTAATTGCAACGGCACAATATGCGTATTCGCATCTCTAGTTTAAGTTACCGCTCACCCTCCCCGCTTCTTGTCACTATTTTTTTCCTAAAAAAATATATCTGCGCAGCCACTCAGGACTAACTTCAGCCTGACCAAGACAGACGCGTTCTGTGTGTCCCTTATCGATAACCGCACTCTACTTTATTAATAAGTGCGGGCAATTTAATAATTATTAATTAAGTTTAGAGATTGACAATTGACATTTTAACGTTGCTGATTAATTATTGTATACCTATTTTAAATTTTTATTCATTTTATTTAGTCTAAGATAATAAATAAATAATAAAATAATGTAGTGACGCACCACTCTTGTGTCGATGTGCCTGCCTGCGGTAAGTGCAACAGAGAGCGCAACAGGCGTACGTACTTATGTAGTGTGGTCGAAAATATTTGAGAAACACTGTTTTTTATGTTAATACAAAATCTTTTTTTAAATATGTAGTTCAAATGTTGTGATAAGGGTTTAAAGTGTAGTTGATAGTATATATAAAAAAATATGAAGCAAGAATGCTTCATAAGCAGGAGCAGGATAAAATATTTTGCACACATAGAATAGAATAGAAGCGGTTGGGTTTTGTTTGTTTAAATTTTTTAACTACTTTTATCTACTGTGACAAACGAACACTGTATATTCGTTATGGTAAGTGGCTGGTGCAGTTCACAGAAACCCTGTAGCCATCTTCAAACAAGGAAGGCTACAGATGCGTTCTCACCTCTAAGGATCAAGATGGAATGCCTCACAGCTTGGAATTATACTGGCTCTCATTAACAGTTTAAGCCGTAACACAGCAGTGCAGGCACTGCTATTAGACAGCAGGAATAGCTAAGAGGGTAGAGGGTAGCTAGACGGACTGCCAGGAAGTGTCACTATGTCGTAGGACTCCCTATCCTACCACATAGTGACACTATACAAACCTTATTTTTAAATTATCCGTTAGGTTTGGTTATCCTTCTATTTCATACAAATCGATCTGAGTTTAATTATTCCAGTTACTATTATTATAAAATTTTGTTTGTAGCCTACATAGAATCCAGCGCGTATAAGAAGCATTTGAAAACCCACGAACAGAAGCAGGAAACAGAATCTGTCAACTCGGAGTCCTGCTCTGAAACACAGATCTCGAACAAAGACGAGGGAGAAAGCAAAAAGGACACGCAACAGATAGTGACCATAAATGAGGAACAAGTTACGGAAGTTCAGATACAGAGTCAAGGTCAAGGTCAAGAGCAGGTCTCGCAAGCCCAAGCTGAAACCGGAACTACGCAAAAGAGATTTAAATGTGGTCTCTGTGTCAAGACCTATATGTATCTGCATAGTCTTAAGAAGCACATGATGACGCATATTCCGGTTAGTACTCTCAAATATCATAATTATAAATATATTTTTTTTATTTCGGTAGCGTCTTGTATTTTTTCTTTGGTAATGGACTCGTGCGGTTAGTACTTTTTCCAGTATTAAATTATTGGAAATTAGCCTGTATATGTTTCCAAAATTCTTTACAATATAGGTAATAGGCGAAAAGCTCTCTGCCAAACCATCTGGCAGTAGAACTTTTTGGTCTCTCGCCAAAGTGGTCGAGTAAAACATATCGTACCACCTCAATAACCTCACTACCTCTATGTCAGAGGTCCGTATCACCTATAAGGAGGTTCTTGAAACCTTGTAGAGTTTAGACAGCACAGTTGTAGAGATAGCACAGTTGTGGAGAGGTACAGTGTGTATTATCCGAATGCTCGGGCTAGTCGGAATCAATTCCAGTCCATTAGAGAAGCTGTGGTTGAGCGTGTGAATCGGGTTCACCGTCACATATGGGCTGGGGATGCCAAACCTAGCAGCGTTGGACCCAATGGATAGACAAGCTAAGAGGCTCATTAGTAACCTTCATTTGGAGAAACCAATCTTGTCAGTCACGAGCACAGGCGCAGAGCTGCCAGTGTCTCGGTATTCTATAGGATGCATTTCGGATAATGTGCGCAGAAATTACATGATTTGATTCCTCCCTCTTCTTTCCACCATCAGGCAACCAGGCGGTCGGCGGGTATTCGACTTTTTTACCGACTTCAAAAAGGAGACGGTACTCAATTCGACTGTATGTTTATTTATGGGTGTTACCTCATAACTTTTTTCTGGGTGAACCAATTTCGATGATTCTTTTTTTATTCGAGAGCTGGTGCTTCTCATGTCCCATATAAATTTGATCAAGGTTTGACCAATAGTTTTTGAGTTATTCTTAATAATTTTTATTGAAGTTGGTTGTACAAAATTTTTAATTTTATATTATATTATTATTGTCGATATTCCACGCATTAAAAACAAACGGTTTGCTTCGTTTTTCGTAATGTATACGTAAAAGGAGTGGAATAATTTTTCAACGTTTTTCTTTCCGTCTGAATACAAGGCAAAGGAATAGGCTTTTGTTACGCTAAGACAGTGCGATTTGTGAGCTTAGTTATCATTTATCACTAGGTGACTTTTAATAGGTAAAAAAAATTCTAACTTTTTGGGAGATTTAAACAAAAGTAGACTCATAGTTAATAATTTTTGAAGTTATACTTCTTTTGGGGAAAATTATGAGTTAATTTTTAACGATGCGCGCACACACCGACAGATAAAAACGACATCATGAAGTTGTTACGATGCGCGCGCACACTGACACCTCAAAGCGACAACTTGATTGGGTAAATGTCTCTCAAGTTTTTGTGGGAATTGATAACTATATTTAAGGTTATGCTAAAGAAGTATAACTTCTTACGTACGTACATAACTACACACGCACGTTTTTTTTGTAAACCTGAAATATGTCTTGTTTAGCAACAACAACAGCAGCAGCAGCAGCAAGAACAACAACAGCAGCAGCAACAGCAACAACAACAACAACAGCAGCAGCAGCACCATCAACACCAACAACACCAACAGCAGCACCATCAACAACAGCAACACCATCAGCAGCACGCGCAGCAACAGCAACAGCAAGCGACGCAACAGTTGCTGCAGCAGCAGGTGGTGCAGGTGGGCGGCGTGCCGCAGCTGGCCGTGCCGCTGCACGTGCAGGTAACCAACCCGCACTGTCCGAGACACGATCACAACCTAACCACTCCCGGAACCAACATTTTTTAAACATTCTTGAAGTGAAAACTTTTTTAGGCGCGTGCTTTCTGAACAGTGGGCGAAGTTATATATCATTCAATTTCAATGAATGTGTTATCAGTCCTAATTACACAATATAGCACTTCCAAATTTAAAATAACATTTCCACAATAATTTCTTTTGCGGCAGTAACGCGCCAGGTACCAGCTAGTTTTAAATATATATTTTGCTTTATCAACGTATTTAGCTTTTCATTTGAACATAATATACTCTAATCCGTTCATCCATTACGGCCTATAAAAGTCGCCTACTGCTGAACATAGGCCTCACCCATAGATTGTCTCATGCCGGATTAACCACGCTTGGCAGGTGGATTGGCAACCGTATTTTTTCATTATTTCGAGTTGTTATATCTCTTTTCAGTTACCCTCTGTCGCCTCTTAAACACCCACGGAACGATATGGGGTAGTGGATATTCTCACACGGCCCCTACATGGTTAATTATTAGTGTAGTCTGATAACCGTGTACCTATTACTACTCCTCAATTTTAATTACAGAGCGGGCAGCACTCTTATCCTGTTATATCTTCGGTGCAGTCACTGCAGTTGCAGCAAACACATCAGCAAGTCAATACGGTAAATTACCCTTCCACCTTTTTTCTTCATCTATACAATCTATACAAATAAATAAAATTGAAGTGTCTGTTTGTAATGTTAAAATAACAGCTTTTTACTAAATGCATATGAAAGTACATAAAGTACTAATAACAAAAACACAATTTTTAAAATTTTTGTCTGTCTGTCGGTCTGTCTGTCTGTTTGTTCCGGCTAATCTCCGAAACGGCTGGACCGATTTTGACGGGACTTTCACTAGCAGATAGCTGACAATATAAGGAGTAACTTAGGCTACTTTTGTTTTACAAAAATTATATTATTATAGAATTAGGGTTCCGCGCAAAAAAATTAAAACCCATGAAATCCAAGTTCCACGCGGGCGAAGTCGCGTAGAACAGCTAGTTAAGGAATAAATTAACAAGGGAATCGGTTGCGAACACTTGACCGAGATTATGCTTCTAACTACGATTGCCTCCAATCAGCTTATACTTAATTCAGACTACATATGTCTCATACTAAAACTTGCATGTAAACAAAATGAACGAATAAAAAATCTTTAAAATAAAAATAAATAGTCTGCATACATTCTACAGTTAGGGCTTAGGGCATACGTCTTATTCAATTTTTGAAAGGGGTACTTCACATTTTTTTATGTTTACTTTAATTCTCAAGTAAATAATTATTTTCTGTTGTACTTGCGTCGGGAGATTTACTGTTATGAACATTTTAATTATATTTTAAAGTATGCAACTTTAAAATATAATTCAAATTTTCATAGCTGCAATAAAAACGTCTGATGTCCGCCAAATGTAACATGCAATCAGACTATATTAAGCATTTTATAGTCTGTTCGCTTAGGTACGGTCGCCTTTTGGCACGTGCTGCATCTTGTCAAAGGCGCTGCCGCGACATCAAAGGTGCTGCCGCGACATCAAAGGTAGTACACCCGCAAGATAATTTGGCATTTTAAAACGAAGTGCTGCGCCATAGTGAAAGGTTCATTGCTACCTAACTTGTGATTATTATTTGTATTCGTATTTTATTGTAATAACCATAAATAAATGTTTTTCTATTCTAAGAATAAAATAATATTCTATTTTAATTCTTAGAATAGAAAAACATTTATTTAGCAAACACAGTAAAAATAATAAAATAAAAGCAAAATAACAAGTGCGCCTCCAGGTGTACCGACACTATCGTAGCGAACAGACCACAGAGTACTTTTTATATACTGAAAGAACAGACTATAGGCACTTTGAAATGAGACGCGCTGTATCAACAATAGTAGAGCCACGCTGTAGCAAATATGACTGCAGTACGAATGAGTCCACTCGGCCGGGAAAGTACCACGTTCGTACAGAACACACCAGCGTTTAATAGCAGCTTAATGCTCCTGTTTCGTATGGCAAGTGATGAGAATAAAACCTGTCGAGCAGTAGAATTATATTATTTACTAGCTGTTCCCCGCGACTTCGCTCGCGGGTTTCGGTTTTTATTTTTTTGCGCGGAACCCTGATTCTTTTTCTAAAATAAAAGTAGCCTAAGTTACTCCTTTTGAAATCATCTATCTGCCAGTGAAAGTCCCGTCAAAATCGGTCTAACCGTTTCGAAGATTAGCCGGAACAAACAGACAGACAGACAAAAATTAAAAAAAATGTATTTTAGTTTTAAGTACCGTATTTACTTTCGTATGCATTTAGTAAAAAGCTGTAATTTTGACATTACAAACAGACACTTCAATTTTATTTATTTGTATAGATAAAAAAAAAAACTAAACAATTAATTCTTTCTTTACAGCCTCAACAGCTGCAAGTCCAAACGATACAAATACACCCGCAACATCAGCCTATACAGATTCACGTAAGTTGAATAGTATTCACTGTTTGAACCGCTTTCAAAAAGGAGGAGGTTATTAACTCGAGTGTAGGTTTTTTTTTGTATATATGTTACGCGATATCTTCGCAGATTGTGAACCAATTTTGATGATTCTGTTTTTATTAAATATGTTATACTTTTCAAGGGTAGTCCCATATAAATACGGAGAAAAAAATTTCACCCCTGAGAGTAGCAAATTAATAACTTCTCTTTTAGCAATTTGAAGTCGGTTTTTACTTTTTGTTAAAAGTTATAATTATTGTATGACAAGATTAGTTTTGATAAGTTTTAGGCATTTTATTGGTTCTTGCTATTGTCGGCAGCCTAGTTTAATAGTCAAATTATAGATTTTAGCTCACAAACATAATAATTATGAGAATTAGCCGATATCTTGACAATATTATTTCGCTAATTTTGATGATGAGCGTGATAGTCGGATTACTTTTATAGCATAACTCATTACTATTGTAATATCATTAGAACACATCATGTAGTGGTGCTAACCCGAGCATCGTTTCTGTCGAAAATGATTAAAAACAAACACAATATTACAAAGGAGAATGCCAAATTGTGCCCCACCTTGTACAAAAAAGGTAATAATATGAAAAATAATCTTATGAATTTTGAAGTTTTTTTGTAATAAATCGTTATTTTGTACAACTTGCGGTAAAATATTAAAAAAAAAAGGAAATCAACGATTAATATTTACATTTTCAGTCTTTTCTAATAACACCTGCGTTACTTTGTACGAATTAGTACTTACGTACACATATAATGTCAAACAATACATATTTCTATTAAATTTATTATAAGTTTTTGTCATATAAAAATGTTACTTATCAATTTTTATTTTCAATTATTATTACAAGTCGATAATAAACATGAATTGCTTTAGATAATTATTGAATAACAATCATTGATTTTCGTGCATTTTGGTGAAATGATACACACACGTCATTGTGTCAATATCGTAAATACGTATGTCAGAATGTCAGATTAATGTCGAATATTTTCACACATTGACTAATTTGTGCTTGTGAAATATATTGATTACGGTTATATCAAATTTGTGCTTGTGCTGATTCCCGCTTTCTTCACCGTTGCACTTTTTCCTGCTTTTGACGACTTATGCTTTTATTAATATACGGACTCGATAACACCTACTTATTGACGTACTGCTACGGATATTCTGATAATCGCATCCACGATGTTGAGGTGCACTAATTGTCATCGTTGCGTCAATAGGATGCAGGGGCATTTTGTGTCCTCATTTCGATTTACAATCTTAACTCTGCTTTCAACATGGAGATCTTTGCAACAGATATATTTAGTTTTATACAAAGATATTATATATAAAAAAGAGGTAGATATCGCACTAGTGCGCGCAAGTTGTTGCAGACAAATTAAGACAATTGTTGTAATTTTATTTAGTCTGCCAATAGCAGCGAGCGAAACAAAGCGTGTCCGTGGCGTGACAATATTGACAATAACATATCCAAAATGCCCAGTTCTGTCTTAAGAAAGTGTAAAAACTAGGTTCGAAGATAAATAAGAGTGAAGGAATTTCATAACCTACGTAAGTATAATAAAATAATATTACATATTTATATTTTGTCACGATTTTATTTCTCATTTACAAATAAATGTTGAATTGTTAATATGGTGGTTCGAAAAGGATAGAGAATACGATGGCGAATATAGCGCGACAAGGACAAATAGAATGCGTCATAGATTAACAACCAAAAGCGAAATCGTAGGCACAATACATAGCCTACCTAGATAGAACGAATTTTTTTTCATTATGCTATATTATTTTCCAGATTTCCGAGTGATGATTTTACAAAACATAAATGGGTCAGCATAGTTCAGGCGGAAAGAAGTGAACATAACTGGATGCCTACAAAAAGTAGTACAATTTGTTCTGCACATTTTAATCAGGAAGATAAATATACGACTTCGAAAGGATACCTGCGTCTAAAAAATTGCAGTACCTGTGATAGCCTCGGTAAAATTTATTATGATAAAAATCACGATACATCATTGATTTAACAAAAAAAAAAGTCGTAACTTCTGTAATTTCACAATTTAAATTTTACAACTATTGTGTGTAAAAGGGCAATTTAAGTTTTTTTTTATTTAGAGATCAAAAAAATTTTTGTCCTGTGTAGGAATCGAACCCACAGCACTTGACGCAGCGTTACTATTGGCACTTAAATCACTAGACCACCTGTGCAGTCAATTTTGGTTAATTAATTACTACTATCATTCTTGTATAATTTACCGTAACAATTAAGACAATTTCTTCTTTTTCAGGACAATGATAATGTTCTGAAATTTGGCTCACCTACCAGTTTGGACCATGTAAATATATCCGACATCGATTTCGTGTTCGAAACTCCTAGAAAAGCAAACTTGGCTCTTCCAGCAATCTCATCTGCCAACTCAACTTCCAAATTTACTCATTCGGATCATAGTCTAACTCCTAGGCCTCGTACTTAAAATTAAGAGGTTCCTATTTGCCAAGTAGCGCGACCATCAGTATAAAAAACGTAAACAGTAAATTATGTAGGTATTCGATAAGTAGGTACATAATTTATCGAAAATACAATTGACAGAACTCAAATTTATTTAGAATTTGTTTGTGAATAAATATATAACAATTTTGTTTATAGTTTTATTTAATATATCATTACCAGTGTAATATGCATATTGTTATATTCAATGTCTCTTCTGTGGTAAGTCCGCATACTCTATATTTTACTCGTATACTTCAAGCGCAATACACTACAGACAGTTATCTCTTTCTGTATTTTACGTTCCGTATTATCTATCGCAGTCGTAGTTGAAAATTACTATACACATATATGTAATTACATTTGTTATAACAACGCAACGATATCTGAACGCCGCTTAGTATGAACATAGCGTATCTTTCCTTTATAATATCATTGGTTTTATAGCTTTTTTATATAGTTGATAATTTATGGTCCTGCCGTTGTCGTAACATTAGTTACTAATCTGTAAATATTTACACCTTCTTCAGACACATGTCATAATAATATGTATCTTGAAAAATAATTTTGTAAATAATATAACTCGTTTACATGATTAGGAATTAGATTTTATAAAAAAACAGGTGGTGGTAGTCTTATATTGTGTAAGGATCTTTTAGATCCTATACAAGAGAACCCCTTTCCCTATGTTACTGATCATTATATTATTATGCTCCTTAAATTCTTAATTTTTTATTTATATATATCATTAGCGCCTGACAATTTATATTCTGAAATTACAATGAAGTGTATCGAATAATGTTTTAAAAAATAAGGTAAATGTAATTATTATTAAAGTACAGTTTTAAAAAAAATCGCAAGTTCTCGAGACTTCAAATTGTATAATTTGGATGAAGTAATAAAGTAGAAAAAAAATGTTGCATACGGCATTCCTTTACACCACACTTTTGGGTGGGGCAAAGTTCTATAGAGAATCTGGCATTCTCCTTTAATACACCCATTGAACTTATATTTTATTATGTACATAAAGGCGCATCACTTAAATATCGCCCTGCCAGATCGATAGATCTGAGACGTGGTCCTTCGCTGCTGGCCGTATGAGGACGCTAAAGGTCGCTCAGCGAGTGATGGGCAGAGGGGTATGCTCGGCTCGGGATTTCTTTGTGACTAAAGTGACCGACATAGGCAAACGGATTAGTAAGCTGAAGTGGCAATGGACCGGTCACGTCTTATAGCTCGAAGAACCGACAACCGATGGGGAAAAAAGGTTCTCGAGTGGCAGCCTCGTACCGGTAGACATGCAGGAAGTCGATGGATGCAGGTGGCTCAGGACCGTGCTTTGTGGCATTCCTTGGGGGTGCCTATATTCATGGACTTGTGAAGGGTTGTAATGATGATGATGATGAAATCAAGAGTAAAGGTTTCACATGCATACACATGTATGTAATTACTCTTAAGATTTTACTCAAGCGAAAGGGTCGTACCTGTAGGAACGTGGCAAACCAGAGTTGTTTAGATATATTTACGAAGAATTGCTAACGATCTGTATAAAATATTCACTTCTATTTCCATTGTTAATTTTTATAAAAGAAAGAATATAATTAAAAATTAAAAATTTTGTACAGCCGACTTCAATATAAGTTATTTAAGAATAACTCAAAAACTATTGGTCTGACCTTGATCAAATTTAAATGGGACCACACGAGAACTATCAGCTTTCATATAAAAAAAGAATCATCGAAATCGGTTCACCCAGTACAAAGTTATGAGGTAACACATATAAAAAAAACATACACTCGAATTGAGTACCGTCTTCTTTTTTAGGCAGAAACGTTTGTTAATTCATTGAACCTTGTATTTTATTTTGTTACGCACACATGCGCCATCCATCATGTTTGTGCATCCAAGGAGGTTCCTCCTTCGCCTTTATATAATATAATGCCATAAGCATTAATGTGAATTGTCATTGCTTAGGTAATTTAAAAAAAATGATATTCTGGACAATAAGTTTTTGTTTCATTTCAGGCGGTGGGCGTACAACAAGTGCAGCAACAACAGCTTCACGTGGCGACATCTAGCTGCCAGACGATGTTACCCAACATACTACAGGTGTGGTGACGTTTAATAAGTATTTTTTAACAAAATTACTACATTACATCCGATGCAAAATTCAAAATTGGATTGTGCAAAAATTCGATTCTTACGAGTAGATCATTTCTGCACAGCATGGTCCCAATTAAAATTATGTATTTCAATTCAATTCATTTTTTTAATTAATTGTGGCATTAGCTATATGGCCTTCGGCCATTACAAACAAAAAATGTGCGCCACTCATGTCTTCGCGCATGCGCAGAGAAGAGTAGTGTGGCACAAGTGCGGTTGGTCTTTTATCATAAATTATACGTAGGTAGAATGATCAGTATGTAATAATAGAATATTATATACATATAATATATTATTACGTGATAGAGCCATGCTGCAGCTATATTAGTACTCGTAGTATAGTTGTATCACGAATGGGTCGGCTCGACCGGGGAAGGACCACGCTCTCACAGAATACCAGCCTGAAATAGCAGCTTAACACTGCTATGTTTCGTATGGTGAGTGTAAAGAACCGGAGACCCTTTTTACTGGAAAAGAGGCGTTCCATCTACTAAGATAAGAGGACTACCTCACGGGTGACAACGCATCTGCAGTTTGATTCTTTATTGAGGAGATGTAGATGTCTATGGGTCACAGCAATCACTTACCATCAGGTGGACTGTGTGCTCGTTTGTCACCCAATCCTATAAAAAATTTAGTAAATTAAATCGACTATGTACAATTAATAAAATTTGTGATTTATTTTGCATAATATAATGTGTTTGATATAATATTACGTATGTAATATCTCGAGTGGCAGCCTCGTACCGGTAGGCGATGTGTAGGGCGTCCCCCCACGAGATGGAGTGACGACCTGGTAAGACATGCAGGAAGTCGATGGATGCAGGTGGCTCAGGACCGTGCTTTGTGGCATTCTTTGGGGGAGGCCTATGTTCAGCAGTGGACTTGTGAAGGGCTGTAATGATGATGATGATGATGATGTAATATTATACGAGGGTGACACTGAAAGTTCTTAGGAAATCAAAAAACTGAACAAACTAGCAAGTTATTACTTTTATTATATCTTTTCAAAACAGTGTCCATTTACATGAATACATCGCTGCATCCGATGGAACCACTGAGAAAAGCATTTTGCCCACTCGTCCTTAGGGGTCTCTTCAACGGCATTTGGAAACGTAGCCACAGCTATCTCGGCGTCCATAAAACGATTTCCTTGAAGTTTTTCTTTTATTTTCTGAAATAAATAAAAATCACAAGGTGCGAGGCCGGGGCTACAGGCCAGGTGGCCCAGTAATTCCACGTCTGACGTCACCAAGTAGTCGATTGTTTGCTTGACGGTGTGCGACGAGGCGTTGTTGTGGTGAAGGAGGATCCTACTGTGAGGTCGTTTCTCAAAAACTTTTTCCAAGGCAAGTGGCAAACAATTGTTTGTGTACCACTCTGCAGTAATTGTTTTTCGATCCTATAAAACAATTGTTGCGTAATGACCTGTCCTGCCGAAGATTGAGGACACCATCTTTTTTTCTACGCTTCGCCCTCTCTTCACTTTAGTTGGCAACTTCTCGGAAGGACACACCCAGACAGCAAACTGCCTCTTAGTTTCAGGATCATAACAATAAATCCAGCTTTCGTCACCCGTAAGTATGTCGAACACAGCATTTGAGTCACCTCCGTTAAATCTTTGATTCATTTCACGACACCAATCAACACGACGGAGTTTTTGGGCCTCTGTCAAATTATGAGGTATTCACCAGGCACAAAGCTTCCTGACCGCTAAATGTTCATGGAGGATTATGTGCACGATCATCGGTGAGATTAGTGCGACCGCGTTTAAACTCAATCAACCAGTTGTAAATAGTGGCAAGAGATGGGGCTTCATCGTGAAAGGCCAATCGAAGTCTATCATAACTTTCTTGTTGAATATTCAGTATCTTATTCACCAAAGAAAAGTTATTGGTATTTCCTAACATTTCTTGAATTATTTGTGTAATATATAAAACACACCAATGGCATATTTTATCAAGATTTTTTCACATCTTGAAGCGTGCTTCTATTAAAACATAGCCCCCGAAGAAGATTAGTCAGTTTTTACTATCAGTCAAGTGTAATGTCTCTCTGCAAGATGCAGGAGTGTACAAGCTTGATTGTGAATGTAGAACATATATAGAATTTATATAGGACAAACTAAAATATCCATAAAAACCCCGCGTTAAAGCACACATAGCTGATGTGAAGAATCTACGCTCCGGGAAGTCTGCAGTCTGTGAATACGTACAGTATCGCCCCCGTCACTATGTTAGATTTGTTAGATCACAAATCCTCGCTAAAGAACACTGATTCCTTCCAAGGATGATTCGCGAGGCTATTGAAATCAAAAAACATTTTAATTTCAATAGAGAAGATGGCTGAGTGCTACCATCTGCTATTTTTAATACCATTGCGGAAAAATGAAGCAATTTAATAAAGAACATTTTTGGAAAATGGCGCCAATCGTAAAACAATATAAGCATAGATTTTTTTGTTTTCTTCACCCATTCTGGGTAGGCAAAGGGAACTATGCTAGTAGAATTTTTTTATTGATATGAAATGAAAATTAAATTTAATGAGATGAAATGAAATCTAACCTAACTCATTGAATCAAATCATTAAATCTGATATTGAAACAAATTAGTAGCTTCTTTTTAGAAATATTTGCATGAATAATAAAAACTTCTATGAATGTTTTTTAGTAAAAAGTTCGTGGTTGGTTTTTTCTTTTAGACATTATTTTGACAGTTGGGAAATAGAACGCACGAGTTCGGAAAAGGTAAAGAAAAAGCACGAGTATGTAATAGCCCACATCCCGAACGCTATACGTCCCTGCAATACGCCACTTTTTGAGCAACTGTATTAAAAATACGTTTGCAGTTGCAGCCGGCGACAGTGGCAGTGTCCGGGCTCGGGCAGCAGGAGCTGGGCGTGGCGCACCGCATCCTGCTGCAGCCGCCCGCGCCCGCGCACCAAGCGCACCCCACGCTCTACACCATACACCACTGAGTCGTTGCATATCTACTTATACTCGTGATATATACATTTATTAATACTTTTTGTAAAATATGTGATTTTAAAATGGCGTACGTTGAAAACTAAAGTGACACTATAAAAATATTTTTTTTTAAATAATGTTTTCTCCGGGTTAGTTTGTAAGCCATAAAAAGACGTGTTTCGTGCGGAATTCGAACACGCCGTCTTGCAACGCCACCGCCAAAATACCAATTGCTGATTTTGATAGAACAATTTGGCAGCAAGAAAGCGACAGTATGAAACTTAGGAAAGTTGGTTTGAATTCCGCTATTCGACTACTAACACAAGCATATTAAGATCGACGGGGATATTAGCAGTTTTAACAGCACTGCTAGTGTTCTATAAAAAATTACGTTCGAAACAATTCGATATAATACTGTGTACAGACTATTGCACCGCCGCTCATGAACAACTGCAACACCAGGGCAATTGTAAGTCCGTTGCCGGCCTTTTAAAAAGGTACTTTTTAAAAGGCCGGCACTTATTTCTTGAAGGTCCCTAAATCATATCGATCCAGAAAAATCGCTAGTAACTGATTTCACTAATAATACAGGTAAGCAAATCCTATAATATCGATCGATTTAATAAATATTAAAAAAATAAACATTTATTGTGCCACTTTTGTTTTCAACTGTACTGCTGCCTTATGCTGAAAATGTGAAATAATTAGGTTGCTCTAAGCAAAAATTGTATATATAGGGAATGATATTTAAAAGTATGGATGTTACTTGAAAAGTTTGTACGGGAACTTAAAAAAAACTTAAAAAGAGGTGAAATTAATGAAAGATAGAGAATCTTATATCAGTTTTAGATCTATGCTTTTTAAATGTCATTGTATAGAAATATTCTAGTGAACACGTATTAGTTTTAAAAGAAACAACCAGCAAATCCGCGAAAGCAACTGCCTTAGGATAAGATTTTAGGAATATGAATTATTGCTAGTGATCACCAATTGGTTGAAATTCGACCGTAATTCGTAAAATTTTTAAGTAGGTATTATATCAATGTCGGCTAAATTTTACGCTCACCAGATGTCGCGGTCATAGCGTCATCATCATTGAAAAGTTGAGTTTTAAATTAAAGTTTTTCGGTTCGAAAAGTATGTATAATCTTCTACTTTTATGAATATCCGTAGTTTGTTTTATTAATTTCTAATATAATTAATATAAAATATAACTAATTCGGAAAGAAACATTAACCACTCAAGATTTTGACAGTTCAATAAATAAATAGTTTATTGAACTGTCAAAATCTTGAGTGGTTAAACTCTACACTTTCAAAAAATTTACTTTGTCATTATGAAATCTGCCAAATACCTATTCATCACTAATTTCTAAGTGGCACCGCCTTGATAGCAGAAAAAGTAGTTGCCGTCATTAGGGATCTTTCCCTCTTATAGAATACCAGCCTAAAATAGCATAATTCTACGGTTTCATATGGTGAGTGTAGAGAACCAGAGACCCTTTTTACTTGAAACGAGGCTTTTCATCTTTCTCAGGGGCGACAACACAGCTACATTTTGATTCTCAATCCAGGCTAAACCATCCACCTACTTTCAAGTAGCGTGTGCTCGATTGTCATTCTAAAATAATTCCAAGAAAAGACATTTCTGTATGTCCCTGAACGGGTCCTTGTCAATCTTCGCTATGTTTCCTCTGCTTTAGTAATATCAGCTCGCTCAAGTGTTGATGCAAGATAAAGCACAATATAGAAGTTGAAATTCCATATAAAATATTAAAGTTTGATACCACCTTTAGAAGTTCGATGTCAGCTATTGCAATTAGATAATTTAAGCAATTGAAGTTCAATGCCTTCTATTGGAAATTTATTTAATCTTTAGAAGTTTGATGACGTAGTGATTGTATACTCTTTGGTTTGACGTAATTGCGCCATAAAGCCAGTTAAAAAAATCTTAGTTCGATCTAAGTCTATTGTTTAGTGCCTATTCAATGACAAACGATAATTATTGGAAACTAAGGTAGGTAATATAGGAATTATTCAGGGCCTATGCTATTTTGTTTATAGAAATTTATAATTTTCCATAGTTGGTTAAATGTTTCAACAAGAATAATTACTGTAGCGGAAAGTTTTCCTGATGGTAATATGCTAAATACCATTTTTTGTTTAACTTGTTAAGTTTCTTTAATTTTTTATAATCCTTTTGTAATGACGGCTTCGTGGCGCAGTGGCTTAGCAATCAGTTGTTGCGCTGGGGGCCGCGGGTTCGAATCCCGCACGGAACAAGTATTTGTATGGCCTACAAATAATTGTTCCGGGTCTGGATGTTTGTCCTTGTGCAATTTATGTTTGTAAACTGCCTCCATGACACAGGAGAAAATCCTAGTGAGGGGGTAACGTTTTAAAAAAAAATTACAATAATAGCGGTACCGATTATTAGAAACCGATATAAAAATGTAATATTGATTGTATTTGATTTATTCGAATTTGCCATAAAATTATTTATATAAGGTCAATTATGTAAGAGAATTGAGTAGCGCCGTGTAGTGGCGGTGTAAGAATATCCACTGCCTTATATCGTCTCGTGAATGTTGTAAGAGGCGACAGAGGAAGAGAAATCAGGAGATGGGCAGCAGTATGATTCTTATAGCTACAAGACAAAACTCTGCGGTTTCCTACCCTCCTGATAAGCGTGGCAACTATGGCAGTAAAAGTAACCCCCTTGTGAGGTAGCTTATGAGGAGGCCTGAGTTCAGCAGTGGACTTTCAAAGGTTGTATCGATGATGACGTAAGAGAGGGCAGTTATATTTTAAAGACAATATATATTAAATACTTGTTTTGCTTTTTTTAGTTTCGTATTTTTTTTTTGTGTGAAATTAATACAGATTGGTGCTGATTTATATAATCTGTATAAGTATCAACATTCATTGTGATTTAACACCAAGACTGCCATTTATATTATAGTATACAAAACATATTACACATGTAAACATAATATATTAATAAAGTTATGTGTTCTAGTTTCTTGTGTTTTAGGTTAAGTATACAATTGGGTATTTGTAATTCATATAATTTGAAATACTTTTTTGAGCGGTAAAAACAACGTTTCTATAGAAGTATAGAAGTTGTACATAGAATGTAGTGCAAGAGGTTATAGTTTTTATTGTGAAGTCATTTTGTTAAAAATACTATAAATCTTTACCTTTTAAAACGGAAAATCAATAAGTTTTAAGATATTACTGCAGTATCAAATTCAAATTATCTGGTCCCAATAAACAAAAACCCAATAATAGTCGGTTGTACTTCTTTTAATGGTGTCAACTACCCAATTGAGGGTAGAGGTAAGAAAATTCATCATAATATGGCTCACTTATACAACGATCTGCAGACCAGTCGAATTGGCCAAAAACCGATGCAAAATAATGTCAAAATTCAAGTCTTGGCCACACTAAGATAAACAAATTTTGAAATTGTGTAGTTTGGGTTTAAACTCTAAATTGTCTCTGAATACCTGGCTTAGAATTCGATGGGTTAACAAAAAGGAGAATGGATGAGTTGATGAAAAAACTGAAATTTACTTATTTTTTTACTAAAGTTTTTGAATTTAATACATTATAACGACAAATAAATAAAACTAAAACAAATAATAAAGAACGAATGACCGTTGTTATGTGCATTTGCGATTGCGTTGGCAATGGTACGTACGTATGTAAAAAGTAGTCTCTGAATGGTACTAAAAGGCGTACCCGAGACAGAACTTGATGCAGTGCGGAGAATGCACATTCCAATGAAATCCGCAGATATTTTGTTTGATTGTCACTATCAGGATTTAATGCATTTAGTGGCTACGGACTAGCATCTGTAACGTCAAATGCTTTTAATCTAATATATAAAAATTAATGTTTGTTCGTATTTTATGCGCTCTCTATACCATTCAACAGAAAGCGTAAAACTTTGTCAACATATTGCTTGCACTTCCGCTAAAGTTATATATTACTCAATTTCAATGAATGTTGAAGATGAAAATTATCATTCCTATTTAAACAATATAACTCTTCCAAATTTAAAACGATAATTCCACAATTATTTCTTCTGCGGTAGCAAGGCACCAGGTACCAGCTAGTATTCATATAAGATTAAAAAAAAACTTAATGTTTTTTATTTTATATGTAGTGCCTTTAGGAGGTGGTTATTAATATTTAATTTTGTTGTTTTGTTGACGCTTTATTTTATTTTCCTTTATCAAATGTAGGCAATGTAAAGTCGGAGGCCACAGATATAAACTAAAAAGATCCTCCTGTAAAATGGTTCTTCCTCTACCCTCCACAAATTGAACCATGAAAAGCAATAGTATGGTTATTGATGATGCCTTAGTAACATAAGATCAAGTCAATATCAAGTACAATTTAAGGTTTTGTTTATATAATATATTAAACAGTTTTAGTAATGAAGCTCACTTCAAACATAGATGTAGACAACTAATTTGTGCGCACATTATTGCCTTGTTTTTGTTTTGAATTTATAGTCTTTTTTTTAATTTATATAATATAGATAGCAATGTTACCATGTAGAAGTTAGCTAAGGTCCAGTTAATATTTATAGGGAGGTAATAAAATATTATCGAATTATAAAGGAGTTTTATTTGAGAGGAATATAAATAAATCTACAAATTACGGAAATATCTTATATTACACACGAACTATTTAAGAGACAACGCAAAATTAAATTCAATTCATTAATTAAATATTAGACTAATACTACAATCACTCACTACTACCATGACTAAACGCTTTTGGACGCTGTCGTTTGTCCGTATTATTATCATATATGGCAAAAATATCGAAATATATTTGAAATTCTCGTCGCGCACAATTATTTTATACCAATGCGTTCCTTTCCTTTTTCTTGAAGTAAAAGTGGTTGTTTCCCTTTTGTACAACTAAGTGCTCTATGCTACGCGCGCATGGAGATTAAATTGATCGACCAGCTTCAACATACGTGGCATGGAACCTAATCAAATCTTCAGTTTCATTTTAAGAAGAGCATGTATGTGTTATGCACTACTTCAATGAAATCCATATCGGTTGCTAAGATTTTCTTTAATTAAGGCTGAAATTGCCTTTGCCGGAAGCGACAAACGTTCCGTGTGCAACCAATTCCACAACCAGCCAATCAACATAGCTTCCAAGCGCGGGTAGCTTTACTGTATTTTTCCACTTTTGTCTCACTGCCAGTTCACTTAGAGCAATTGCGTATTAATTTTCTAAATATAACCGCATGCGTTAAAGAATAAATCATAATTATATAATCAATCGAACTGCAGCCGGTCAAACATACGGAAATATTTAAAAAGATACTAAAAATTTTGACAAAATAATAACCTATATCGAAACAAATGATTGTATTGGTGTATCACTACCAAAACTAGAACGTGTGAACAAAAAAATTATCATCTTTATAAATATTTACAACATTATTATAAATGTGAAATTTTATTATTTGCATATTTAATATTATGTGTTAACATTCCAAAATCATTAGAGTCGCCGAAAGGTGTATTCTTCAATGTTCATATCCTTTTAAAAGCTTATAACTAAATTATTTAACAATTTCATTTATTTTTAGTCTAAAGACTATCTATACTCTTATGAAACCGTTTACATTCGACATTAGAAACTATTACTTTGCAATATGATATATCTACACAAGGCCTCATATTTATTTAGACATAGGTATTACTTATCAAGTTAGAGCCAAACTGCAGCTTTATTATTTTAGTCGTTGACAACGCATCTACATTTAAATTCTTAATCAAGGATAGATATAGATGTCTATGGGCCGCATTATCTACTTACCATCAGATGGACTGTGTGTTCGCTTTTCACCCTATACATTTTATTTATAAAAGTTAATTATATATGGGAGTTAATTATAATTTAAAGTGGAATTACAAATTGGAAAAATCTAGTATTAGTTATTAAATAAATAATTGTTTTGAGTTTCCAATGTACATACTAATAAATTCAAAAATTAAAAAGAACTTAAGGCAGTATTTTATAATATGTCAGTAATTATATTTTGAGGCTCCCTCAGTCCGATTGTTATTTGTTGAAAGTAGTTAAATTTTAAAAATTTAACTTGAAACTAGTAAAAGAATGACTAACATGTTTCAGGCGATTTTAAAAACCAAGAGAAATATATTTGTTGTGACAAAAATAATAGTATTTACGCACATACCAAACATACGCCTAAAGGAGATAGAGAGAGAGAGTTAAATGAAAAAGCCAGAGAGCTATGAATGCATCTGTCCCTTTGTGGCTGAAACGTCAGCATTTGCGTAGACACTGTCCAATTAAGAATTAGAAAACAAAATGTGACAAGAAAAGTTTGTAATGTAAGCTGTCAAATTCAATCATTCATTTTAAACCTAAGACCATCACAGAAAGTTTATAGAAAGAGACAGAGTTAAATGAAAAAGCCAGAGAGCTATGAATGCATATATCCCTTTCTGGTTGGAACATCAGGATGTGCGTAGACACTGTCCCATTAAAAATTAGAAAATAAAATTTGAAGTTTGCAATGCGAGCTGTCAAATTGAATCATTCATTTTAAACCTAAAATCAACAAAGTTAGACAGAGCTTTGTGTTACCAAGTTATGCCAAAACAGTGTTCAACTTTTTAACAAGCACTCATGCACACATCTTATTTCTTAAATTAATTTATCACCCCATAACATTAACTGCTGAACGCACACTAATGCACCTAAAGCCATATTGTAGATTGAACATGATTTTAGTTGGACGTAGTTATGCAAAAAGGATCCAACCCACAATAAGTTAATTTGAGTTTATGATATTTGAAGTATCCATACTTCAAATATAAACTCAAATTATCGGTATGGTTTCTGTCTGTAATTTTTCTTCTTATTTGTGTTACGTTTGCTAAAATTGTTACATCACATAATAGTATAGACCACAAACATTATTTTTCAAGTCAACATTTTTTGACACAAACTCGGAATGGATCCTTTTTGCATAACCACGTCCAGTTGATGTGTATGTTGGTGCCACTTCAAACAATAAATTAAGCACAGTTTTGGCTTGAGTTTTGAGTCATTTTTTTGTCAGTCCTGATTTCCACACACAATCGACTTTATTCCATTCCTTATTTAACAGCAGTATGTACGGTTCTTTCCTCCTACTAAACCACCATATTGAACTGGTCCACAAGTAATTTACAAATGCCAAACTTAATCAATTGTTACAATTTCTAACCTCATGCTGTGAAATAATCATAATTTAATAGAGTCAAAATGAATCACTATACACCCTGCGTATTGTTTTCTGTGTTGATTGAGTGATTGGGTGTGTATCGGATGTAAGCGGGGTGTACTGTGAGGCCAGAGGGAAGTTTCACGTCACGGAAGTAGCGGTGGCGTCTGATGTCCCTTGCCGATATGCGACGAACAGGGTCGTATACTAGCATTTTTTGAAGAAGATCCATACCAACTTCATCCAGGTTTTGTACCTGAAATTAAATTGGTTTCATTTATTCATTACAGCCTATTAAAAGTGCTTACAGTGTATTGCCACTGTAAGAATATCCACTGCCTCATATCAATCCGCTGTGGGTGTCGTAAGAGACGACAGAAAAACAAATTAGGAGAGATGGGCAGCCAGTCTTCCTAATTTTCTTTTATAGAATAAGGGTGACAAACGAGCACACAGTCCACCTGATGGTAAGTGGCTCCTGTGGCCCATAGACATATTCTACATCTTTCTTCGTTTGCGAATTAAAATGCAGATGCGTTGTCAGCCGTGAGGACTAAGATAGAATGCCTCCTTTCCAGTAAAAAGGGTCTCCGGTTCTCTACACTCACCATACGAAACACAGCAGCATTAAGCTGCTATTCTGTGAGAGCGTGGTCCTTCCCCGGTCGAGCCGACCCATTCATGCTACACCTATACTATTAATAAAGCTGCAGCATGGCTCTACCACGTATATACCCACAAATAACGACAAAATTAAAAAAACTGTGGTTGCGAAGCCGTGCTAAGGCGTGGCAGCTATGGCAATTATCAGTTGATTTTAATAGGCTGTAACGGATAACGGAAAAGTCTCTGCTGAACATAGGCCTCCACCATAGATAGCCTTAAAGGAGAGGGTATATTAACATGATATGCCTATCGCCTGTTTTAGTTTTCCACGCTCTCACAGAATACCAGCGTAAAGTAGCAGTTTAACGCTGCTGTGTTTCGTATGGTGAGTGTAGAGAACCGGAGACCCCTTTTTACTGGAAAAGAGGCCTTCAATCTTAGTCTTCACGGGTGACAACGCATCTGCCTTTTGATTCGTACGCGAAGATAGATGTAGATGTCTATGGGCCACAGCAACCACTTACCATCAGGTGGACTGTGTGCTCGTTTGTCACCCTTACCCTATAAAAAAAATGACTTGTTGACAAACACATGGGACTGTATCAGGTTTAGAATATAGAAACAAAAACAGAAACTTTTTTATTCAATATAGATTATAAATAATACTTATTGAAAGTCACTCTTTTGTATGATTACCACTGGTTCGAAAAAAAAACCTCTGTCCTGGGAAGAACCAGCACTAAACCCAGCGGGACCTTTTTTTTAAATAACAGCTTACAATCATGTATGTTACACAAATTAACAACACAACAAATTAGAAATAGCTTGGTAGCGATCACCTCATTTCCAGGGGCTATTATCATCTATAAATTAATTAATATTATTAGGGGGTCATTGTAGAAGCGTGCTCGTCGCGACCCCTGCCAGCCCTTTTCAGGGCTGCAATTCTACTCAGCTGCGCACCCATGCCAACGAGGGTTAGGGCGTCCCCCCAAGGCGACGCACACCAGCTCGTCCCCGTTGGTGTGGAATGCAGCGCGCAAAGCGGCGATGGGGACCGCCACCCGTCACGCACAGCCCGACACGGCGGAAGGTGGAGGACAGAGTGCAGAGTTGGCACGTGGAATGTTAGAGGAGGCATGAGAGATAAGATGAATGAGTTGATCGAAATAATGAAAGAAAGAGAATTAGATGTCGTGTGTATGTCGGAGACCAAACGGAAAGGCAGTGGTACTGAAGAGCTCCCTGGCGGGGCGTTAGCTCTATGGTCCGGAGTCCCGGAGAGCGAGAGCGCCTGCCAGGGAGTGGGGGTGCTGCTGTCTTCTCGGTTGGTCGATGTTATGACTGAATATAAGGTTGTGAACTCAAGACTTCTCTGGGTTCGCTTTAAATTGGGACTGACGAAGTTATTCCTTTTGGCTGTTTATGCGCCGGTAGCTTCGTCGTCCAGGGCTGGGCTGGAGGAGTTTTGGGAGAATGTAAGAGAAGTTCTAGATTTGGCTAGGGGAAACGAAAGAATTGTTGTATGTGGTGATCTGAATGGATGGGTTGGTACCGCTCGACCAGGGTACGAGTCGGTACTTGGAAAGTTTGGCGATAAAAGGGTTAATGATGCTGGCAAGCTTATACTGGCGGTGTGCAAGGAAAAGGGTCTTCTTGTGACAAACACTATGTTTAATCACAAGAAAATCCATATGTATACTAGAGAACGAAAGAATGAGAGAAGTATGATCGATTTGTTCCTGGTGGATGACCGACTGCGAAAACAGGTGATGGATACGCGAGTGTTCAGGGGTGCTGACCTGGGAACGGATCACTATCTAGTGATTACTAGATTTAGGGGTCTGTTCGCGGGTTGGCGCTACCGGACGGCAGTAACAGTACCACAGTCGGTCTGTCGCATCCGAAGCTGGAAGCTTCAGGAAGCGGATACTAGGGACAAATATCATGCGAGGGTAGCCGAAAAGCTTGACACCATCGATGGCAGAAAAGAATGTGTAGAAAGAACTTGGCAGAACCTTAGGGATGGAATGGTAAGTGCAGCGGAAGAAGTGTGTGGAACAATAAAAAGAGGCAGTAGTAAAAGAAGAGATGCATGGTGGAGGAATGATGAAGTGAAAGAGGCTGTAAAGAACAAGAAGAAAGAATGGTTAGACTACTTGGCCTCTAGTAATGATAAGGATATGAGAGAGAAGATGAAAGAAAGATATAGGCTGCAGAAAGTTCACACGAAAGCACTGATTGAGGAAGTGCGTGAAAGGTGTAGAATGGAAGCGGACGAAAGGTTGTCGCACAACTTTAAGGAGAACTCCAAACTCTTCTGGAAAGAGGTTGGAAGGACCCGAAGTGGTGCGACGGCTTTAAGAATGAACAAAGTGCTTTCGAGAACTAATGACGTCCTCTCAGAAAAATCGGACGTCATGCAGCGATGGAGCGAATTTTATAGAGAAATGTATGCGTGTGATGATCTTAGTGAGGGATCCGGGGATGACGCCGTGACTGGTACGCCAGACCCGGACCTCGATGACACTGAGGTCATCAGTATGAAAGAGATTGAACGTGCGATTCGAAGTTTGAAATGTGGTAAGGCTGCGGGACTAGACAGAGTTACTGCTGAAATGGTCAAGTATGGGGGGCCTCGCGTCTGGGACAGCTTTCGTCTGCTGTCCAATTTGTGCTGGCGGACGGGGGATGTCCCGGATGATTGGCGATCCGCAGTCATTGTGCCTTTATATAAAGGTAAAGGTTCACATTTTGACTGCGGGTGCTATCGGGCGATCAGCTTGACCAGTTTAGCAAGTAAAGTTTACTCGAAGGTTTTGACACGTAGGATGCAAGAGAAATCGGAAAGATTTCTATGGGAGGCACAATGCGGATTTAGACCTGGAAGAGGATGCACGGATCAAATGTTTTTTCTCCGCATGATCACGGAGAAGCTTCTGGCTGCTAACCAGAAGATTTTCTGTGCTTTTGTGGATCTTGAGAAAGCATTTGATAAGGTTGTAAGGAAGAAAATGTGGGAACTGTTGCCGGGGTATGGTGTGGATGGTCGATTGCTAAGGGCTGTGCAGTCTCTTTACTGTGACAGTAAAAGTTACAGTGTAAAGCCTGTGTGCGGGTAGGGCATGACCTGTCACCCATGTTTAACGTCCAAACGGGCGTAAAGCAGGGTTGTGTCATGTCTTCCTGGCTGTTCATACTGTATCTCGACAGCTGTTTACAGAAGCTGAAAGATAGCTGTTTGGGTGTGAAATTGGGTGACATAAAAGTAAATTGTCTGCTGTACGCTGATGATGCAGTGCTTATTGCACCATCAGAGGCAGAACTGCAGGCATTAGTCACGTGTATGAAAGAGGAATGTGAAATTAAAGGTCTCCGTTTGAATGCTAATAAAACTAAAGTTCTGGTATTTGAAAGGGACGAAGAGAGAACGAAGTGTGAAATATGGGTAAATCAGGAATGTCTAGAACAGGTAAATGAAATTGTATACTTGGGGAGTGCTTTTAGCCGGGATGGAAGATGTGATTTAGATGTGGACAGGCGTGTCGCTGCCGGGAACAAAGTCAATGGTGCCCTGACTGCGTTAGTCAAAAGGCAAGGCGTAGCGAAGAGTGCACGCCTTGCAATACATAACGCAGTGTTGGTACCGACTTTGTTATATGGCAGCGAAACCTGGGTATGCCAGAAGAAGCATAAAAGTAAGTTGAATGCAGTGGAGATGCGATCTCTTCGTAAAATGTGCGGCATTACCTTGGCCGACCGAAAGCGAAACGAAGAGATTCGCAATATGGCAGGTTTGAAAGATGACCTTATCACAAAAATTGATAAGGGCGTGCTTCGGTGGTTTGGGCACGTTGAGCGAATGAGTGAAGACCGAATAGTGAAGAAAATATATAGCGCGAAAGTTAATAATAAAAGGTGTCGAGGTAGACCGAGACTAACTTTCGAAGACCATGTGAGCAAATTGCTCGAAGAGGGTAGGGTCAAGAGTACTCGGATACCTAGACGTGCATGCATGAAGAAGATAATGAATCTGAAAGAAGCGAAAGAGGTTTGTAAGGATCGTGACACTTGGCGATCTGTTCTCTCTGGCTACCCCGTCAGGGATTGTGCGTGAAGATAAGTAAGTAAGTAATATTATAATAACGCTTTTTAAACAAACTTAGTTTAATAAAGTTTTTGAACTTTGAGCAGGTCAAATTTTGTATATTTTCTGGAATTTTGTTGTAAAAGCGTATACATCGCCCCAAGAATGAATTACTGACTCGATGGAGTCGAGTAACTGGTACTACTAGCTTGTGTCTGTTCCTAGTATTTACAGAATGAATATCACTTATTTTTGTAAAACTACTTTTATTTTTGTGTACGTACATTACATTTTCATAAATGTATTGAGAGCCCAAAGTTAATATATTAATTTCCTTAAATTTTTGTCACAGCGACTCTAGACTTTAAATCATAAATTGCTCTTATGGCCCTCTTCTGTAAAACAAATATAATTTCAGCGTCAGCTGCGTGTCCCCATAGCAAAATACCATACGACATTATGCTATGGAAATAGCTAAAGTAAACTAGTCTAGCTGTTACAAGACTAGTTAGACTTCTAATCTTTTTTACGGCATATGCTGCAGAACTAAGTCTGCTTGCTAGTTTTGATATATGGGGGCTTCATTGGAGCTTCGCGTCTAGTGTGATTCCAAGGAAAATGGTGGTATCTACAAGACTCAGTTTCTCCCCATTTAAAATTACATTAGTATTTAATTGTTTGACATTTGGAGTCATAAATTTCATACATTTCGTTTTAGTGCCATTTAAATGCAAATTATTAACATTGAACCAATTTACTAATTTAGATATAGCATTATTTACTTCGTCATATTTTAGCAATTGTCGACTTAATTTGAAAATTAAAGAAGTGTCATCTGCAAATAATACTATATCATGGTTATCTCCTACTATGTAAGGTAAGTCATTAATGTATACAAGAAACAGAAAGGGGCCGAGAATTGAGCCTTGAGGCACGCCCATTTGTACCATCGACCCGGAAGAACTCATACCGTTAATGAAAACTTTTTGCGTTCTCTTACTTAAATATGAAATAATTAATTTAAGAGCATCACTTCTTACACCGTAGTGTTGAAGTTTCCTGATTAATGTTTCATGGTGAACACAATCGAAGACTTTGGATAGGTCACAAAATATTCCCAAAGCATCCTGTGAATTCTCCCATGCATTAAATATATATTTAATCAGCTCAACACCGGCATCAGTTGTCGAGCGACCCCTTGTGAAACCAAATTAATTTTTATGAAGTAAATTATTTATATTAAAGAAATTTAACATTTGATACACGCATTTACATTTTGTTTAAGTAATGATTCGGCGACCGCAGAAGAATTCAGTGACTTCGTGGTTAATATCGAGATATCAGTAAAATATTTCTCGTAAACCATTGCAACGTCCTGATCTGATTCGGTTAATTTGTTACTAACACTTAACTGGTAGTTTGAATTGCGAGAGATGATCTTACCAGTTTCGCTATTAATTATACTCCATGTCATTTTAATTTTATTAGAAGCCGTCTTAATTTTGTTGCTCAAATGCAAAGACTTGGCTGTGGAGCACATTATACATTATTTTAATTTTGTTTATCTTGACTTTTTCTTATAATGATCCAATAAACTGCATTGCTTGTGGGTAAATTACAAATTAAGATAAAAAATGGCTTATACTCACATGATTATGAAGATTTAATGTGTTCCAATTAGGGAATGTTGGTTTGTAGTCTGGCAAAGATGACACACCTGGCCAGATTTCCTCTGTAGGCGTACGCAACATTCTGAAAGTATACATTATACAAATCAGATCACTAGGAGGCCTGCTTTCGTTTCTTATTTACTTAAAAAAAAGGTCTCTCTAAAATAATACTACCAATTGAAAACATTGTGTCTAAACACACTCATGGGCAATTTATTACACTGTAAAGATTGTATAATGTTTTAAAGACTTAAATGCTGTAGTGATCTCTGCAGTAGCAGTAGTTTTTGTGTGCATTAAAAAGTTAAATTTACAGCCTATAAATACGTCCCACTGCTGGGCAAAGGCCTCCTCTCATTTCTGAGAGGGTTTTAGGGTGAGGAAATGTCCACCGCGCTGCCCCAATGCGTGTTGGCGAACCAATGCAGGTTTCCTCACAATGTTTTCCTTCACCTCCGAGCATGTGGTAAACCAACACTTAACATTACGATTAATAATTTCATTGGTGCTGGTGGGGATTGAGTCCTGGTTGCTCGTGTACTATGAAACTTACTTAGCGAGCGCTAACCATCTGAGCTTACCTTTGTGTGCATTAGTTATATAGTATTAGTATAGTGCAGTAATTTTTATGTGGTAGAGTTTTAATGGGTCGGCTCGACCGGGGAAGGACCACGCTCTCACAGAACATCAGCGTAAAATAGCATCTTAACGCTGCTGTGTTTCGTATGGTGAATGTAGAGAACCGAAGTGCGTTTTTTGCTGGAAACGAGGCATTCCGTCTTAGTCCTCACGGGTGACAACACATCTACATTTTGATTCGTAATCGAGGATAGATGTAGATGTCTATGGGCCACAGTAACCACTTATATACCATCAAGTGGACTGTGTGCTCGTTTGTCACCCTATACCATAAAAAAAAAATTATAAAATAAAAGCAAAACAATAAATGCGCCTCCAGATGTATCGAACCTATCTTAGCGAACAGACTATACATTAAGCATTTAAGGTATATACAAGTTTTATTTTGTCAATATCAGTCATCTTGTAAATAAAATTGTTAAATTACTAAAACTCTACATAAAATATACACCCATTTCATTTTATAATTTAAGCTTACTAAATATCTATTATACAAAAAATATCTAAAATTGATATTGTTATTTTACTCAACTGGCATCTATGGCAAGCTTCACTATGGACTTTTTACCATGTAATAATTGATATATATATTACATGGATAATTATATGGACAACATAAATTAAATATTAGTATATTAGGGCAAGGCATACATGGAAATACCTCCACTGTATAAATGAAAAATTAAATTGATTAATACCTGAAAATACGGAAGAGCTGATCAATCTCAGAGTCTCCTTGGAACAATGGCTTCTTAGATGACATCTCCGAGAATATGCATCCCACTGACCATATGTCAATGGGGCAAGAGTACCTGAATTAAAAAAAAAAAGTTTTTACCGAGATGTCACTCCATCTAGAGAGCAGGGGGAAGGAGAAACTTCAAGTAACTCTCTCTTCATAGTTTGCTGAGGAATGTTAAGCTTTCTAATACAACCAGCAATAAAAGACCGTGTTGCGCAGAGAAGGACCTGTCCAAGGTGGACCACTTGTGGATTATTTATTTGAACAATTTGTGCTATGTAAATATACTTATCGACAACTTAAGCATCACATTTTCAAAAGCTATGTGACATGGGACATTACACAAGACCTTTAGATATAAGTATTTCACATATAAAGTCTATAAAAGTCCCATCGTTGGGCACAGTTCTGCTCTTACTAATGAGATGGTATTTACATATTATGTATTTTGGGGAGCTGTAAAGCACCCCAAAAAGTCGGAAATTAAAAAGTTAAAATTAAACATAATTAAATCGGTAAAATTACTTTTTTTTTAATTGTCACAATTATCAATACAAGAAACAGAATTTTGTTGATTTTGAACATACCTTTGACAGCCAAGCAATACTTCTGGAGCTCTGTACCAAAGTGTCACAACTTCATGTGTATATACCCTTACTGGTACACCAAAAGCACGACCCAGTCCAAAATCTGCTACCTAGAATTGACTTAGTTTATACATCATTTTTTTAATCTTATATAGAGGTCATCAATAAAATGCGTTAAGTAAAATTTGTACATTTTCAACACTATTCCCTTGTTATCTTCCATCACATTTTTTCAATTCCTTACTATATGCATAATAAATACTAATAGTGAGTAACTTGGCGACTACAGATCAACGATGGGGTGCGGTATGAAGGAGATTTGGAGTCCTCCCCCTGCCGCAATCCCTTATTATAAGGTAGTATGTAAAAGATTAAATAAATAAAAAATAAAATAAAATTAAAGAAGAGCATATTAGAATATAAGAATGAAATGATTATACATTACCTTAATAATACCAGTTTTATCAATAAGTAAGTTCTGAGGTTTGAGATCTCTGTGCAGTATGCGACGTTGATGGCAGTACAGAATTGCATTATTGATTTGATACAGATAGCTTTTAACCACAGCTGGATCCATAAACTGAAACAGTGAGTGAAAATTATAACAAATAATTAAAAATTTTGTACAAGCGACTTTAATATAAATTATTAAGAATAACTTTTTTTTTTTTTATAGGATAAGGGTGACAAACGAGCACACAGACCACATGATGGTAAGTGGTTGCTGCGGCCCATAGACATCTACATCTATCCTCTGTTATAAATCAAAATGTAGATGCGTTGTCACCCGTGAGGACTAAGATGGAATGCCTCATTTCCAGTAAAAAGGGCCTCCGGCCACCTGCACTCACCAAGCGAAACGCAGAGGTAAACCTCTACTTCACGCTGGTTTTCTGTGAGGTCGTGGTACTACCCCGGTTCGAGCCAGCCCATCCGTGCGACAGCAAAAGCTGCCGCGTGGCTCTACCACTGTTAAAAAACTATTCAGGTTTAGAGTTAAACTATTAGGTCAGACCTTGATCAAAATTTATATGGGAACACATGAAAACACCAGCTTTCAAATAAAAAGAATAAACGAAATCGGTTCACCCAGAAAAAGTTATGAGGTAACACACATAAAAAAATACATACAGTTGAATTGAGACCTCCTTTTTGAAGTCGGTAGAAAATGAAGTAAGGTTTGTGGAATGAAAGCATATTATGTAATCACGTATATTTCAATTAATATTAACCTTAAAAAAAGGTTGTGGTTTCACTTTTATATTTTAGCAATACTTTCAGAAGATATTCCATTGTGTGTTTAGTGTTAGTTTATTATAAAAATATTTTTTGACCTTTTTAAAATAACAGCTAGAATGTTGATACATTAAAATTTTCAATTTTTTTACTCTTATGGGTGCAATATTTTAGATTATCCTTAAGGTATATAGCCTTATTCATTCATATATTACAGCCATTTTTATCGCCCACTGCTGTTCATAAGAATCAGGGGAATACCACGTGGGTATATCCTATTTCTTTGGGGGAGGCCTATGTTCAGCAGTGGACTTGTGAAGGGCTGTAATGATGATGATATCCTATTTATTAAATAATAAATAAAAGAATCATTAAAATCAGGTCACAATTAGCATAGATATCATGTTACATACATACATACAAAAAAAGTAAGACAATCATATTAGCAGAAGGCCTAAAACTTAAGAGATATAAGATGTCCTGGCTGTATAATCTTAAAGAATTGTTTTCAATGACATGAAATTAATCTATGACCATAAGACATTCCGATGAAATGTTTTTTTTTATAGCACAAAGGTGACATACAAGCACACAGTCCACCTGATGGTAAGTAGATGCTGTGGCCCATAGACATCTATATCCATCCTGAATTAAGAATAAAAATTCAGAATGCCTAGTCACTCCTGAGGACTAGATGAAATGCATTGTTTCCAGTAAAAAGGGTCTCTGGTTCTCTAGTTACCATACGAAACACAGCAGCAATGAGATGCTATTTTATGCTGGCATTTTGTGATAGTGTTGTCCTACCCTAGTCGAGGCAATCTATTTGTGCTACAACTATAATATAACAGCAGTGTGGCCGTACCATGTTTGAATGTCATCAATACCAATGTATTCATTATCCAATGATATACTCATAAACATACCTAGGAAGGAGCATGTAAATTTCGTGCCTTTATCTACACTCACAAAAAAAATCAATAGGATCTAGCAGTGCCTCAACAAGGTAGGTTTGTGTCACCTTAGCCTACCCTAGAAAAAATGTTAGTTACACCCATAGATACAATTAGGCATTATAAAGGAACCAAGAAAAATATTATCCTACATAAATCTCTTGTTTTTAATTTACATATTCGGGCCCTCTTTCTGTGATAGAACATATTATATTAAAAGAAATAAATAAAAGTAAAATCAAAATGTTTACATTGGCAAGTTTTAAAATACTAAGATAAACCAATAAATTATAGAAATATAAATAAAATGTCTGTACATACTTTTCCTGTACCAAGAGAATCCATGTATTTCTTCAAGTCCATAGAGAGGAATTCGAAAATGAGGTAAAGGCGAGATTCTTCCATGAGGACATCTTCTAATTTGACTATGTTAGGATGATTAAGCTCCTTGAGCAATGAAATTTCTCTAAAATAAAAACAGGATAATCAATGTTATTGATGGATTTTAGGTTAGAATAGCATGTTTAATAAATAAATTAAGAAAACTGGAAAAAGAACTTCATAAAAGGAATTCAATATGTCAAACGATTATCACACCTGATAGCAGTGGACGGTATTCCTTCGTCTTCAGACTCCAGTCTTATTTTCTTCATAGCCACAAACTGCCCAGTTATTTTATTTTTTCCTTTGTACACAACACCATAAGTACCTTCACCAATCTTTTCAATTTTTAGAAAATCATCCATCTTGTAGCCTGGAATTTTGCTAGTTTCTATTTGCAAGACACGGTAAGAAAGTGCGAACGATTAGTTACCGCTAGTTTCGTTGAGTTAAGAAAGCATAAATCGACTAAAAATTATATTATTTTAAGACGTTCATTAATTAAATCTTTTAAGTTTTAGTAAATATTTATTGCAAAATATGCGACAAATCGTACCACTGCAAACGTCTTTCAAACGAAAAGTTTTTAAATTTTTCGAACAATACGTTGCGTCACCAGTGTTACCAGATAAAAATAGCTAAGTGCAAATTACTGATGATTTTTTTTAATTAGAAATGAGTTTTTCTTCCAAAAGTTCCACTCCTTGGTCATAAATTGAAGAAGTCATTTTTGTAATAATTTCTTTCGATAGTGTAATATCAACACAATTTCCATTTCTGTGAACAGATTGCTTAGCTTGAGTGTTTCCATTATAGTCTTCGTAATCGGAATATTTGTTTTCTTCGTTATGATGTCATTTACTTGACTGAACAGACTTTCACATACAGCATTGGAGTTGGATAAGGAGAGAATGTTGACTATTTTAATATTTAAGTATATTCTCTCCACTTTCGTCCTTCAGCTGAGCTATCTGTGAACTATGAAAACATTATTTAACTGTGTGTACCAAGAAACAAGCGATCATAATAATTTATAAATAAAATAATATAATATAACTACTCATACAGGGTGGCCCATAAGTCCCTTGAAATGTAAAAAAATAATTAAAAAAAACTAATGACATTATGAAAAAGGTTTTTATTTTGTCATAATCCTTATAAAATGGGAATTATTTTTTGAAAATTACATCATCTAAATGTAATCCGTTACGATCGCGGCACTCCTGTAAGCGACGTTTAAAATTATCCATCACTGCGTGGCAAGTAAGCTCTGTAATGTTTGCCATTTCTCTTTGGATATTTTCTTTCAGGACGTCAATTGTCCGCGGGTTGGTTTTGTACACTTTAGTCTTAAGATAACCCCATAAGAAAAAGTCCATTGGGGTCAGATCTGGACTACGTGGTGGCCAAGGAATATCTCCTCTTCGAGAGATCACTTTATTAGGGAAAAGTTGACGGACGACCGGCATAGCGACGTTAGAGGTATGGGCAGTTGCTCCATCTTGTTGAAACCAGGTCCGCGTATTGAAGCCTGGAAAATTCTGCAACTCTGGTGTAAAAAAGTCCTGGATCATAGCTACATACCGTTGTGAAGTAACAGTAAGCGCGCGGCCTCTGCCGTCCTCTAAAAAGTAAGGGCCTATAATGCCATGCGCTGACATAGCCGCCCAAACTGTCACTTTAGGGCTATGTAAGGGCTTTTGATGTTTGCGATTTGGATTTTTGCAACTCCAGTAGCGACAATTTTGCTTATTGACATGGCCGTTGATGGGAAAGTGAGCCTCATCAGAGAATAACACGTTATTAAACGAAGTAAAGCGGTTCAACATTTCATTTGCGAAATTTAGTCTGTGGATAGTGTCAGTATCTTTTAATTCCTGTACTAACTGAATCTTGTACGGGTGAAGATGTAAATCTTTCTTTAAAATTCGCTGTAACGATGTTCTGGGTAAGTTTAATGCACTGGAACGCTTACGAGTAGACTGGGTAGGATTTTCACGAATTGTTTCACTACATCGATGTTTTCTTCCGTCCGTGATGTCCTTGGTCGACCTGACCGTTGTTTATCCAACGTCAAACTACTCTCTTCGAACTTAATAACCCAGTTCTTAATCGTTTGAACACTTGGAATGTCTTTAAAGTTGCGTAAATTCTGATATTCTCGAAATTTACGCCGCGCAATGGTAGCCGAATCATTGTTTCGATAAAACTCGCACACACAAAATGCACGGTCCGCACCGGTGAAACGCTCCATGGCGACCACAGAACACTAATACCCTTAATGGCGACTGAATTCCCAGAAACCGTCGGTACACACCCCGCACCGCGCGCGCCACTCATGCGCGCCTTTTGTATTTTATTCGAAATTTACATTTCTAACGACTTATGGGCCACCTGGTATTTGAGCTTTTGTTTCTGATGCTCATCTTTTTGCCCAGCATTCGTTATTTTGGAAGACGTTGGTCCAGTTTCAGTACAGTCTCGTAACTATCATTATTACTTTCATCGGTGCCCATTTTGATCTCGTATTCTACGATTTTGTAAAGAAAAATAATATTTTATGCACCCGAAAACTACAAGAAATTATTTAAAGAAATGTTCCATTCATTCATGCTACTCATTTTAATATAATTTATACAAAAGAAAACACCACTTCCAGAAAATCTTTTTCATTTTGACAAGCAATGAAATGTTTGCGGATATCCCGAACAGCGGCGGCCGGTGTTGCTAATTAGAATATGCGTTTTGTTATATGCATTTTTATAATTTTGGATTCCAATTCGACTACTATCTACAAAAAATACTGTAGAAAATGTCACGCTAGTAGATCATGACCGTAGACCATGTTTTGGTAAAAAATACCGTGCATTTACGGTAATTACCATAGACTTAGAATATATTGTGGCGCATAGACCGAAATAATGTGCAAGGGAGAAGAAAATTCCTTATGGAAAAAATGCAAGATAGAAAAGGATACTAAATCTCATGACTCTTGTAACCTTTAATTTAATGTTTTGTACAGTGGTAGAGCCACGCGGCAGCTTTTGCTGTCGCGCGGATGGGCCGGCTCGAACCGGGGTGGTACCACGACCTCACAGAAAACCAGCGTGAAGTAGAGGTTTACCTCTGCGTTTCGCTTGGTGAGTGCAGGTGGCCGGAGGCCCTTTTTACTGGAAATGAGGCATTCCATCTTAGTCCTCACGGGTGACAACGCATCTACATTTTGATTTGTAATAGAGGATAAATGTAGATGTCTATGGGCCACAGCAACCACTTACCATCAGGTGGACTGTGTGCTCGTTTGTCACCCTTATCCTATAAAAAAAAAACCGATTTTGAATGACAGATCAGCTCAAGTCGGCACGTAAGAAATGAACTCCTAGATTACGTGGTAGAGCCATGCTGCAGCTATATTAGTAGTATAGTTGTAGCACGAATGGATAGGCTCGACCGGGGAAGAACCACACTCTCACAGAATACCAGCGTAAAATGGCAGCTTGACACTGCTGTATTTCGTATGGTGAGTGTAGAGAATCGGAAACCCATTTTACTGGTAAAGAGCCATTCCATCTTGGTCCTCACGGGTGACGACGCATCTGCATTTTGATTCTTTATTGTGGATAAATGTAGATATCTATGGGTCACAGCAACCACTTACCATTTATATTACCATACCATACCATACCATAATTTTTTAGAGTGTAATAGTGGTTATTTTTAGTAAGTAACTTTTTTCCAAAATGGTTACTTATTCTGTGAGTGACTGTGGTGTTAATAATAGAAATAATCTTGATAATTGCACATTTCACAGGTAAATTCTCAAAACATCAATGTTATGACGCGTTTATTTTTGGTTAAAATTTATGTTATATACTATTTAAAATATAGAATGTTTTCAATTTTTGTTAGTTATGATATCTTGCAAAGAAAAAAGTCACATTGTTCATAATTTGCACTAATTTGGTGAATACATTTTTATACATGACAGCCCTAGGCTAACTAAAATCTGCGCCCCCCACCGGCCTGATTTACCTGATAGTAAGTGTGAAGATCGCCCGAACAACTGAAACACCAGGGAAATTGCAGGTGGGTTACCAGCCTTTTTATAGGAAGTAAGCTCGAGTCTTGAACGTTTCTAAGTCGTATTGGTCTGGAAAAATCGCCGGTGGTAGATGTTTCCACAAAGAAGTCTTGCGAAGCAGAAAACTAGTAAATCGCAGTCATGGTGTACCGCCAAACATTCAAATTGTGTGGATGGTTAGTTTTGTCCCGATGTGCGTTGGTGGAATTTGGGGTTGGAATTAATCCGAACAATTTGTCTAACTCCCTGTGGAAAATGTGATAGACAATGCAATGGGATGCAATATCTCTTCGCAGCGCCAGTGAATAGAGCCGATCAGAAAGAACTCGGTCGTCGACGATTCGAGTCACTCTTCGCTGGATGCGGTCAAGTGGAAGGAGCTGGTACTGGGATGCCCTGGTTCAGAGATGAGAACAGTACTCCATATGATGGTGAACTTGCGCCTTGTAAAGTTGCTAACGGTGTGTCGGCATGAAATACTGTCCGACTCTGCTGAGCACGTCAAGCTTTTTAGAGGCCAATTTAACCTTCCCTTTCAAGTCACCGCGAAACTGATCGTCATTCGATATGACGATGCCGAGGATTCCGATGCTGAATGAGGTAGCATGGGGAGTGCCCTGAAATTGAATAGATACAGCAAAGAGGTTCTTTAGCGGTAAACGCGCAAACCTGTAACTTTTGAATTTTAAGCTGGACTAGAGTCGTCCTCAATCCGAGATTTTGTTTATTAAAGACTCGACTTTAGACACAAGTTTGTTGCGATACTAGGTGGTTTGTTCCCGAAAAATATTAACACGGCCGGTGTTCATCACAAGTGTTACAACCAGTAACAGTAACATATAATCGATATACAGAAGGAACAGCGTAGGTGACCGTACGCAGCCTTGTGGAACACTAACATTAATAGGCTGGATTATGCACCGTCTACTAGAACCTTGATGCTCCGATGTGCAACAAAACTGATGATCCAATTGCGCAAATTCTCGGGAAGCCCATAAAAGCCCCTTCTAAAGAAGCGCTTTGTGCCAAAGTCCATCGAAGGCCTTCGCTATGTCCAAAGTAACGGCCAAGCCCTCCCTTTTGGACTCTACTGCTTCCGCTCATCTATGAGTCAAGTAATCAGCTGGTAGTCCTCAAGGTACCTTATGAGCTGACAGTATTGAATTAATGGATGATGGATTAAATTATTTTGGAGAATAGAGAAGCGATGGTGATAAGTTGGACGGGTCTGATCGGTCGCCTTTTAGGGATTGAGTGCACTAAAGCTGTCTTGCATAAGTTCAGTATTACGCCTAGGGAGTAGTAGTACCGGAAAAGACCCATTAGAACAGGTGCTAATTCCGGAACACACGTCTTCAGCACAATTGGAGGGACTTCATCAGGTCAACTCGTTTATCGTGATACCCAGGGAGAAGACTGCTTTCTACACTGAGTACTATGTAAACCGCACATCCAGAATGGATCGATCGCACCGCGGGACGGTTGGCGGTGTGTACCCCATCGAGAGTCGAGTTGGACTCAAAAAGAGAACAAAAGAAAAAAAGGGCCAGTGAGTAGTTCTCCCTGAGCAAAGATGGAACCGATGGCTGACAGTAGTTCCCTTGGATAGCCTTGGCAAAATACCTTAACAAAATAAAAGGCGGAGAAGAGAGCTTGAGCAGTTTAAAATCTTCGAATCATGTCCAGTCAGTCAAGAAAAGACGAAAGATACCAAATAATTCAGTCTTATTTTTGACCAACAAGTAAAATAGGTACTTGAGGTATTTACTCTATAATTTATTGAGAATATTATACCAAATTTTATTCAGTACACTAGCTGATCCCCGCGACTTCGTTCGCGTGTTAGTGTTTTTATGTTTCTGCGCGGAACCCTGATTCTTTTTCTAAAATAAAGGTAGCCTATGTTACTCCTTATGAAATCAGCTATCTGCCAGTGAAAGTCCCGTCAAAATCGGTCCAGCCGTTTCGGAGATTACCCGGAACAAACAGACAGACAGACAGACAGACAAAAATTTTAAAAATTGTATTTTAGTTATAGGTATCGTATTTACTTTCATATGCATTTAGTAAAAAACTGTAATTTTGACATTACAAACAGACACTTCAATTTTATTTATTTGTATAGATGTATAGATAAGCGTGCTTGAAAAGGTAAGCTCAGCGCCCCCTCGAACCTTGCGCTCTAGGCTCCAGCCTGGTTAGCCTGTGGGTAAATCAGACCCGGACTAAGTCACGATGGAGAACTAATCTATTATGCAATCTAATAGATAATAACATATCGCAGATCAACGTGTTTTATCCGCGAGTTAACAAAAACGTATTTGGTCACGTACTATGTCAAGCGGTCACCAAAAGTGCGTGATTTATGGTTTTCAAGCATTATCTCATGTTATCTCATAGATATAAGGGTCTTTCAAATTATCTATAATTAAGGCCTGGATTAGAAAACCAAGAGTTGTTAACTGAGGTGCCTCCATGAGACCAAACGCGAAAGATGTGGAAAGGGCTTGTTGTAGTGCATTTCATTGTGGTTCGAAATATTGTAAGTTATTAAGTTACATAATTTATAATTGAGATTGTTATTATTTAGTGAAACTCCACCTTCATTTTTGTGATTTGTATAAACACTTGTACTATTTACACAATATATATTTTGAATTATTATTATTATTATAGTAATAATTAATGCCGTGAGGCGAAACCGATCGGTTTTCAACCGACTTCAAAAAAAGGAGGAGCGTCTCAATTCGACTGTATTTTTTTTATTTGTGTTAGTTACCTCAGAACTTTTTTAGGTCCACCGATTTCGATGATAATTTTTTTTACTAAAAAGCTGGTGCTTCTCATGTTGTCCCATATAATGTTGATTGACATCTGACCAGTAGTTTTTGAGTAATCCTTACTAATGCGTATTTAATTGACTTCGACTACATTGATGATGTTCTCCTTTTATTTATATTGAAGTCGGTTGTACATAACTTTTAATTTTAGCACTTGTTATAATCAGTATAATAATAATTTAAACTAAATGTTATGAAATTAGTACACGTGTTTATCCAAATCACAAAAATATTGCAAGTTTACTAAAGTATTATATTTTGTTACATATAAGTTGAATTTAATGCTCATTTTGTTTTGATAAGGCTGTATCTCACAGCGGGGTTGTAAGCTCTAGATGGAATAGTTTTTGTTGAATAGTTCTAGATAACAAACGAAGTCACTATCACGAATGATTCAGTTTTATGTTTGGATCATATTGTTTTGTTTTCCTTTATTAATGTCTTCCTTTCCATAGTCACCTCTTACGACAACGCGGAACGATAAAGTCTTTGCCGCCATTCCGCAATCATACGGCACATAATACTTTATACAACACCATGAACTTGTATAAGTGCACCACTAAACGTTTTCCCCAAATTCTAAAATCGCCAAAGTGGTCATCTGCGATAGGTGAATTTATTATCAAGCCACTTTGGATGCAGTTCTGACTTACTATTTAGATATTAAAGATCTGGAAATTCAGTAGTGCATAGACGTGGGGATTACCCAAGGTGCTTAGCTTGATCTTCGGCTTGAGCTGATCGCCCATCGCATAATCGCAGGACATCTAGCTCCTGCGCTGTATGCTCTTGCATTCCCCTACTTGCTACTTTAAGCCACCACAGACCGCATGTTGATATTTTTTGTGAATCAAATATCAAAAGAATTATAAATGAAACTACTCTAAATTGATATTACAAGGAAAATGCATATGTGTATATGTTTTACATGTTTTTGTATAAAAGCTATTTAAATGTTTATTAAATTAAGTCTATACTAGGCCACTAATAAATTAAATTGAAGTGTCTGTTTGTAATATCAAAATTACAGCTTTTTACTAAATGCATATGAAAGTATATGCGGTACTAATAACAAAAATACAATTTTTTAAAGTTTTTGTCTGACTGTATGTATGTCCGTCTGTCTGTTTGTTCCGGCTAATCTCTGAAAGAGCTGAACCGATTTTGACGGGATTTTCACTAGCAGATAGCTGATGTCACAGGGAGTAACTTAGGCTACTTTTATTTTAGATAAAGAATCAAAATCCCAAATAACACGCGGGCGAAGTCGCGGGGAACAGCTAGTTTTAACTATAATGGCATAATGTTGAATCAAAATACAGAGGGATATCATCATCATCTTTACAGCCCATCACAAGTCCACTGCTAAACAAAGGCCTCCCCAAGGAATAAGCATGGCACTGAGCTATCTGCATCCATAGACTTCCTGCATCTCTTGATAGATCTAGTGTAGGGGGCTGCCATACACTTCGCTCACCGGTACTACCTGCCACTCGAGAACATTTCTTCCACAAGGAGATATATAAAGAGCCAAGGGCTTCTTTCTACTTCATATATTGCCTTAAGCGCGGTGTCATTTTCCATATATATATATATATATCTCCGCCATATTCAAGATTAATAAGGCGTTAGAGCGTAAGTAGTCATGGTTAAGGTTGCGGACTGCAAACTCATTCAGTCGCAGGTTCATTTCCACCATTTGACTACTGTCGTCAAGCACGTTCAACACAAGAATTTTTAGTTTCCAAGAACCTAACAGGAGTATTTGTAATGATGATAACATTACTATTCTTCTTTTTTAATTAAAAATACCACTTAAAGTTAATGTTTACATATAAAATTAAAAATCATTCCAGATTTCACAACCAGTTATAGAAAATGAACAGGTGAATAGACAGACAAACTTTGAGGAATGTTGTCCATGCCCCGGAACTAGAGATGGAGATACCAATTTCAGGGACCAAGGCACATTATCAACAATGAGGTCCTTTGCTCGCGTTCCCGTTGATGAGTGTCCCTGTCGATTAACGGGAGTCGACTCTGAGGCGTCGCCGTCCATCTTTTACCCATCTTTCTTACGAGCCGCTCATCCTAAAGAAAGGTTGGTTATAATTTATCACCTATAAATAAACATAAGTAACGTAGTAGAGTCATCTGCTGTTACATCGAATTATGATTGCAACACGAATGGGTCGTTTGGACTGGAGAAGTACCACGGTCGTGAAAATAACACTGCAAAATAACAGGACAATACTTTGGTCTTTCATATCTGAGCAAAAAAACGGCACGGCCGTACCATCCTTTTCTCGAAGCATTTCAGGCCATTTTCGACCCCCTATAACTTCGTTGTGGATAAAATTAGAAGCCTGAATTTTCAGTAAACAAGCAGGCATTGTATAGAGACGCTATATTTTAAATTTCATTCAATTTGAACCATTAGTTTAAGAATCATAACTAGTCAAAGTTTCTTATTTTTGTCACTTACTGACATCAAAACTAAGGTAATTCTAGCAGACATAGACAATTAGTGTTTAGTGTATAAATCAAGAAAAAATTAAAATATTTTGCAATTTTGGTCCAGTTTTCTAGATACATCAACTGCATAATTAACTTTGTAATTCCATACAAATATATAGGATTACAAAGTTAAACTAAACAATCTAATTTAATATAATATGTATTACTTGTGAGATACATTGTGTTTTCATGCGATGGCCAAGTCAATCTATGTATTTAAAATATAAAAGATTTTTAATATTGATATGGTCACTATAATATGATGTTAGGTTAACTAATTACGTAATAATTTAAGACAGAAGGACCCTTAACAATGGACTGAATAAATTAACCGAGTTGGTATTACATGGATCTCACAAATTTTTACGGTAGAAGAACTGAGTTGCGAGACTTGTTTTTTTTTTACAAGTTATGTTTTTGACGGTATCACAATTGACGGGAACTGAAGATTCTTTTCATTGACAATAAGGCATTCCATCTAAGTATTTAGGTGTGACACTGCACATACATTTTAATTCTTACACAAAAGTTAATGTTTTCTTCCTCGACAACACACTTCCCTGTGGAATCGATTACCATCAGCGATATTTCTGGACCGATACGACTTAGGGACCTTCAAGAAAAGAGCCTACACCTTTTTAAAAGGCCGGCAACGCATCTGCAATTCCCCTGGTGTTGCAGTTGTTCATGGGCGGCGGTAGTCACTTACCATCAGGTGAGCCGCATGCTCGTTTGCCTTTTCTCCTATAAAAAAATAAAATAAAAATAGTGATATGCATTCTGTAAATACTAGGAATAAGCTCAAGCTAGCAATAGGTGCAATATTATTACTAAGTGCAAGTAATACCATTTCCTCGACTTCAAACAGGCAATAACACCTTCACAGTCCAATATTAATATTCTTATTAAACAAAAACTGTAGTAATAATAAAAATAGTTAGAATGGCTTGCTGTGGGAATTTTTTTTTTAGAAAAGACGCTTTGTATTGTTTCAAAACTAACTTTATTTAACTGCTCATCCGATTTCTTGTGTTACCTACAAGTAAGTTGCGTAATAATAATATTACACAACTTTCAGATATTACACATCTTAAGAGATGATTATATAAGTGCTAATTGCTGCAAAGACTATAGGCCCGTGGCATTCACGCGCAGTGAAGTTTGTTATAGAACTCTATCCGCGGGTGGATGTTCCCGTAGGAGATAAGAGAGTTGGTTTTTTTCTCGTTCAGCAAGGAATACTGTGTGATAATTTTGGTTTTTAGTTCTTCAAAGTAATAAAATATTAATTATTATCTAATTTTAAATTTAAATATATCTATAAAACTGTATAAAAAAGAGTTATTATAAAATTAAAGAATACATAATTGCGTCCACGGTGCTTGAGGTGATTTCCACTTAGCTGTTTCTAAATGTTTTTACATTTAATTGTGAAACATTATAAATTATTATTTAAAAGATATCCCGTTAGATTCTGGTTGCTTTTGCCTAAGACAGAGTAAAACTGTGATATTTTTTTTATAAAACCACTCTTACAAACGACCTTATAATAATGAATAAATAAAATAAATAATCATTTATTTCAATCCATCAGATTATAGTTACAGCAGTACACTCAAAATTAAATTTAAATTTTAAACTACATATGAATTAAAACATTAAATCAAAACCCAGCCAGCGTTCTTGGCACGATACCGCGGGGAGTAGGACTATAATATAATAATTAAGTTACTAGTTTTAGTTTTTTTTTAATATAGTTTTTTATATCTATAATATAAAAATGAATCGCTGGATGAGTTGCTAAAAACAAATCTCGAGAGCAGCTGGACCGATTTCGCTAATTATTTTTTTATAATATTCCTTGAAGTACGAAGATGGTTCTTCGAGAGAAAAATTTAAAAAATTGCCTGAAAAAGTCTAAAAACAACACTTTTCTATATTCCCATACAAAAGATTCGTAATAATACTTAAAAGTCAATTTGAACTTTAATACCATACCATAAAGCTTTCTTTTTTCTTTTTTTTATCTTACTAGTTGTATGGAGTGTAGAGCACTCCATAATTAGTTGACCCGGTGTCCCGAATAGCAGAATAAGTATTAATAAAAAAAAAAAAAAGAATCGACTGTTGGGCGGTACGAAGTTCGCCGGGTCAGCTAGTTGTATAATAATAAAATATTGTATATTATGTTAGGTAAATAAAAATTAAATATTTTAATTAAATTAAAATAAAATTGAAATATATTAAATTAAAATTATTAAAAATCAGATTAAAACTATTAAAACCAAATTAACATCATTAAATATAAAAATCAATATTATGCCTGTCTCTGAGTCATTTGTTTGTCCTTACATTAATCATATAACAATGATTAATGTACTGACAATCAAACCTGTTCGCAAATACGCTCAAGATGTCTCAGATGTTGGAGGTGGTTCAGAGCCTGCGCCCCATAGATGCTTATCGCTTTCGCATCGTCGTGTAGAAACAGTCGACACGGGCGTCGGCAAACATCGCTGACTTGCTGCAATGCCGGGGCAGCTTCAACAGCACCCTGAACGCATTATTATATTGCACACGGAGTGCGGTGTACTGCTTCTGGGTATATGACACCCACAGGCTAGCTGCGTACAGGGACGTACGAAATGCTCTGAAAAGAGTTATTTTGACGGCCTCCTAGCAACGAGCAAACCTACGGGCCATCATATTGGCCCTCACAGACAACGCCCTCCACTCCCTATTAATGTCCGCATCGTCCTCTAGGTCAGGGGTCACGATATGCCTGAAATATTTAAACAGTTTGACTCTTTTTATCTCGACACCGTTCAGTCTAATAGGTGGAACAGTCTCCAGGTAGCCTCGCCCCCTGGCCCGAAATACTATGCATTCACTCTTCTTTGCGTTATAGAGCCACCCATGATCCAGCGCATAATGCTCTCAGATTGCCAGCAACCTGGACAGACCATACACCGAGACACTCAGCAGCACCATGTCGTCCGCATAACTAATATTATTAACACAAACACCGTCAATATGGCAGCCGACACGGGTGCTGCTGAGCTCCTCTATCAGTGCGTTCACGTACAGGTTGAAGAGCTTTGGCGAGGTTAGCCCCCCTTGCCTCACCCCGCACTCCAACCTGTACGGTTCCGACAGAGCACCCGACCATCGCACGATGATGATCTGGTTAAAATACCAGTACTTGAAGAGTTCCATCAGTTCGAGAGGCATTGAGATGTTCTTTAATTTTTGCCATAACCTGTCATAACTAACCAGGTCGAACGCCTTCGAGAGGTCGAAGAAACAGGCATAAACAGGTGTGCTCCTTTCGGAGTAATACTTGACAGTTTGCCTTAAACACAAGATAGCTGACTGTGTAGACAGTCCCGGTTTAAAACCAAATTGATTGTCATGAGTGTTTACATACCGGTCAAGCTGTTTATTAAACAAACCGTCAAGAACCTTAGCAAGCACTGTAGCTCACCAGTTTTACTCTTCACAATTGGTACTACCACAGTCCTCATCATCTCTGCTGATAAGTACGCATGTCCTATACAAAATGTATATAACATGGCAAGAACTCTGGGCAGGTTGACCCCGGCATGCTTTAGATGCTCAATGCTCAGGCTCTCATGGCCAGGAGACTTTTCACGTGACATTGATTTTATAACTCCCCGCGCTTCACGTTCTTTCAGTTAAAACATGGTTAAAACTTATAAAGTTATATAATTCCATACTCGCCATATTTACTTTGGTTTTTGATCGGTTCGTACTTCTCTGTCAAAAGTTTATAAATCGTCTAAATATGACTCTTTCTGGCCATAAATTACTGTCTAAGAACGTAGATAACTTCTGCTCCAAAACAAAAAACTTAAAGGCTTTATGATTCTTCTTTTGTTGTAATGTAATTTCTTCCTATGTTCTAATCTCTTTTGTCTTTCTGTATACCCAGTTTATTATATCTTTATCAGTCGTATCCATGTGAATCTTTGTTATCAAAATCGAAACTTTTTTGTCAGCGGCTTTGAAGCTCTCCTCTATATCTTTCGAAATCCCGGCTTTCCCATGATAACGGTAGTTAAATTTCTCGCATCTCGATACGGTTTTCCAGCCTTCCTTATCATTCGCGCCGCTCCGTACCGCTCGACATTGTATTCTCGCATTCATTCAATACTGGCAACCGTTGTCCCGGCTTAGCTGATTTACGTGCATTTTGTTTTAAGTTTACCCAAACATTTCTCGGTATTCTTGTATAATATTACTGGAACTGTTTTTCTGGTTATTTAACGGTCCAATTAACGGGCCAGTTGGTCTCTCGCATGATATTAACGATTCTCGTTAATATCATGCGAGAGACCAACTGGCCCACTTTCATACAGCTGCCATGCTCCGCGCCTTACATTCACGTTCTGAGTAATAACTCAGATCTGCACTCACTCAGTTGTTCTTTTGTAACATAGCTTTAACTACATCTAGTTTACTTTCCCGGTTTAGTAGCTCTTTTAGTAATTTTGTGCAATTAAGAAGGTCAAAAAGAATAGGGGGTAATTTATCGAACTTGCGAGCCTCAAAAAATAGGTATAATATTGAGTTCAGTCGATTTAAAAAGTTTCAGTATATCGACAAGGTTTCTTTCTTCCTTTCCTTTGTTCTTCCGATTTATCTTAATTTTGTCCCTAGGAATAGCTTCAAACAATAACGACTTAGATTGTTTAAATTTTTCGCTCGTATATGACATTGAACATATCCGCACCAGCGTTTCCTCGTCTATTATCGAGATTTTGTTCTGAATGTATGATAAATGCCCGTTTATCACTATATTATACGAGTTACACTTGATAGTTTCCGGCATTTTGAGCATATATATCAACACGGCACAAGGAATACGCTCACAGCGCTCGGCACGGGGGTATGCTACTATATTCCAATTGTTGGTAAGTGGTTACTACTACAGCCTATCAATACCTGAAAGCAGCTTCATATAAAGAAAGCTATAGAAGCGTTGTTATCCCTGAGGATTAGGATGAAATACTTTAAAGCCTGTAATTATACTGGTTCCCTATATTGTTTCAACTGGAACACAGCAGTGCATGCACTGCTATTTGGCGGCAGAAATATATAAGAAAGTGGTACCTACCGAGGTGGACTCCTAGGCGGAAAAGGAGTCTTGGTATATAAAGGATTTCAACATTTACATAATACTTGCAATATTAAATAAAAAATTTCTGTTCTATTCTAAACAATATATTCTGCAGTATACTGTTATCAATTGAAATAAAAAAACGCTAATATTATTATTATTTTTAGGACAGAAAAACCGAAAGAAGAAGCTAAACCGCTTCTTCAACCGGAAGTAGGCTTAGCTTCATCAGTTTTGGAGACTTTGCGAGAAGCCACCGATGAAGAATATCAAGACGCGTTAGAAAGAGATGCAGCAAAAAGTGCAATGAGAGTAGATGAATCGGACTTGTTTGATTCAGAACCTGACAATACAAGAAATTCGGTCACCATTGTAATTAGCTCAAAGGATGATTTGGACAATGACGATACTCTTTCAGAAGCCTCACATGTTCAAGAAACTAGATGTATTCACAGTCCATTAGGAAATTCAAACATTTTGGGTAGACAACGTGTAACATCTCCGCGATTATCAAAAGAAATAGTACTACCAAAGCATAAATCTAAGAGCCTACTACATAAATCATTATCTGATATGGACAATAGTGCTAGTAACATACAAGAAAGAATCAATGGTAACAAAAATAATGATTTAAGTAGTAAATTTAAAGTAAACCCATCGTTGCTAAATGACTTTTCAACTATCAGTGAAGAACAAATAGAGGATAATTCAAATACATGGCAAAAATCTGGAGCCAGCATGCAAAAGATTCTTTGTGAAAGTCAAAATAATTTAGACAGTGGACAAGAATTTAGTAATAGCCCATCATTTAGATTAGCCACGTTAAAGAATAAATTACGTGACCTTACTGAATTGAGACATGCAAAACGTGTACATAACAATTTGCATACAGTTCTAAAACAAAATAGCTTGAGTGATTTTAATTCTGGGCATGGTGATTCTGCTACAGATATGACGACATCGAACTTTAAATTGCAATCACCTTTGGATACGATATTTGATTATCAACATCCAATTGTTAAAAATTTATTGAAACTAAAAGACGTCGAGCTTATCCCACCGAGAAAAATCTTCAACAAAGATTCTACAAAAGGAAAAATGTATACCGGTTTAAAAGCTGCTAGAATAGAAAACAACGATGGTATTTTTATAACACCTAGTACAATTAACAAAAACGATCGCTTAATGAATACAGGTGAGTGTGATAATGAAAATGCAAGTAACTTAAAAGAAAATTTAGGAAAAGTCTCGGATGAAATAACAAAAATACAATCACCGATGTACACAAGACTATCAAACTCTCCTGAAATTCCGCTACTTACTAACCAAGACTCTAATGAAGATAGTTTAAATGAAAAAGTCATTTCAAGTGATATAAGTGAAATTGCTGATGCCTCTGATTTTGTCGAAGAACAAGGTTATGTTAGTAAAAGTAATAATGAGAATTTTGAACATAAAAGCTCAGAAGACCTTTACAAAGAAAATAATAGAATTGAAGATTCAGCTTCTGAAACGAGCGATAATACAATTAATATACTGGAAAAAGACATAAACACTCAAAATGATGATTCAGGTGTTAACGACAGTAGTATAAATGACGACATACACCATCAAGATAATAATTTAAAAAATACACAGGATCAAAATACTGCTAGTTATCCGATAAAACAAGAAACTAATCGGTTTGAATCATTCAAAGCCGATATTTTAGGAAGGTTGGAAAATATAAAAAAGAACATGAAATTAAATTTACATGAAACAAATTTAAAACCACCTGTAAAAATTGAAAAAAGTAATAATAATCAGGATGTAGAGAGTGGAGTAAATTTTCAATCTAAAAGTGTTAATGACGTTACATTTCATGATTTACAAAAAATCTCTAATTCTCTTCTTAATCAAGAAAACCAGCAAAGAGTTTTTAAAAATTCAGATTGTAGCAACGACGATTCGATAAGTAGCACTGAAAATTCTTTGTTAGCAAATAATGTGGTAAATGACAATCAAAGCGACCCTTCAGAGGTAGATTACGCAAAAATACAATTGGATGGAAACACATTTTCATCAGAAGTTATATCAGATTATGATAATGATACAATATTTAACAATTCAAATTCACCAACCCAACAAGAAACTCATAGTTCACAAAGTTCTGAGCACATTTGTTATGTAAGTTCCAATGAAAATTCTTTCAAAACAGATGAAGATAAAGATCATACAGATACACATTCGGAGGATTTTACATCAATGGATGAAATGTCACTCCAAGCTAGTAATTCTAAATATGATGCCATACGGCCACAACTGAATGACGATAACCTACGATCTTCTTTACGGCAAGATATCATAGTTCAACCATCTTTCCCGACAGAAGGATTTAATTTGTTTACGGAACCTTTTCAAATACCTAGCTTAGATGAAATTAGACAGGGAATCACAAACATTATAAATGCAGGTCAACGTGAAGTAGAAGAACCTAGATCAAGTGATTTTGACCCTTTAACTGAAAGTTCAAATTTAAAATCTATGCTATCTTCAAATTTAAGATCCAAATTACCTAAATCTAGCCATTTTGAAGATGTTGACATAGATGTATATCAATTGAGACCCTTGCAAAAGATGAAATCCAATCCGTTAATAGCTTTGCCGAGACTAAATATAAATTCATTTAAAACTAAATTAGCTTTACCGGAGCCTGGAATTTTAAAACCATTAAAATTGGAATCAGTTTTGGGTAATAATGCGGGTATACTTGGCGCAACTTTATCTTTAGGCTCTGATGGAACCAAATCAAAAGAAAAATCTAAATCAAAATTAGCATCCGATCTTTTGGGAATTTCTTTAAGGGAAGTGCCTACCTTAGATGATATACGAAGCTTACTACAATCAAACGCTCAAAATATCTTTAAATCTCCAGCAAATAAAATTTCGAAATCAAATATAATGGATAGACCTCTTTTCTCTGAACGCTCTATAAACGATTTTACAGACAATCTTAAACATAGTACAGATAACGCATTAAAAGCTATGCAAAACAATTTGAAAGAAGTAAAATTAGGTAATCCATTGCAAAATACCAGAATAGATTCTAATGATTTTTTGGAATCAATGGGAAGAAAGCGAGATGACATGAAAGAAAAACTATATGCCATACATGAAAACCTAAATGATAGACTAACATCCATTCACGAAAAACTATCCGATCAAATTAATTTGCAATCTATGAATATACCTACTTACGAAGATATTGGTAAAAGTTTAAGTTTGCCTACCAGAATTAGTTTTGAAAAAGATAACGATTATAAAAAATTAGTTTCTACAAGACTTCCTGATAGAGAACGCAATTTGCAATCTACGTCTAGTTTGTCATCACAAGATGAAATGTTTGTAAGAAACAAAATGAAGCCGCTGAATAAGTCACATGCTTTTAATGCTCGAAGCAAAAATGATGATAAGCGTACCTTCAAACAAAACTTGGGAATTATTGGAAAAACACCCTCAAAAGGAATGAACAAAGCCTCAACTTTACATCAAGAAAACTATTTTAGCGATTTAAAAAACTTTGGGAAGCACAGTGGATTGGCCCCATTAAAAAATAACAAAGTTAAAATAAAATTTTCTACTACTACATTGAAGCCAATTATAAAACATAAATATTATAAGAAAACTGCCGTAGGCTATCCTACAAAGTACTCTTTAGAATCCTTAAGGAATGATAAGAATGCTGCGCTTAAAACAAAAAATGCGAAAATAAAATCTATTGAGGACGTTCATCGTTCACCGAGTGAATTAACTGCATCAAGAATACGCCCCTTAGACAGGTTTCCGGGTGAAAACAAAGGGACGAAAAATTCTCAACAAGTTTTAGATATTAATACTCCATTAAAGAAAAGTTTAAATGTAAATAACGCTCTATCCGAGTTTACGAATGACAAACATAAAACAAACCAGGAACCGTCAGTATTAAGTGATTTCCCCGTTTCAAACCAAGCACTTGCCCAACAACCGTTTTTGCCAAAAACAAAGGAAAATTCTTTTATCTCAAATGTAAGGGAAGCAATTCGAACTCGATTAGCAAATATAACGCCTATTTCAAAAACTTTGCCTTTAAGTGAAGATAAACTGAAATCAAATTTAGACACAATAGAATCACCATCAGAAAACGTGAAAGCCATTAGTATAATGGATAATCCGTTAAAAGAAAATACGTCGTACAAGTGTACTATGATGTGTGTAAAAGACTTATAAAATGTAAATAATGTTTAAGAAATGAGAAATCCTAGAATAAGCTTGTAAATATTTTAGTTTTATACACGTTTGTACATGTGAAAATAATAGTAAAGTATTTTTAAAAACAATGGGGTTGCGTTTTTGTTTATCTCTTTCTTTATAATTGTGCAATTTACTTAGAAACTGTGACAAATAATTGCACTATAATTGAATCACTGCAATATTTTCTAGGAAATTTATATTCGAGATAAGATTTTTCGAGTATAAATAAGTACATTAATTGTTGTGATTTACAATAGCTAATACAATCGAAATCACTGTTTCTTCCTTAGTGAGAAACAGCTTGTGTGGTGCTAATGTTAATACAAGAATATTCTCGGTATCAATATGAGAAATTTGAATGTTAATAAATTAGTGAGTGTTTTTTTTCTCCTGTGTTTTGCTGACATTAGGATTCTTGGTAAGTGCTGATGTAAACTAATTTTCTGCCAACTTTAAAAAGGTAAAAAGGAGATGGTACTCAATTCGACTGTATGTTTTTTTTATGTACGTTAAGGTAAACCAATTTCGATGATTCTTTTTTTATTTGAAAGCTGGTGCTTCACATGTGGTCCCACATATAATTTGATATAATTTGATCAATAGTTTTAGAGTTATTCGTAATAATTTATATTGAAGTCGATTGTACAAAATTTTAAATTTTAAATTATCTTAATCTGGTCAAGTAGAATAGGAGTTCGAGTGTATTTGCCAACCTAGACGATTTGAACTTTTGCATTTATTTTCGTGAAATGAAATACTGAAATAGGTTATAATATAAACTATATTATTAACTAGCTGTTCCTCGCGACTTCGCCCGCGTGTAATTTTAAGGTTTTAATTTTATTGCGAGGAACCCTAATTATTTTTCTAAAATAAAAGTAGCTTAAGCTACTCCTTATGACATCAGCTATCTGCTAGTGAAAGTCCCGTCAAAATCGGTCAAGCCGTTTTGGAGATTAGCCGGAACAAACAGACAGACAGACAAAAATTTTAAAAAGTGTATTTTTGTTATAAGTACCGCTTATACATTCATGTGCATTTAGTAAAACGCTGTAATTTTGACATTACAAACAGACACTTTAATTTTATTTATTTGTATAGATTGATTCATTAACTACACGTACATAACATACTGCCCCCTTGGGGGGGGGGGGGGAATAGTTAGCAGATAGGCTTAACATGATGCTACTGAAAATTTTTTGACAGAAAAACTGTCATGATATATGGTAATTGAATTTTGAGCAGTAAAATATAATTACAAGTTAAATTAAAGTAAAAGTAAACATAAAGTTATACTATTTTTAATTTTTTACAGATCATTTGTTTTATCTTATGATCTTTTGTTTTTAATTACTTCTTTACGTCTACAACAAACTTTCTAGAGCAGTTAGTTGTTTCTATTTTGGCCCATTCTTGTTCTAAAAACAAATTCTGAAATAAATTAAAAAATTCCCGCTGGGTTTTTTGCTGGTTCTTCTGAGGTTTTTTCCGAACCAGTGGTAAAGTGGTAAAGTAAAAAATTACTTTCATTAAGAATTATATATATATATATATATATATATATATATATATATATATATATATATATATATATATATATGATCTATCTTGAATAAAAAATTATTCTACAATATTATGTTCTAGTATATATACCTAATTGTTTTATGTGAGGGATTGTTTACATATGTGCGAAAACTAATAGCCCTTTGACAATTCTCTATCGATTTCGAATGAGGCAATTGCAGAGGACATGGCCCATTCCGTGTCCCGTTTACTATATTCTAGCGATCCGCCCCGGCTCCACACGGGTGATTTCTAGATCTCGACAAAGCCATTTTAGTCGCTACATATTTAGCGACAGTTCATTGCTATAGTCAAAACATTGTGTCTGAAAACGGATATTGAAAGTGTTATTGTTATTTTAAGCATACCTTTCTCTTCTTTACCCAGTACAAACTCAGAACAATTTTGAAGCGTGTTTCGTGTCATAGTCTTAGTAGTTGTTGGTATAGTCTTTTTTATTTAGTTATATGTGTAGTCTCTCCAATAGATGAAATATCGTCTTCTAAGATTCTATTGTAGGCTTCCTTAATCCAAACACCTTCAATCCTGACGATATTACCTACAAAAGTACCTCCATCATTACAACCCCAAGTCCACTGCTAAACATAGGCCACTCCCAAGAAACATCACAAAGTACGATCCTGAGCCAACTGAATTCATCGACTTCCTGCATCTCTTACCAGGTCGTCACCCCATCTACTGAGGTGCCGCCCTACACTTCGCTTACGGTTACGATGCTGCAATTTATTTCCCACCCATTGTTGGTTCTTTTCGCTGTATGCCCGGCCTTTTTTCATTACAGAAAACAATCTGACAATTAATAGAAAGAACCTCCAAAATATCCCCAAATAATGTCAAGTCCTTTCCGTGTTTAGTTGACATATCGGCACATTTTTCCCGCATGCGTTCACCAGCTGCTCTCCGATCAAATATTCTACTTTTTAACACCCGACCCAAACAGAGGGGTGTTATAAGTTTAACGTGTGTACCTGTATATCTGTGTATCTGTGTGTCTGTCTGTGGTATCGTAGCTTCCAAACGGATGAACCGATTTAGATTTAGTTTTTATTTTATTTGAAAGGTGAATCGTCAATCGAGAGTGTTCTTAGCTACAATTTATGTAAATCTGTTCAGCTGTTTAAAGATCATCAGCTCATTTTATTTCGGAGGCTTTTAAAAATTTCACTTTAAGTTTACAAACTGAATACTTCGATTTTCGACCCATTACTTCTGAGAACATTTCGCCACTGATCAATGGTTCAGTTTTGATATTTTGTTGACCTTAACAAGCTTTTTTTTAAGGTTCCGCACCTCTAAAGCATAACCCCTATAGGAGCAGGATTCTCAGGAAGGGGCAATATTATTAAGTTGATATTAATATCAAATACGGTCAATATTAGTATCAATATATATATATATATATATATATATATATATATATATATATATATATATATATATCAATATTATATCTACGGTCCCTTGGATTTATAAAAAAAAATCCAGTTACGACTCAACGAACGACGAATCGACGAATTCAAAAGATACGGCCATATGCCACATAAAATTTTAAAAGAAAATTTTAAAGATTCTCGCAAACTTACTTAACAAAACATCAGTTGCTTTAGAAATAAGGTCTCAGAGTCACAGCTCAAGTAAAAAAAAAAAACGATAATTTGTTTAGCTGAAATCGACTGTGATGTAGATCGATATATGGGAGAACATTATTTCCACTGCAAAGTTTGTCATTCAATCCTTCAATCTTTACGTTAGACCAATATTCGGTGCTTACCTTACCTATAATTTCCGGGATGGATGAACTATCTGTATTTAAACATAATTATTTTTATACGCGGTAGAGTCATGCTGCAGCTATATTAGTAGTATAGTTGTAGCACGAATGGGTCGGCTCGACCGGAGAAGGACCACGCTCTCACAGAATACCAGCGTAAAATAGCAGATTAACGCTGCTGTGTTTCGTATGGTGAGTGTAGAGAACCGGAGGCCCTTTTTATTGGAAACGAGGCTTTCCATCTTAGTCCTCACGGGTGACAACGCATCTGCATTTTGATTCGCAAACGTGGAGAGATGTAGATGTCTATGGGCCACAGCAACCACTTACCATCAGGTGGACTGTGTTTTTTTATAGGATTGGGTGACAAACGAGCACACAGTCCACCTGACGGAAAGTGGTTACTGTGACCCATAAACATCTACATCTATCCTTAATAAAGACTCAAAATGCAGATGCGTAGTCACCCTTGAGTACTAAGATGGAATGCCTCTTTTCCAGTAAAAAGGGTCTCCGGTTCTCTACATTCACTATACGAAACACAGCATCATTAAGCTGCTATTTTACGCTGGTATTCTGTGAGAGCGTTTTCCTTCCCCGGTCGAGCCGACCCATTCGTGCTACAACTATACTACTAATATAGCTGCGGCATGGCTCTACCACGTATACTAATATAGCTGCAGCATGGCTGTGCTCGCTTGTCACCCTTACATTATAAAAAAAAATTGAATACATTTGAAATTAGAAAAACATTGACATTTTTGATTAACAGGTGTTTTTTTTATTAAATAATATGTTCATCTCTACAGTACTTTATTATTACTTTTTTTATTTTATATTATAATTAAACTTTATTATTAAGTTATACTTCACAAATTGTTAATAAGTGCTATTATTATTATTATTATTACGTTAACATAATATTATTTTATTGACATCTAATTTTTATAATGGATTGTTAAAAACTAAGAATTTATTATTGTGCTACTTCTACGCCGATACCGATAAGACATGCAAATGATCCAAAAATTAAAATGCAATAACTTATTGTACCATGTCTCTGAAATAAATAAATAAATAGAGAATTAGTATAATTGTAGGTGTTTCATCTTAGTCCTCAGAAATGAAGACACGTCTGTGGACACTACCTTAAGGAAGACTGTGGATTCGTCTGTCACTTCGGTTTTATAAAAACCCCGTTTATCCTGTTACCATGTTAATTATAAATAAGCTTACGAGGCAGGGACGAATAATTGATTTGTGTAACTAATAAAAGTACCCTTAACCAACGATCATAAATCGTAGATATATGGATGTGAAGGAATTGACAGATGTGTGGATCGTTCCAAATGGAAGTCCGTAGTATCCGCCACTGGGTGATAGGCGTGAGAGTTTATGAAGCCGGGGATGATCTAGCGGTGATCCAGCGGCTTCGCACGCGTGAATTCTGGTATAGACAAGAGCGTCACTTACCTGGTACAATTGAGAATCTGAACCATACAAGGTCCATCCCAACACAAACACACAAAAAATTTCACCAAAATCTTATCTAGTTTATTTATTTTATTCTATTTTAATAAGGATAACCAACAAGACATACATAATTTGTTGTTACGATATTTCTATTCAAGGATTAAGAACTAAATGTCGTCTTAATTATAGGTTACCACGTCGTACATCTAAGGCGAGCTAATTTACCTATTTCTAAACAATTTATAATGAAATATGACGATGAAATAATATAATTATATAAAAAATATATAATTTAAAATGCGATTACACAAAAAATAGTAGAATTTTAACTTTTCAGATCAAAAGAGTTAAGTATTGACTTCTTAAAATTATAAATGCTATTTTTAAATATATCTATATTTGATGATTTCTTATATTTACGCGAATACTACACATGGAATAAAAGTAATTATACGGATTTTATCGCGTTTAGTTTTAACTTATTTAAATTCCGTCGTTTCGGGCACTTTACAGCACAATATTCCATATCTACATCTATTTTCTATATAACGAGTTATATCGACGTAGAATTTTGGTCAAGGTTGAGCCATGGCCTAGATTGCTCTTGATTTTGTCACAAAAGATGAATATTTTGAAGGTCTACGTGTTCAGTTGTTGCATTTAACCTAATTATTAGTTATAATTCCGGGAAATCGATTACCCTATTAAATAGTTTCAACATAAAAAACATGGATCGATAAAGCGTTCTTTAAGGCTAATTTAATTTAATGTGATTTAGTCTGTCTTTATAGGATGGAAGGCATTTAACTAGATTGCAGTGGTAACTTAGATGCCAAATGGAACATTTTTGTACCAATTCGACGTTTTATGTAAGTTATGTAGGTTAAGATGAGTACAATCAGAAAAAGAAGAATTTTAATCATAAAGATATGATGAGGTTGTTATAACTTAATTTGCTTTATTCCACGTAAAGAAAGAAAATTATGTCTCCTGCCCAGTTTGAAGGGGACCTCACAACCCCCTCCCACCTTCCTTCAATTGGTTCAAGTTATAACAACCTCATTATAGTAAATTTCCTCAAAGTACGGCCTGATTCTATTAATTATCATAAAGATTTATTACTGTGAAACTGGTTTGGTGCAGCAGGAAAAGGAGCGACGGAGCTCACAGAGGACGTGCAATGCGCGGCGCGGGACATCAGGGGAAAATCAGTTGTGTGTGTTTGTAATGACACGTATTGCGACACAATCACTAGAGATATTCCTGCTAAAGGCAGTTACATCTCATATACGTCTTCTGAGGTTAGTTTGTACTTTCTATTCTTTACTGTGTTGATTTATGTTTTCCTAGTACAAGTTAGTCGCCGTGTGATGGCGGCGCTCTGGCCATTTCCAAAGTCAGGAGCTATGAAAAAAGCTATATGTATACATTTATACATATACACCTAGCAACCTGCATATATGCACATGATAGAGCTAAGTTGTAGGTGAGTTATAGCTGTAACATAAAATGTTGGCTCGACTGGGGAAGGTCCATGCCTGCATAAAATACCAAGCGTAAAATAGCAACATAATGCTGCTGTGTTTCCTATGGTGAGTGACGACAACCGGATACGCTTTGAACTAAAAACAGTTATAGGTTAAATAAGGTAATGTTAAGTATAGGTTAAGGATTCAAAATGAATCTCTCTTACATACTGTACTGTACTGGTTGGTGACAGAAGTAGGTAAGAGCGTAGTACTGGGACGGAGTACGAAGTATGAGTATGGTTAGTATCCCGAGATACTGAAAGAGAAATGTATATAATAGTATTCTGGTAGAACGCCTTAAAGCGAGTCCGGCTTTTGTACATTCTTATGCAACGAGGTTTAAACATATAAAATTAAAAAGAAATGTGTGCAGTGCACGCGAGGTACAAGTGAAACCTTTAAATGAAATGAAATATAGAATAAAAATATTTCACAGCGAATGATTTATTTAATGTGATAATTTTTAACCACAAGTGCGGCATAAAATATATGATAATAGATTAATTTTTAGCAAACTAGCTGGTACCCGGTGCGTTGCAACCGCAGAAGAAATAATTGTGGAAATATCGTTTTAAACTTGGAAGAGTAATATTGTTTAGTTAGGAATGAAATTGAAATTGAATTATCTTTGAAATAAATATGTCGGTGCGGTACCCGCGCCATCTCATCATCATCATCATCATCATCATTACAGCCTTTCATAAGTCCATTGCTGAACATAGGCCTCCCCCAAGGAATGCCACAAAGCACGGTCCTGAGCCCTGACTTCCTGCATGTCTTACCAGGTCGTCACTCCATCTCGTGGGGGGTCGCCCTACACTTCGCCTACCGGTACGAGGCTGCCACTCAAGAACTTTTCTTCCCCATCGGTTGTCGGTTCTTCGAGCTATATGGCCAGCCCACTGCCACTTCAGTTTACTAATCCGTTGGGCTATGTCGGTTACTCTGGTTCTACTACGGATATACTCATTTCTAAGTTTATCACGCAGAGAAACCCCGAGCATAGCCCTCTCCATAGCTCGCTGAGCGACCCTGAGCTGCCTCATATGGCCAGCAGTGAAGGACCACGTCTCAGATCCGTAAGTCATCACTGGCAACACGCACTGGTTGTACAATTTCGTTTTAAGGTTTTGAGGTATGCCTGATGAGAAGATGTGTCGTAGTTTCCCGAACGCTGCCCAGCCGAGTTGAATCCGTCGATTGACCTCTCGGTCGAAGTTGGACTTACCTAGTTGGACTATTTGTCGCAGGTAAACATACTCGTCAACAACTTCGAGCTTAGTGCTCCCAATAACTACCGGCATAGTTGTGACATGGACATTAACCATGATCTTTGTTTTGTCCATGTTCATCCTAAGACCTATTCGTTGGAAGACACTATTGAGGTCATTGAGCATGGCGCTTAGGTCCTCCAGCGATTCTGCCATAAGGACTATATCGTCGGCAAATCGAAGGTGAGTGATGTATTCGCCATTGATGTTAATACCGTATCCTTTTCAGTCCAGAAGCTTGAAAACGTCTTCCAATGCAGCAGTGAAGAGTTTTGGGGATATAACCTCACCCTGTCTTACACCTCTCTGCAATTGGATAGGTTTCGTACTCTGGTTCTGTACTCGGATAGCCATCGTAGCTCTACTGTACAAACACTTCATCACTTCGATATACCGACAGTCAACTTGGCACCGCTGAAGGGACTGCAGCACCGCCCAAATTTCGACGGAATCAAAGGATTTCTCATAGTCCACATACGCCAGACATAGTGGCAAATTGTACTCATCGGACTTCTGTACAATTTGCCGAAGGGTATGTATGTGGTCTATGGTGCTAAAGCCCTTTCGGAAACCGGCTTGTTCGGGAGGTTGGAAGTCGTCAATTCTGCGCGCGAGACGATTCGTAATGACTCTCGAAAACAGCACGTAGACGCGGCTCAGAAGGGAAATCGGTCTGTAGCTCTTCAAGAGAGCGTTGTCACCTTTCTTGAAGAACAAGACCACCGCACTTCAGCTCCACGCCTCTGGTGTAACGCCACCATGGAGGACGGAATTAAAGAGCTTCTGAAGGACTTCAAGTACCGGTCTTACACCCGCTTTCAGAAGCTCCGCTGTAATTCCATCCTCGCCTGGGGCCTTGCCGTTTTTAAGGTGCCGGAGAGCCATTCTAATCTCGCTCAGACTGACGTCCGGGATATCTTCGGAATAGTGTCGGATAAGACTCTTGGATCGTTACTCACACTTGCGTATGGCTTCAACGATGACGTGTACAGCTGCCCATAGAACCTCTCAATCTCACTCAAAATCTCAGGTGCCCCGGAAACGATGCTGCTACACTCGGTCTTCAGCTTTGACAGTTGGCTCTTTCTGGCAGACAGATCTTTGGCAAAGACTTTGGAGTCTTGGTTCCGCTCGATCGCTTCTTCAATACAAGCTGTATTAAAGTTGCGTAAGTCCCGCCTAAGTTGCTTGTATGCTGTCAAATCTACTGAAGACTGCAGCTTCATATCCCGTCTAACAGCCATGAGATTAAGAGTGTGATCGGAGAGTTTTTGTGTTCGTCTGCGGCGGGTCTTGCAGAACTTAGCTCCCACCGCATGGGCAGTTTCCACGAGCTTGTCATTCATATCGTCCACTTCATTACAGTCTTCTAGGCACTGAAAACGGTTTTGTAACTCGAGCTGAAAGGTTTGGGGACTTTGGAACAGAGCACGAGGGGGACGGAGCGTTGACTTCATTAGACGAGACCTCTCCAACTTAACGTTTAGGTTCAGTGTGCCTCTAACCATTCGGTGATCGCTACCAGTTTTCACCCTCGCGATCACGGAGACATCACTGAACAGTTGTCGTCTGGTCGTCATAATGAAGTCAATCTCATTTTTTGTGGAACCGTCGGGGCTCGACCAGGTCCACTTCCTGTGGGGCCGCTTCTGGAAGAAAGAGTTCATCATAAAGAGTCCCTCTTTCGCCATGAAGTCGGCCAGCTGCTGGTCCCTTGGGTTCCGTTGCCCTATTCCGAATTTTCCTACTTTCAGCTCACCGTTCTCTCTTGTGCCTAGTTTTGCGTTGAAGTCTCCCATTAACACCTTATAGTGGGTTTTGGAGGATTGGGTATTGGGGACTGGGGGCCGTTTATTATTGTCATTAATCATGAGGGGTATATTGCCATAGATGCCACGCTTGGCGAGCGGGTTGGCAACCGCAGTTTTTTCGACGATCCCGCGCCATCTACGATAAGTTAATTATAAAAATCTTCAAGGAAGTGCATGCAATATATTGATAAAATTGTACCGCAATCTGATGAACGGTATGGCGGCGCATAAAATACAAATAAACAAAAATTAATTTTTATATATTAGATAAGGTTCCAATACTTATTTTCAGACATGTAGAGTCTCAATATATATGTAACAAATCAAAAGAATTTTTTCTTTCGAGTAAAATTGCTTTGTAATAGCGCCATCTACCTTATTCTATAGCTAAAGTTATTTTATCTAACAAAAATTGGTGGACTCTCAAGGGGGTACGTAAAAGAGACGCTAAATGGCTTGAAGTTTTGAAATCGAGGTGATATTATCAAAAATAACGTAAAATTTAATCATTGTGAATAGTGACTGTGACGGTAATTACAAGTGAAATAGCTATTGTGACTCAGCAGTCCATAATAAAGCTCAATGAACTACCTGATTGTCATTCCATTACAATTAAAATATAAACAGAAATTTCGAAGACTAGCGTAAGCGACGCGAAGTGTATTTAGTGAGGGCACGGTCTGCAGACGATATAGGCTTCAAATCCTCAAATTAATTTTTTATTTTTATTTTTTTTAACACTTAAATCTAGCTTTTGTAAAATTGTCTAATATTTTTTTAATATAATTTTTTCTTCTTTTTTGTCTTAAGGCGTTTAACTAAGATAACGACTCTTAGCGTAACTATGTCTGCTTATTATGGTTACGTCGCGTCTAATATTAATAATGGTCTGGTTCTGTGGGGTAACAGCATTGAAGTAAATAGAGTTCTCATCGCACAAAAAAAAAGTATACGTGCTATATGCGGTAAAGGTCCATTTGATACATGCAAGCCCCTATTTATTAAGCTGGGTATATTAACAGTCCCTGGTATGTACATATTAAAAATATATAAATTTGTCAAACAACATGCAGAGTTATTTAAGTTAGCTTGTGATATATACCCACGAAGCACTAGAGATAGTAAACGGCTTGTCTTAGACCATAAACCAAAAACTTCTGTCTATCAGAAAGGTTGTTACTGTATGTGTGTAAAAATATTTAATAAAATTCCAAAGCAGTTCAAACACGGCTCTATGATTCTCATGACCAAAAAGTTACGTGAGTGGCTAATAAAAAAATGTTATTATAGTGTTAAGGAATTTCAAAATGATAATAATATGCATGTTGACATATGATAGACGTAATTGCTGTGTATCACTGCGTATCACTATTTTATCAGACCTTTATTTTTGATTGAATGTATTCAAATTTTAATTATGATATTGACATAGTAAATTATGACATTTTGAATTATATAACTTACATTTAATAACTTGACATTTTAGAATCGACTACCACCTATATTATTTGGTAATTAAAAAAAAGTTTGCATGCCGTATCTCATGGCTAAATAGGTTTTTAAGCAACTTATTTTTATTGTAAAACCCTATAACTTACCCTATTTATGGCAATTAAAGAAATTTGAATTTGAATTTGAATTTGAATCATGGATTGTCATGAATTTATTGGATATGATTATTATATTTAATATTGTTAATTTTCATACTATTTCTTTTAACAGTTAAAATGTATATTAACCATCTTTAAATTCAAATCACCGCACAAAGAGGAGACCGAGATAATAGAAAACAATGAATTAAAAAAAATACTAGTATGCTACTAACATTACTAATATTTCCCTTAAACACTACTGGTAATCTGTAAATGCTTGTGTTAGGAGTGGTTCACAGTAGACAATGGTGGACAGTAGTCGAATGGCGGATTTCAACCTTTTGAGTCCGCGATCCGCACCCTAGCATTAGGCTACTGTGGCTTGCTACACTATATTCTATCTCATTTCCTCGCAGGTTAAATCCCACAGATGTAATCTTTTGTCCTTTTTTAGTGTCGCTTTTTCATTTCATAGATTTTCAAATCACAACGATTCTAAAGAAGTTTTACTTTTAAAAATAATGTAGTTTTTCTACCCAGGAGTCCCTTTGGATAGTAACCACCATGTTACCTATTTCCGCCGCCAAATATCAATGCCTTCGTTGCTGTGTTCCGATTTGAAAGGTAAAGAGAGACATATAGTTACGGATTGTGAGGCATTCTCTCTTAGTTTTCAGGGGGACAACGTATTTCTAGCCTTTTTTGTTTGAAGTCGGTTCCAGATGGAGTGCTGGAGTAGCCACTTATCATCAGATGGAGTGTATGTTCATTTGTGTTTTTTATAAATAAAATTTAATTTTCATAATATAAAAATTACCCCAATGGGAATATTTTGTAGAATTTATATATAATACAGTGGCAGTGTAAGAATATCCACTACCCCATATCATCCCGTGGGTGTCGTAAGAGGCGACAGAGGGAAACAAATTAGGTGATGGGCAGCAGCGTCTTCGTGGCAAATATGAGGCATTTTATGAGGAGACCTACGTTCAGTAGTGTAGGCTGTAACGGTGTAACTCCATGTTTACTGGGCTATCTGTACATGAAAATAAATATATTTAATTTTACAGGGTGGTTCGAGATTTAAGAAGAGAAGTGGAAAGCTGCAATGTAACGTATCAAGTAAGTGAAAATGATTTTTCTTTATATTCCTTCTCTTTCATTTATTTTTTCAAAAGACACGTTACCCCGCGTTAGGCTATTCTCCTTGGTATTGTGGAAGTTGTTTACATAGGTACATAAATTGCGCTATGACAAATATCCAGACTCGGAAAAATTGTTTGCAGACCATAAAAACACTTACAGTAGCAGCTGCTTATATGTCGAAATTATGTGAAGTCCGCCAACACGCATTGGGAAATCGTGACGGGTTCTTTCACGCTATAAAAACTTTCTAAGAAATGACAGGAAACCTATGCCCAGCACTGGGATCTATGAAGGATGTTACTTTACTTCTGCTTTATTTTTTAAACGAGTGAGAAAAAACGAGAAGTTTATAACCAGATGGAAGTTAGCGTAGAACATTCTTTTTTTTAACTAAACTCTATGCCAATTAATTGCTCCATAAATGCTCCAGCAGAATCCGAAATTGCTCCACCTCTATTGTTATTAGTTAATTTATAATTAATTTTTAAAAAATTTAAGTACCGAAAATTTAATTTTGCTATAAAATATAAAATATCTAATTTTGAAAATTAAACAGTATGCCAATTAATTTCTTCATAAATGCTCCAGCAGAATCTGAAATTGCTCCACCTCTATTGTTATTACTCGTAGTTAATTTAAAATTAATTTTTAAAAAATTTGAGTATCGAAAATGTAATTTTGCTATAAAATATAAAATATCTTTTTTTTTAAAATTAAACAGTATGCCAATTAATTGCTCCTTAAATGCTCCAGCAGAATCTGAAATTGCTCCACCTATATTGTAATTAGTTAATTTATAATTAATTTTAAAATAAATTAAGTATCGAAAATTTAATTTTGCTATAAAACATAAAATATAAATTTTTTTAAATTAAACTGTATGCCAATTGATTGCTCCTTAAATGCTCCAGCAGAATCCGAAATTGCTTTACCTATATTGCTATTAATTAATTTATAAATAATTTTTAAAACATTTAAGTATCAAAAAGAGCCATGGCAGAAAAATAGTTGACAAAAATTATAGCGTCTAGAAATAAGTTATATATAAAATGAGTTTTATAAGTTTTCTATGATTTTTCAAATTAAAATGTATTTTTTTTTGGAGTTTATGGCCTGGTATCTAGACCTTTAAACCAAGTCTTGAGTATTTTTATTCGGTTTATTATAATTTCCCAAATGTATAATTATCTTTCATAGTTCACTGCTTCACAATATGTTGATGCGTCACATTGTGCAGCCCTTGGGAGATTTTGACGGCAACTTGAGCCAGCAGACAGCTGACAGTTGGCGATGGTATCTAAAGGCGTCTATGCAGACAAACAGCTTATCTTGAGAATCCATCACCATCAGAGCACTTGTTTCACCGTTTCCACTAATAGTTCACATGCGTAGACAGTTAATACATAAAATCGCACCACTTTTACATATCAAAATCCACTTCAAACTATTATTTAAACTATAATACAGGAGCAGCAAACCGCCGCCGGTCAATTTCCCGGCAAAACTCAAATTAAAATGTATTTTAATTAAAGCCACAGAAAAAAACAAACATTTTTGGGAATATCAAATGACCTAAATCATTTTACTCTATTCAAATGTTGCCATTTAGTATATTCATACTTTTTTCGTATACACTTTGTAAAACTACCAACACAACACACAAAATATTTTTATATTAAGTTATTATTAGTAATAACTGTACTATCAGTAATAACAAAAATAAAAGTGATATGACTGAGAATAAGTCTCTTACAAAGAATTTCCTACAATAATACATTATCTCAATCATAGTACTATGTAACAATTCCATTTAATGTTATGCCAACACTAGCTAAAATAAAATGTCACTGTTTTTTTTTACTGGCTTTACGGCTCTGGGTTCTAGCCCTTCTGAGAATGTCACTATGGTACAAAAGCCCTGGAGCCATGCCAGAAATATACATTTATAATATGCAAATATATAATAGAGATACAATAATCTAAAAACTCTCAATTATGTATTATGTATTAAGCTAACATCAAACAACCACAGGAAGCATGACTTTTTACAAGTGACATAGGATATAACCTAAAAAGGTTCAAACGTAAATATCTTTTATTTGACGCCTTCTCAGTACAAAATTCTTTGACAGAGTTATTAAGGGACTGACGCTTAACATTTTAAGATATTTTTGGTATATAGACGCTACCATTTCTTCTCAACTAATTTTATGTATGAAAGTTTGCCATTGCTCTTTAATTTTGATATTAAATATAAAATATCTACTTTTTAAAATTAAACCGTATGCCAATTAATTGCTCCTTAAATGCTCCAGCAGTATCCGAAATTGTTTCACCTATATTATTATTAGTTAATTTATAATTAATTTTAAAATAAATTAAGTATCGAAAATTTAATTTTGCTATAAAACATAAAATATCATTTTTTTAAATTAAACTTTATGCCAATTGATTGCTCCTTAAATGCTCCAGCAGAATCCGAAATTGCTTTACCTCTATTGCTATTAATTAATTCATAAATAATTTTTAAAACATTTAAGTATCGAAAATATAATTTTGCTATAAAACATAAAATATGTACTTTATAAAATTAAACTGTATGTCAATTAATTGCTCCTTAAATGCTCCAGTAGAATCCGTAATTTTTCTGTCTTTTGCTATTAGTTAATTTATAATTAATTTTGAGATAGAGTGATCCTATATGAGTAATACCGCCATCATCAATAGAATATAGTAACATTCTATAGTTAAAGTCATTTTATCGAACAAAAATTGATTGACTCTCAAGGTGGTACGTAGAAAAGACTCTAGATGGCATAAACACAAAAATATTATTAACATGGTTGTCTAATCCATTCAAAAGAATCCATAATTTCAAAATTCACCCATCAATACTTTTTTTTTGTTTTATGCGATTAGGCATATTTTATATATTACGTGGTAGAGCCATGCTGCAGTTATATTATGGTTGTAGCACGAATGGGTCGGCTCGACCGGGGAAGGACCACGCTCTCACAGAATACCAGCGTAAAATAGTAGCTTAACGCTGCTGTGTTTTATATGGTGAGTGTAGTGAACCGGAGACCCTTTTTACTGGAAACGAGGCATTCCATCTTAGTCCTCATGGGTGACAACGCATCTGCATTTTGATTCTTAATCGAAGATAGATGTAGATGTCTATGGGCCACAGCAACCACTTACCATCAGGTGGCCTCTGTGGTCGTCTGTCACCCTTATCCTATAAAAAAAAACTCAAGATTTATTAAAGTTGGTAAAAATTACCTTGCCTACATGATATTTTTACTTTAATATAATGAATTTCCGCACAGTAACGCTTGATTCTATTAATTAACTCAAGATTTAATGACATAAGAACTAAACAAGAATCCACATAGTGGTAATACTGGTACATCGAAAAATTACGAGCAAAGTCCCGACTTTATTAAAAGTATATTTATTATAAAACGCCTTTAAACAAGGTCAAAAGAAAAAGATTGGTGATTAATAATTTTTTATTTGTATAAAACTATTTTTTTACAGATTTTATCGCGTTTAATTTACTATTTTGTTTCCCCCAGTTACCCCCGTGACCATGGGTTGCTGTAAAGCACCCGAAACGTCGAGAATTAAAATAGTAAAAATAGTTTTATTCAATGTGTAGTGTTCGCGTAAATATAAGAAATCATTAATTTTTTATTTTGTTCGCAGAAAATTGCAAATACTCCTTGGAATTGTACCCGGATACAAAGTATCAGACGATAGAGGGCTTCGGGACGGCGGTCACTGGAACCGCTGGATATAATCTTAGAAGCTTGCCGCGTGCCGCGCAGGAAAATTTGATTAAGTGATTTAAATTTTGTTGTAATTTGTTTTTTCATAAAACTGAAGTGACAAACTGATTTACGGCAGTCCATGGGACACTTGCATCCAACTTCACACAAAGAAGCCTACAAATCAATTGTCATCATAATCATCGTCATCGTCGTCGTCACCATCATCAATCAATAATAAAAATCATCATCAACATCATAACAGCCCTTCACAAGTCCACTGCAGAACATAGGCCTCCCCCAAGGAATGCCACAAAGCACGGTCCTGAGCCAACTGCATCCATCGACTTCCTGCATATCTTACCAGGTCGTCACTCCATCTAGTGGGGGGACGCCCTAAACTTCGCCCGCCGGTACGAGGCCGCCACTCGAGAACCTTTTTTCCCCATCGGTTGTCGGTTCTTCGAACTATATGGCCGGCCCATTGCCACTTCAGCTTACTAATCCGTTAGGCTATGTCGGTCACTCTGGTTCTGCTGCGGATATCCTCATTTCTAAGTTTATCACGCAGAGAAACTCCAAATATAGCCTTCTCCATAGCTCGCTGAGCGACCTTGAGCTTCCTCATCCGGCCAGCAGTGAAGGACCACGTCTCAGTTCCATAGGTCATCACTGGCAACACGCACTGGTTGTACAGTCTCGTTTTCGTGTTTTGAGGTATACCTGACGAGAAGATGTGCCGTAATTTCCCGAACGCTGCCCAACCGAATTGAATCCGTCGATTGACCTCTCAGTCGTAGTTGGACTTACCTAGTCGGACTATTTGTCCCAGGTAAACGTACTCGTCAACAACTTCAAGCTTAGTGCTCCCAACAACTGCCGGCATAGGTGTGACATGGACATTAAACATGATCTTTGTTTGGTCCATGTTTATCTTAAGACCTATCCGTTGTGAAACACTATTGAGGTCAATGAGTATAGTGCTTAGGTCCTCCAGCAATTTTGCCAGTAGGACTATATCATCGGCAAATCGAAGGTGAGTGATGTACTCGTCATTGATGTTAATACCTTATCCTTTCCAGTCCAGAAGCTTGAAAACGTCTTCCAATGCAGCAATGAAGAGTTTCGGGGATATAACATCACCCTGTCTTACACCTCTCTGCAATTGGATAGGTTTCGTACTCTGGTTCTGTACTCGGATAGCCCTTAAGTACAAGCACTTCAGCACCTCGATATACCGATAGTCAACTTGGCACCGCTGAAGGGACTGTCAACTGACACCGCCCAAATTTCGACGAAATCAAAAATTTTCTCATAGTCCACATACACCAGACATAGTGGCAAATTGTACTCCTCGGACTTCTGTACAATTTGCCGAAGGGTATGTATGTGGTCTATGGTGCTAAAGCCCTTTCGGAAACTGGCTTGTTCGGGAGGCTGGAAGTCATCAAGTCTGCGCGCGAGACGATTCGTAATGACTCTCGAAAACAGCACGTAGATGCGGCTCAGAAGGGAAATCGATCTGTAGTTCTTCAAGAGAGCGTTGTCACATTTCTTGAAGAACAGGACCACCGCACTTCCGCTCCACGCCTCCGATGTAATGCCACCATGGAAGACGGAATTAAAGAGCTTCTGAAGGACTTCAACTACCGATTTTCCACCCGCTTTCAGAAGATCCGCTGTAATTCTATCCTCACCTGGGGCCTCGCCGTTTTTCAGGTGCTGGAGAGCCATTCTAATCTCGTTCAGTCTGACGTCCGGGATATCATCGGAATAGTGTCGGATAAGACTCGCTCTTGGATGATGCTTTCTGTGCACTGCTTTCTGTGCTTTCCTAGGCACGGGGTTCAGCCACCGCCAACTTCTTGACAAAAGATAACAATAACTGATTATTGCTAGCCCGACCTAGGATTCGAACCCGGGACCTCATGATCAGCTGTCGCATTTACAATAGACCAACGAGACAGTCGAATCGAGTCGTTTTCCGTTACTTTAACAACCTATAGTTTAAATGCAACAAAGGGTTATCTGTCTATCTAATATTTGTTTGCAAGAACCTGTTTCCCTAACACTGTAAAATTTTATTATTTTTTTGCGTTGTCGCCCTCCACTTAGCTTACGTTTTTTCTCCATCGGTTATTAGTTGTTCGAGCTATACGCCCATTGTTACTTCAGCTTGCTGATCCGGTTGGCTTTATCGGTTACTCTAGATCTACTGTTTTTTGCTAATAAATACTATAGAGTGATATTATTTTTATAGATCTTACTTTAGTGACGAGGGCTTGGAGTATAACATGCTTCGAGTTCCGATCGGCGGTAGTGACTTCTCCCTCAGCGAATTTGCCTACAACGAGTTGCCAATCGACGACTTTAACTTAACGAACTATACACTGTCCAGAGAAGATTACCACTATAAGGTAATTATGATCACCACTCAAAATATATTTGGAACAGAAAGACGTCTAGATACTTAAATTGCGACGAACCTCGACAGTCTTTTTAAAAACACAATTTAAAGTATAAAATGATTTAATGTTCTTTCGAAGGTGGTAAGTTACAGAATTAATGCATATTAAATGTTAATAAAATAAGTCTAGTACAATTATCATATCGTCTTACATTACTTTAGAATTATCACTCAAGTTCTCACGCATGTGCTGATGTGGCGGTTTGGAATATCGAGCCAGGGACGGATTGAGGCGATATAACTCCTCCCTCCACAAGTTCGGGATTATCCTCGGGATTATCACGAATTTTACAGATTTTACAGATTTCATTTAATTTATGTTTAAAAATAATACTTAAAATAATTAATATAATAACTAAAATAAGAATATTGACTAAACTAACACTTTTATTAGTAATTTCACTTTTTGCATTTTCACTTAACTCACTGTCACTAATTTCTCCCATACTTTTCTGCAGTAATAGATTCAGGAACTGTACGTCTGCTATATTAATTCCATCGAGATTCACAGGCTTCTTCAGAGTACTTGACGGGTTGAGTATTCGGTAAGTTTATTAATGGCTGTCTTAGGTAGTTTATTTCTTTACCTTAAGTCTGATGTCTTTTCAGTTCGTATCCTTTGATTTTCACCTTGCAGTTATCATCCATAGTTAAGAGGTAGGTTCCTAGTAGAATCTCTTGGCTTACTTCATTGTCGCAGAATTTAGTCATAGCTGTTTCAGTATTTGAGTAAACTATCCAGCGATTTGGTTGTATGAGGTAGATCTTCACATTTTCTAGGGTGACAGGGATCGGGTGACAACTTGAGATATTTGTGTGAAACTGCATGATTTCTACGACACAGTTGTCATTGGTGAAGAGTTGTATGTCGTTCTCATGACACAGAAATCGGCGTTCGTCGACCTCGCGACATGACTGAGAGAGCGGTGTTGCTTTCAACCCTTTCACAAGTAGGTACGGATTTTTAGGTAGGATGAGAGTCGTCTGGCCATTATGTAATACAGGTAAGGGAACTAATTTATAATAGTTAAAAATTTCATTTCTAATAAGTGGAATACTTATAATAAACTTTATCTGATTCTGTTTAATATAGGCTTTTATCTCGATACATCTTTCTAATTTTACAATTTTTTCATAAGTTACAGGAAACACTAATTTGTCAGTTTTTTCTATTTCCTTAAGCAATATTATAAGTTCTTCTGTATCAATTATTGACTGGTGTAGTACATTAATTTTACTAAAAGCAATGGCTGTTTCGATTTCACTCAAATGGAAATATAAATTATGAAAATTATCAAGGAAGATATTATAAAGGTGAATGAATTTGGTAATCGTCTGTCGAAAATTGGAGTTGTTTAAAGCTTGATTTATGTTTTGAATATTATCTTCTAATCGTATAAAATTGCTTTTAGTAGAATTTGCCATGGGTGTAAATGAGCCCACCATTTCGGAAACTATTGTCATTTTATTTTTAATCACGTTTTGTTCCGTATGTAGCTTATTTATTAATTTTTCATATCTAAGAGCGTCATTATTATCTAAGTTACCTGTGATGGCTTTTATCAAAGAACCTACCGGATCGAGGAGACCTCTTTTGGTTCGTAATGGAGGAATTAATTGTTTAAATTTGTCGATGGTAATATTCATAGTATAATCGGTTTGATATTGGACGGTAGTAAAATCTGAGTCAAATGATTTAGTATCGAAACAACTTTGAACATGTTTTTTAAGTAACCCATATTTATTCATACTTGATTCTAATTCATCGTAAATTAAATTTAAATCTAATATCTTAATAACTATCCAGTTATCATAATTAACAAATGCTTGACCTTCGTCAACAGGTAACAATCCCGGATTCTTGTTAATGCGAAGCTGATGAAGGGCCTGGCTTCCCATTGTTCGGATCACCAGTAGAAATAATCTGCGAAGGACGTTTTATGTCTTTAATAGGAACATTAGTAATACGTTTATTGGTTTCAACGGGAACTACATTTCTTTTTATAGCACCGGTGGCATGAGCCTTTTGGTAACGTGGTTTATCTTTGCCCCGTCTAGTATTAACACCTTTTATGAACACAGTATCACCTACGTCTATGTCGAACTGTGGTTCGCCTGCGTGTTTTTCTCTCACCGTCAACTTTTTGTCAATTATTTTATCCGTAAGATATTCATATAAATATTTGGTCCTTTTAGCGTGATCCTTTACTAACTGCTGTGTGAATTGCTTATCGAAATTAATGGCAAATGTACTATTGGATTCGGTGTGTCCGAATACTACTTCAAAAGGCGTTAGATCTGTCGAAGAGTGAATTGAATGATTGTATGACATAACAGCATACGTCATCACTGACGCTGCGTCTGTAATTTTATGTTCGTATTTCGCGATTCGGTAAATTTCAGTAATAGTTGAATGAAACCTTTCGATAAGTCCCATAGAGTTGGGGTTGTGCGCAGTACCAATGTGTAAATTGATTTTGTATAATGTTAGCATTTCCTTTAAGAGTACGTTATTAAATTCCATACCGGGATCTGAACTGATTTTGGATGGAATTCCGTAAAATGAAAAATACTTTATTAAAGCTCTTATTACTTCCGGGGTAGACCTACTATTAATTTCAATTGCTTGACCCAATTCGCTGAATGCGTCTATCAGGGTTAGAAAATAATTGCCTTCTATCGAAAAGGTATCAATGAAAATTTCTTGGAATGGCTTAGACTGGGTTTGAGTCAATTGAAGTTGAGGTTTTAGGGGTTTACGGTCGTACTTCATTTTCTTGCAGACCTCACATGAGTTTATAATGCTCGCTACCGTTTGTTCCATATTATTCCAATAAAACGTTCGCCTCAAATGTACTAATGTTTCCCTAATACCTCTATGGCAATTTTTACCTAAATGATATTTAAGAACTACTTCGCGTTGCTCATTTTCATCTTCTACATATACTATCCTCTTTGTACATTCATAAAATTTAACACTATCCTTTTTGAATAATTGCGTTGTGGCTTCCGAAAACTGCTTGCGATGTATGACATCTTCGAAATAAAAAAAATATTTAATTTTAGGTCTGATATACTCTTTCAGGAATTTTTTTATTAAATCCAAATTGTTTAATGGTAAGTGAACCTCCAATATGTTTTGTTTAGCCCTAGATAAGTTTTTAACCGAACATTCATTTCTGTTCCAGGTATGAACGAGTATTTGATTTGGTTTCGTATCAATCGCTTCCTGGAGAATTAATATTCCTGCTGTGTCTATGTCTTTAGCCGAATGTACTGTATTGTTACTACTGTGTCCTTCAAAAGCTGTGGCGGTGCTACTATTTGGAGATGGTATCGGATATGGAGATTGTCTACCATGTAAAGAGGGAATACTTAACTTTTCCGAATCGGATGATACTGTTACTACGTCCCCCGCCTGATTCGAATTACCTAGCTGTACAATTTTAGAGACTACATTGCTCAAATGGCGTTGAAGTTTTTTTTTCGTTTTTGTCTACATTCACTTGCATGGAAACATCATCGTTATCGGTTAAGGCGTTAATCTTAATTCTAGATAAAGCATCAGCGTTACAATTTTGTTTCCCGTTCTTATACACTATTTCGTAATCAAATTCCGACAGGCGTAGCTTTCATCTGGTTAGTTTGCTATTCGGTTCATTAATGGAGTTTAACCAGGCTAAAGGGCGATGATCAGTGTAAATTGTAAATTTTTTTCCATATAAGTAAGGGCGGAAATGTTTGACTGCCCAAACGATTGCCAAAAGTTATTTTTCTATTGTGCTGTATTTCGTTTCAGCATCGTTCAACGTACGACTTGCAAAGGCTATAGGCTTATCACTACCGATAGGTCCCTGCGATAGAACTGCACCGAGAGCAAAGTTCGACGCATCTCTGGTGAGAACGAACGGTCGAGAGAAGTCAGGATATTGTAAAAGTGGGGCGTTTGCTAAAAGCTCTTTACATCTTTCAAATGCTTCTATATATTCTTTTGTAATTTCAATTTTGTTTTTCTTTTTCAGGCAAGAGGTAAGCGGTTGTGTGAGTTTAGCGAAGTCTTTAATGAATTTTCTGTAATACCCTACGAGAAAACTTTTTATTTCGGTGGCTGTACGCGGTAATGGATATTTTAGTACTGCTTTAATTTTTTCGTCATTTGGTTTTAAACCCTCTTTTGTAATCGTATGACCTAGATATAGAACTTCCTTTCTCAAAAATTCACATTTATCTAACGTGACTTTTAAATTGGTTTCTCTGAGACGGTCAAAAATTTTCCTTAATTTTTCAATATGTTCCTGAAGACTAGCCGAATACACAATTATGTCATCGAGGTACACTAAGCAATGGAGACCTTGGAGGCCTCTTAAGATATTATCCATTGCTCTTTGGAAAGTTGCTGGGGCTGTCTTTAATCCAAACGGCATGCGTTTGAATTCATAGTGACCGGATTGAGTTGTGAAAGCTGTCTTTGGCCTATCAGCTTCATTAACTTCTAATTGGTGGTAGCCACTTGCCAGGTCAAGGGTACTAAAATATACAGATTTGCCTAACTTATCAAAAAGGTCAGTTATATTAGGTAACGGGTATTTGTCGTCTATTGTATTCTCATTTAATCGCCGATAATCTATAACCATTCTAAATTTAGGCTGCCCGGATGCATCTGGTTTTTTGGGGACTAAGTGAACCGGTGCGCTCCAAGGTGAGTGAGAATTTTGGATTACGTTATCTTGAAGAAGTTTAGTCTACTTGTCTTTGTACTTCCTCATTTTGGGAAGGTGGGTGGCGATACGGTCTGATATATATAGGATCTTCGTTAACTGTTCTAATATTATGTTTTACCTGATTTGTAAAAGAAAGCGGAATTTTCTCACTATAAAATATGTCGCGGTATTCATAGCATAATTTAGTTATAGCTTTCCGTTCTTCTTCATTTGTATGATCTAATCGTAG